GGCCGTGGTCTCTTCGTTCCGCAAACATATACACCTGGCCGTCCAGTCTGCGGAGTGCTGGGGCCGCTCAAAAATCCTCCGGCTCACTCTCATTCCCTTCCCAGAATGGAGGCGCCTCCGTCATTGCTTCATCCTCCACCACAACCGCCGCAGCCTTGTGTTGCTTGGACCTCGGTCGAGTGGGTTCGGCATCCTGGGTGTCCCGCTTTCTCTTTGTCACGGATGACACCTTTGGACTTTCGGGGAGTTCGGTACCCGCGACTGTTTTTCTGGCGTAGCATTGGAAGGTTCGGTGGCCGTCTCGTCCGCAACGCCAACAGTCGCACTTGGATGCTTTGTGGGCATCGATCTCCTTCTGGGGAACCCCTACCAGAGCCTCCTTTGCTCCTGCGTAGATGTCCCCTTCCCTTGTCCTTCCCTTCCTGACTCCTGTTGCTTCCTTGGCTTTTCGGCCCTCCGGGGACTCCCCGCTTTCCTTGCGGCCCCCGGGGTCTCTTCCCTTTCCTTGGCCCTGCCGGCCGTTGCCAGGTCCCTTCCGGTCGCCGCCGGAACCCTGGCTACCCGATCCCCCTTTCCTCATTGCCCTTGCCTTTTTCAGCGCGTCCCGTCGTTCCACATGGTTGCCAGCCCTGAGCACCGTTTCCAGGAAGTCTTCATCGTCTTCGTAGGGTTCGGTGTGCTGGTTGAAGCACATATCCACGATGTCGGTAGTCATGGCCTGGTTGACTATGTCTTGTAGCGGTTCGCCGGTGGCGCGAGCGATCATGTTGAGCGATTGGAAGGAGGTCATGTAAGCCTGAATGTCTCCTTTGTATTCGAGGGCCCACATCCTTCTTAATGCGTTCGCTCCTTCCTGCGTGTCGCGGTACGCCTCCTTGAGTGCCTCTTGGTACGCCTGCCAGGTATCTTCCAAGTGTAGCTGTCTCAGGCTTTTTCGACGGGCCTGATGCCATTCTGCCGCTGTCCCTTCCAGTCGGGATCCCACCCACGCTATCTTCTGCTGCTCATTTGTCTCTGGGTGGAACTCAAGATATTCTTCAACTGAGTCCCACCATGGACGGAAGGCTGTTCTTTGCTTGCCATCGAACGGCTTGGGCTCTTTCATTTTAAGCTTGATGGCCCTCGGGTTCGATGCGGAGACGGCAGCAGCGATGATCCGAGCGAAGCGACTCTCTTCGTCTTCGTCGTCTTCTCTTGGTAGCGGAGCGTGTCGGTGACGGGGCGGCGAACGACGCGGCAAGGGGATGGAATCGTCATCATCCGATGGTTCCTCATCCGAGGGATCACCTCCAAGGTTAGTCACCGGACGTCTTGGGGGTGGAGGAGGAGGGGACATTCCTGCACCTGCCGGAGTTTCCCTTGTTGCTGACCTTTCTGCCCGCGATCCTCCTCTTGGGGTAGTGTTTACCCACTCCGGGGCCTTTTCCTTCGCCTTCCCTGTCCTTACCTCTACAGCCTTCAATTTTTTCTCCGCTCGAGCGATTTTTTCCTTGATTCGCTGTTGCTCCTTGTAGAGGTATTCTGCCTTCTCTTCCTGTTTCCCTGCCCAAATTTCCACGTTGCGGTTGTACACCGCTTGCTCCCTGCGTTGTTCGACTTGCGCCGTTTCGAGGAACACGATGGCGTCTTGTAGCCGAGCGTTTGCGACGCTTTGCAACTCGCGGTTGTCTTCGTCTTTCTGGTTACGTTCTCGAATGACTGCCCATACGTCGCTGCTCAGGGCGTGCGTCGCGTTCGCTACCGTTGACAGCTCGGTTCGAAGCCATTCTGCATTCATTTCGGCATTGTGAGCGTAGAGGTTGTACACATACTTGACCCCATCGCAGAGTTGTTCGTAGTTCCTTCTGATTTCCTGCTTTCGGGAGTCCTCTTCGTTGAACTTCTGATCGCATGCTTGGTAAAGCTGGCGCAGGTCTCTTTGTGCCGTTTGGTATTGGTGGTTCATCAGCCTGAGCCAGGCTGCCGGGTTTCGTACTTCGACGGTTTCGGATGCTTGCGGGATGCTAACGAGCGCATTGCTCAGGGTCTGAGGAAGTTCGAGGCGGAGCATGTCGAGGTTTGAGGAGGACATTTTCGATAGAAATCGGTGACTGTAACCTTAAGATTATAGTGTGAGACTGGGACGGGTTTGTGTCGTCGGAGTCTATAGTAAAATCGAGGATAGAATAAAAGTCAGGGATTTCGATAATTCACAACGGAATAATCTTAAGGGTGTTTGTTCGATGGCTTTGTTCGGTGCGATGATTGTAGTTTGTTCGGTTGCCCGCTCGGTTCGACTTATAGTCGTCCCGATCCTCAGCACGTGATTCCTCTAGAGTGCGGCCTAACGTAGCTCCGTTGCTTCCTTTGCATCGGAGTTCCGCGGCCTAGCCTTGAGTCGTCGTCAGCTCTCTTCGGATAGTCTTCTCGACTAGGCAGGTGGTAAACACCACGCGCCCAAGATAGATCGGAGTTTCCGAGCAATTATCTCCCTCATGCGCCGGCAGAGTTCTTCGCTCGAAGTTGTCTGCCCCCATCGGTCGATGTTCGATTCTCTCGTCATAACAGTTTTTCCCTGGATCGGAGTTCCTACTGCGGGGCCCTATGAACGGAGATCTCAAAGTCCTCTGGACTGTTATCCCGATCTCCCGCATCTCCGATCACTGTCTAGACTCTGGAATCCGTTTGCTCCCTCCTTCCTATCTTGTCCTCGATCGCTTCTAACTATCCTTTCGGCTCGCAACTCTATTCTAATCACCCGAATTATCTAATCACATCTCTTGCGACCGTCGTGTCCTCCGATAGCTATCGGAGTGACACACACACGCCCATGGTCATTTTCAGGTTGTGGAAAAAAGTGGAGGATTTTCTATATAAACGGACCATTGCCCCTCTGTATTTAGTTCTTCACGCAACAACTTGTTAATCCAACAACCGTTACCTCTGTCCCTGCCTCGGCTGCCGCCTGTGCCGTAGTCCTTATCCCTGCCTCTGTTCTCAGTTGCCGTTTCCACTGAGGTCTGCCTTGCCTTGTCCTCTGCACCTTTCTTGCCTCTGCCGAAACTAGTACTTGATCACCCGCCCGGCTTCGCTACCTGGAGCCTTGCTGGACCGTAACGTTACAATTGGGGTGTCACAATCTGTTACCCTGAACCTGCACTTGAACCCGAACTTAAGCCCAAGCTGTTTCTGCCAAACTCGCTACTTGGAGCCCAACCTGACTGTGTCCAGTTACATTGTGCATGAGTGCATGTTATGTGAAGTTTGACACCACCACAACATGTGTTCTCCTAGTAGCACAAGGTCACCCGAGCACTCTTTCCTGAATATTGGCTTGGATCCGCAATATCAGGTATGTTGTGAGGTGTTGTGTCAGAAATATACAACATCCGGGACCTACCCACTCCGGCGTGACTTTTTTGTGCAAATCGAACAGCCAGCAAAGTGACTTCCAGCACGGCCAATTTTCTCGCAGGTATTTGGTGCTACCCCAAACCCGCAATTGATTTCAGGCAGTGGCGGCAGGAATGCTGTGCAGCAAGATGTGAGGATAAGGGATATCCAGTGGTTAGGATGACTTCTTAACGTATGTCTTGGAAAAAGGAAAGTTAACATGAGAGGGAATTCCAAAATAAAGAAGAGGAGAAAAAAGATGCGAGAGGCAAGGTGGGACAGAGAAGGTTTTTGTCGGCAACCCTACTGAGGCCTACTTTACGCTTAAGAAAAGAGTATGTCCTTTGCCGCCAGGGGTAGGTTGCCTAGATTCAATCATCAATGAGGTTACATAGAGTAGTATCTTCAGTGTCCACAACGACATCGCATTCACCCGTCCCGCCCACGACATCTCGGCCGGTATTTTTTCTTTCTCTTTGCTGAAACGCCACAAAATCTACATCCCACCTCTGGCGTAGGTACTCTATCGATAAGAGCACGGATTTCATCTATTGATCGCCTCGGAGGTTCGGACACAATTACTGGGCTACAAGTAGGTACCTGCGAGTATCTTTCGAGTACCAAGGAGCAGTGTATCCAACCTGGTATTCCGTGCACTAGAGGTGGTTTACGTGCACGGGCCACGGAATCTGTAGGGCACCATCATGGTCGTTCTACATAGGTACCTTCATTGAGGGATTGTTGCGGTGTATTCGAATAATCCTGCCAAAGAGAATCCTCTAGGTATCTGTGTTCTCAAGGGACTATTAGCTTACTTGTATCGACTGGTATTCTGGAGGGGGTTTGTTTCTCGATGAGTCAAGTTTGCATCGTAGTTATACCTTACACACGAGCAGCGATCCTGAGGAGTCGTCCGTGGCCCCGACGACCAAGGAGAATTTTTCGCAGCCATGCGCGACGTAGGGCTACAGGCGAGCGCGAATCACGTAAGAGACACCGGTAGGCGCGACACAATGGGTGATCGTCGTTACCTAAGGATTGTTTTTGGAACCGCACCAAGTCGGTTTGCAGAGTCATAATTCGACCGATGATTGGAATTCTGACCGCATGCTTTTGGGCATCGTGTTTAAACCCTTTCGAGCCTTTCCCATCCAAGACTATTGGCTGCGATGCTCGCTGCCTGAAAGAAGGGACGGCTGAGATGGCTTGGCCGTTCTTTTGCGCCATCGATAAAGTCCCATTCTCCTCTGACTCAAGAAACCTCACCGACCCTATTGCGTGTATCGATCGCGGCGACAGACAATGGACGAACCACTCCTCCGCCCGGCCACAACGACGGCGACGGCGACGCCTCGCGGACTCGTCATTCCAGCAGCCCTCACATTCCTCCTCGCACTGTTCGTGGTGCGGTACGTGGTAGGGGAGAGTAAGCGGGTAAGACCAGCCCCTTTGCACCACTGGACCAAGCAGGGAAAAGACGAATCTCAATGACCTTCCTTTAGGTCCGTTTCGTCGATGGCCGAAAGTGTCAAGACCCGCCGATGCGCCAGGAACCGTTCTACACGTTCGGCCTTCGTGGACAGCTCCGAACGGTCAGAGCGTCGCTTGCGCAGGGTCTACCCCCGCGCATGGTCCGCGCCTGCGATGAGCTCGGCGACACTTGGGGCTACAAGCTGTTCGGCACCCGGACTATTATCACACGTGATCCCCGGAACATCCAGGCAATGCTGGCGACGCAGTTTGACGGTACGTTCGTTCGTTCGACGCATGCGGTGCGGTGCCGTGTAGGGCGCGGCGTGCTAAATTTCATGCAGATTACAAGCTGGCGACGGATCGCGATGCTATGCATCAGCTTTTGGGCACCAAGGGAATCTTCACACAGAACGGTCAAGGCTGGAAGAACAGCCGTGCTCTGCTCCGCCCCAACTTCGACAGAGCGCAAGTGGCGGAACTCGATAGGCTCGAGCTCTTCTTCGAGCAGATGCACCGGAGGATTGAGGCCGTGGCCGGAGAGAATCGATGCGTCGAGATGCAGGAGCTGTACAAGAAGCTCACAATGGATTCCTCTTCGGATTTTCTGGTCGGCAGTCCCGTCGGCTCGCTTTTCCCCGATGCGGACGATAAGGGTGGGGTGTCGTCGCAGACGTTCTCCGAGGCTTTCGATGTAGCTGAGGTCACCATTGCGACACGATGGGCGCTCAGTAACCTCTACTGGCTCTATAGCCCTAAGCGATTCAGGGTTGCGTGTGCGGCTGTTCGTGGAATGATCCGAGGTTATGTGGTCGAGTCGCTTCAGGTGCGAGCCGAAAAGAAGAAGGGACAGAATCGCTACGTGTTCTTGGATGCCCTGGCCGACACTACTCAGGAGCCACAGGTTCTTCAGGATCAGGTGCTCAGCGTCTTGCTCGCCGGCCGCGATACCACATCCGCGTTGCTATCTTGGACTACGCTCTGCCTCTCGAGACACCCAGCGGTGCAGAACAAGCTGCGTGCGGCGATCGCAGCCACTGTTGGAGTTGGGGCTTCCGCAAAGATCCCCACCCAAGAAGAGCTGAGAAGTATCACTTATCTCAAGTGGGTTCTGAACGAAGGTGATCAAACCCCCCACCGCCGTCGCTGTCGTGCCTTCGCATCTAACAGAAACAGTCCTCCGTTGTTATCCGCCACTGCACGCAAACACCCGCTGCGCTCGAGTCCCCACCACCCTGCCGTACGGCGGAGGCCTCGACGGCAACAGTCCCATCTCGCTCATGCCCAACGAGAAAGTCGTGTACTCCTCCTTCTGTTTGCAGCGTCGCAAGGACCTCTACGGCGAAGATGCGGATGAGTTTAGACCCGAGCGGTGGGGAGAAGAAAAGATACGGAAAATTGGATGGGCTTATATTCCGTTCAATGGAGGTCCTCGCACCTGTCTTGGCCGTAAGTGGTCCCGCCGCTCCGTGTTTCTCCTACTTACACCCGACGCATCCGCTCACTGACTATGGTTTTGCAAAGAGCAATTGGCTTTGACCCACGCTTCTTACTTCCTCACGAGGCTACTGCAGACGTACGACGTGCTCGAAGAGGACCCGGAGTTTGAGGGCCTAGACATCAAGTACGACAGCAAGATCAATATGTCTTCCGGGCGTGGTGTCCACGTGAAGCTCGCGTAGGAAGAATACCTACATACAGTTTGTATGGAGTACATATGTACCTACAGTTCGCATAGAGTACCTACAGTCTGTATAGAGTACCTACAGTCCGAATAGAGTAATCTGAATGTGGGGTATGAGGGGTATACCGAAGGAAATATATGTCGCAACTGTCAACCGAACGGAGTTATTTCCTTGGAAGTTCGTCAGATCCGTGCGTGCTTCTAACCGAGTGATGATGAGTGAGTACTGCCTTCCATCCGGGCCCGCCATCATGGTAACGACCCAATTCCACCCCCTCCACATCAACCCCGAAAGGCCGAACCGTTCCCGGAAGTTCCGGAAACACCGCCGCGGTACTTCAATTCAGCTGGAATGTGGAGGAGCATGTGCCTGGGATGTTTAGGCGGAATTGACAGCTGCCTGGTCACGGTATTAGCCGCGCATAATCCCGTGAGCGAGCGAAAACAATGGGTAAGTGGTTACGGGTTTTGAGTAGAGTATGGAGTCGGACTAGCGGCTATTGCCCTTCCACGGTGCTAAGGAAAGAAGCAGAACCCCCGCAACGCCCATACAGGGCCCTACGACGCGTGGCGACTACTATACCGTATGGAATTCTCCGAAAGTACGGGGTGCAGATGCATCTATCTCATCTTATGACAGCTGCGGTAGTACCTACTCTACTCTAGTCTACAGCTCGCCATTAGCATCAGACGGTCCATGCTGTAGGTATAGTATCGTCATACGATGGGTATGTTACCAACTTACCACCTATATAAACGGCCACGACCTCACTCCGTTTCCGTTTTCTTTTTCTCCACTCCTCAGCCAGCTCAGCGCCTTCACTTCCGATTTACATTCTTTCCAATACTTACATTCATTCTTTCACAGCGAGTCTGTTCATTCATTCGGTCGTCTCAAAACACCTAGAACTTCACCTGCAACGCATAACAATATGCGTCTCGTATTCCTCTTCATCTCCCTGCCCGCCCTGGCACTCGCCCAGGTGACGGGCTCCGCACCCGGTTTCGCAACCGGTACTACCGGTGGAGGCAGTGCTACGCCGCAGTACCCCGCCAGCATCGCCGAGTACGCCCTCCATCCATCTCGCATTTTCCAAAGGGCACGATTACTGACAATGGGTGAAACAGGCTCAAGTCCTGGCTCGCGGACTCGACCGCCCGTGTGATCATGCTGAACAAGGAGTACAACTTCCTGACGTCGGCGGGCACGACCACCGCGACCGGTTGCCGTCCCAGCTCCAACACCTGCCCCAACGCGGGCGGGCAGGACGCCATCAACGGCGCCAACTGGTGCACCAGCGGCGGCTATCCGAGTGTCTCGGTCACCTACGACACCGCGGCCCTGACCCCGCTCGTCGTCAACAGCAACAAGTCGCTCGTCGGCGTCGGCAGCGCCGGTGTCATCCGCGGTATCGGTCTCAGGATGGCAAACGGCGTCCAGAACGTCATCGTCCAGAACGTTCACATCACCCAGCTCAACCCGCAGTACATCTGGGGTGGTGATGCGATCACCCTCGTCGGCACTGACAAGATCTGGATCGACCACTGCAAGGTAACCACCCCCGCTCCTCCTCCCCCGCTGTCCTAGCTAACAAGAAAACATAGTTCTCCCTCATCGGTCGCCAGATGATTGTCACCGGCTACGACGCGGCCAAGCGCGTCTCGATCACCAACAACGAGTTCGACGGGCAGACCTCGTGGTCCGCCACCTGCAACGGCCAGCACTACTGGACCCTCCTCTTCCTCGGCGCCGCGGACAAGATCACGATGGCCGGCAACTACCTGCACCACGTCTCCGGACGCGCGCCCAAGGTCGGCGGCAGCGGCGACATCACCTTGCACGCGGTCAACAACTACTTCTACAACATTGGCGGGCACTCGTTCGACGTGTCTACCGGCGGCAACGTGCTGATGGAGGGTAACGTGTTCGAGTCCGTCACGACTCCCATCACCACCGCTAGCAAGACCGGTGGTGGAACTATCTACAACGCTGGAGGATCCACCTGCTCCACTTACATCGGTCGCTCTTGCCAGGCGAACTCCGTCTCCAGCTCTGGTACCTTCGATGGTTATGGAAGCACCTCCGCCATGGCCGGCTTCTCCGGCTACACCGTACACCCTGCTGTGGCCGCTAGCGGTGTCAAGGCCAGTGTTGTCTCCAACGCCGGTATTGGAAAGATCTAAGCGATCGTGGCTTCGAGTGGAGGAAAAAGGGGGGGCGGGGGTGATGGTGAGGGGGGGAGGTGTAAGCGAGAGAGTTGTGCAGTGGTTGTATGTATCTAGTTGAAGGAGGTGGAGGAATAGGAGTTGAAGGCGGAGGCGGAGGAGGGGAATAGCCCACTGAGTGGGCATAATCCATTATCCATCTATATTCGCGCACTTATCGCACTTATCGCACTTATCGCTTGCAAGTTGCAAATTGTAATCTCTACCTCTACCGAGGGACAAAAAAACCTTACCATACCCGCGGGCCCGATCTTCCGGTCATTCGCAGATATAGCATATAGTGTACTGTATATATGCAGAATCTCAATCTGTGCCATGGTGCGATAGTGAACAGTGCACACCGCATCGTCGAAGAAAGGTACAAGAGGTCCAGGATCGGGGAAACGGAAAGTGTACATACTTTTGCATACCCCGCCGCGGACCCGCGGCCGAGTACCGAGTACCGGATGATGATGCAGCCTTTATCATATCTTCTCACCCGGGGTATCCATCTTTTTTTTGAGTTTTTGCTTTACGGCTCATGCGAAGTTGGTCGCTGACACGAGCTATTCACCTTCATCGCGGCAATAGAGAGGATATCCCTCCCTCACCCCCAGGTTGGGATATTTCATTATGGCATCATCTTGATGGGTCGAATACTTTATGGTGCGACAACAGAGGACGAAAACGTAGGCAGTGAACAGTATAGTCATACCACCCGACTCTTATGTGCTGAGCCAAATGGGACGGACGGCTACCCACTATACGGTGCATACTTAGGTAACATGAGAACTTGAGTCAGTAAGTATATTAGTTGGTCGCCGACAGCCTGGCACGAGCCATTCATCCCGGGTTGGGATACCGTAAATATTCCATTTTTTTGATTCTGGATGGGTCGAATCGAATGCTTTATGGTGCAACGAGTCACGACAAAAGACAATAGACGAATACGAAAACGCAGTGGACAGTGTCGTATAGTCCTATGTACGAGCTGCACAGGCGAACGACTACCTACGGTGCATAGTTAATATGAGGAATTGAGTGGATATGAAGCCTCCGCAGCTCCAAGGCGAAACCCGCAGAACACGTACTTTCGCAACAGCGCGATTGAGGCACAACGAGTGATACACGAGTATACCTACTATATTCAACATCCATGAGTCCAAGCATTCCGCACCTCGATTCCTCTTCCCCTGTCTCGCCCATCATGCCCGTCAATTCAATTCGTAAACATACATCACACATACGTTAAATACACCCCCCCTCCCCCCGCCCCCTCAGCTGACTACATCCCAACATCTCAAGCCCGCACCCGCACGCAATCCAGTCCAACGCCCGCACAATCACAATCACAATCACCATTTCCTCAACCCAGTTACCAACCAGTTACCAACCATCCAAGCAATCAACCATCCATCTATCCAAAAAAGTAGGAAAATTATGTATGGCTGAAGCCGCCAATCCTAGTCAAAAAAGGAAATGGAAAGGAAGAGCAAATCGCACGCAATCCTTGCGCCATAGTATCACCCTCGAACCGTAGAGATGAATAAAACCCTCCCCCCACCTCCCGCCTCCCGCCGCCTCCACTTTGCTTTCCTTTTTATTCTTATTTACAACAAAAAGAAAAACAACAACCTCAACCCGATACCTAATTGATCGTCCTCGAGTGTTACGAAAGGGAAAGCATCACCTCATCACGCCCTATCACTCGCCTTACTACTCGCCACTCCCGAACCCCGTATTCGGGATCATGAAAAAGTCCATTCCGCCGCCGGCGGAGCTAGCCCTAGAGCTAGGCGCGCTAACCTCACTGACGGTTGTAGTTGCGGCGGTGGTGGCTGCGGCGGCGGAGGCAGCAGTGGCAGCCTGATACGCGGCGAAGCCCTTGGTGGTTTCCTCAGCCGCACGATGATACCTGCCCGCCTCACAGTCACGGCCGACCCTGCCGGCAGCCGCAGAGTGGTCGTCCGAGTAGCCCTCCTCGTCCATCTCGTCGTAGTCCTCTTCGCTGTCGTCGCCGTCCTCGTCAAGGACGTCGACATCGACGTCTTCCTCGTCGAGGACGTCATCGTCGTCGTCGCCCACGCTGCCGTCGTCGTTGGTGACGGGCGAGAGCTGGCCGCGGGCGTGTTGCACCACCTCCATGGTCCCGGTGCTGCGCCAGCCCGGTGGGGGCTGTGGCGGGGGCTGCGATAAGTCCACGCCGCTGGCGCCGCCAACTCCCATGCCGAGGCCGAAGTGCTCGCCGCTGCCAACGGTGCTCTGGTAGCCTTGCACGGTGCCGACTAGGGGCCCACGTTTCTTCCACTGTTCCTGCTGCAGGTAGCCGGCGCTGGCATCTAGCACGCCCACGGCGAATTCCATGAAGTCGGCGCCGCGGCTGGAAACACGCAGTGTCCAGCGGTACTCCGAGAGGCGGGCCTTGTAGAAGTCCGCCTCCTGTATCGAGGGCGACGTGGCCCACAGGAGAGAGCCGAAAGTGCCAATGAGAGCAAAGTTGACTTTGGAGGAAAAGAACCAGAACGACTGCAGGTGCTCCGGTTTGAGACGGTTCACGAAATCCATGGCTGATATCAAGCGGGTTTTTGCGGCGGACCGGCAGATGTGCAGCAGGTACGGGTCGACCTGCGTGGATACGCTGAGAGTGCGCAGGATCTGTCGGTGCAGAGTTATCTCGGTGGCAAAGTAGGCGAGATGTAGGGAGCCTGTGTCGTGAGGGGGCACATTAGGAGGTATCTCTTGAAATTATTCACCAGAGGAAAAAGAGGAGACAGTACCAGTGGACGATAATCGCCTAGTTCTCGTAGTCGCATCCATTCGCAGGCACTCGGGCAACTTGATGAACCACTCCTTGAGCCGTATCTGAATCGGTTTCGCGCGCTCCAGCACCTTCTGGATGCCTCCCCGTGCCGCGAATCCCATCTGTGCGTCCACCGTGAAGAACGTCTCCAACACGTCCGCCATCAACCCCGACAGTTGGATCATCTGCTCGAACAACATTCTCCCCTTCTCCACCTCTTGCGACCCATCTTCCTCGTCATCCTTTCTCTCCTGTTTGATCCCATCCGGCGACGGCCACGAGTCGGGGAAATCTTCGGGTTCGACCGGTCGTACCGCCCAATTCGCTTTCGCGATGTGCGACGGCCGACCATGCGTTAGCGCACCCCACTTGTCCTGCATGAACAGACCCCACGCCAATCGTTTCCGCAGTCCCTTCTCCCACCTGGGAATCTTCCAGCTGGAGCAGTTGAGGTGCAGACCGAGTTCCTGCCCGACGGCCACCAGCTGCGCCGTGAACGGCCACGCCGACCCCTTCATCTCCTCGTTCCTCTGCAGTAGCAGTAGGCCCGCTTGCACGGTCGACAGCTTGGGCCGGTTGATGACATCAGCCATCGTTTTCGTCGCCAGCTTCTCGAGCACCGACACATCCGGTTTCGGTAGCGCGGCGAGTTCGCGGTCGTAGCTCCACCAATGCAGAGCGAGAATGTAGACGGCGGCGAGGAGCGGCGGCGAAAACTCGCGATGGGTGCGCGCATACTTTTCGAGGAACACGCGCTTGTGAAGGATGGGAAAGCTGGGATGCACGATGCGGAAGTATAGGTTCAGCAGCTTTTCGCCGTGCGGCGAGACGACCCTCTCGATCTTGTCCAGGTCCTCGTAGATCTCCGAGTGATTCGGCGTCGGCTCGTCGGGGTACAGGGTGAAGGTGGTTTCCGCGCACACCCGGCGAAACGAGGTGACCTTGGAAAGGGTCGAGAGGGCGTATTCATCTTTAGTATCGATCGGGCACAGGTCGATCAGACACTGTTCGTATTCCGCGGTCGGGCCGATCAGGTGCGAATGACGATTGCCTTGCAGGCCGAGGGTGTTGTAGAGGGAATTATTGGGATGCGCCGAGTAATCGGTGATGGGAGGAGCATCGCGAATCGGTTTCGACCGCCGCGGAGATGTCGGAGATGTATTGCGACTTCTTCTCGGATTAAGTTATCAGCCACCCACGTCGCCAGTGTAGGAGAAAGTGGGGAGGTGGGGGTGTGCAGTGCAGATTGTACAACTCGAGATCTCAGGCGAGAAACAAAAATTAAAACAATTAAAACCCAATTTAATAAAAAATCTCGGAAAAAAAAGAAACACACGCACAAGCACAACACAGACGCACACATACCGCTTCTTGCCATTGCCATTGGAACCGCTCTCGTCTCCGGGTGCTGCACTCTCGCGCACCAATCGCCGTTTTCGAGGTTGCGGACTTTGCACGAACGTGCATTCTTGGCTGTGGAATTGGCAGAGCACGCATTTATCGGCGCCCTCGTTCATGACGCAACGCGACTTCCGTCGGCGGCATGCATCGCACGGTCGCTCTTTCCGGCCCTTCGCGTAGGGTTGTCCCGTGCCAGCTGCTGGCGTTGCGCCGCCCGTCGGGGTGTTTGTACCATTGCTCGCCGCCGAAGCTTCTATCGCGTGAGCAGCCTTTGTTGCTGCTGCATTGGTAGTAGTGGTGGTGGTGGTTGTCGTATTAGTAGAGATTGAATTCGAGCGCGAGTGTGCCCTCGATGCGGGAGTCGTCGCTAATCCCGATTTCTGCGGAGTCGTTATCCGAGCGGCGACTGTCGCGATCGGGGTGGACGACGCGGTGCTGTTGCTGGCAGCGGGGGACGCGGCGGCGGCGGCTGCGGCTGCGATGGCATTGTGCGAGGTCGACGACGGCGATGAAGACGGGGCCGGGGCCGGGTCCGCTGTTATGAGCGTCGATAATGTGGTGGCGGCGGTTGTGGTTGTAGTGGTGGCAGCCGAAAATGTCGACGATATTGTCGAGGAGACGGAGGAAGCGGAGGAAGACGAGTACTTTGTAACGGACTCGGCGATCGTCGTGTCGGCGGAGTTCATTGCCGGAGGTCAGTGATCCGCAATCACGAGACGCAAAAACTATCGTGAACCCGGGGCAAGGGCAACGATGACGGCTGGTTGGACAGGCGGTACAACGCGGAGTATAGAGTAGCCTAAGTCTAACCACACAGGACGGGGGGGGTGGGGAGGATGGGAGGGCAGTACCGCACACAGCTGTGCTATTGTGAGTATAAATAAATAAATAAATAAAATACACAGGTACAGGAACACGCAATTCTCGTGCGGAATCCAACAGAGAGCAAGGAGAAATTGTCCAGCAGATGGAGTGGAAGTGATGGGAGAATTTAGGAGCGTGGGGTAATGGTAGAGGAGGAGGAGGAGGAGGAGAAGGTGGAGGTGGAAACGGTGGTTGTGGTAGTGCTGGTGCTGGTGGGTAGTTGGTGGAAGGGGGGGGCAAGATATCGTGTGTTCGGGAAGATGAGGAAAGGGCCGATAAAGCAGGATATCGATTATCGACACGCACACACGGAACAGATTGGCACGGGATATTTGTTTCACAGGATCAAGATGGCAATTGCATGCAATGGCCACGGAAGTATATAGTAGAGGAAGAGGAAGAGGAAGAGGAGGGAGGGGAAGAGGAAGAGGGAACAGGAGAGGGAGAGGGAGAGGGAGAGGATGGACGCCTCCACCAGCAGCAGCAGCGGTGGTGGTGGTGGTGGTGGTGGTGGTGGTGGTGGTGGTGGTGGTGGTGGTCGTAGTGGTGGTGTTGGTCGTAGTGGTGGTAGTGGTAGTGGTGGTGGTTTGGCCCGGTATAACGCATCAGTCGTACCTTTCGATATCGAAATAAAATAGTAATAACCACAGCTCTCGTCTGGTAACAACCCGGCGCCCAGTTATCCAGTTATCCAGCCAGGGAGTATGCAAGTGAGGTATGTAAGTAGGGTCGGTAGCATCCAGACGTGATGGGCCGAAGAGCGAGGGATTCCTCCGCTCCCGGAAGCCGATGCCTGCAACTCATTAGTTAGCTTTGCGTGCATCACAGGCACGCAAGGCCAGGCACAGAGACCCTGTCTGGTCCCTTTTTTCGGGCACTACGGACAGAGTGACCTCACCGTCCGGAAACCACACGAGTTAGAGTCGACACCAGCCAGATGGTTATACTTTGCTAAGCCGTGGCCAGCCGACACCCAACTCACTTGGGGGGATGTCGGATCGAACTGGGGCTCAGTGGGCCACCCGGTGGTACAGATCCGGAACTGGCGATGCAGGTCGCGATTGTGGTGGTGGTGGTGTTGGTGGTGTTGGTGGTGGCGGTAGTTGTGGTTTTGGTGGAGGTGGTGGTGGTGGTAATGGTGGTGGTGTAAGAGGCGTTAGTTAGCAAGATCTTCAAGGCAAGTTGTGTGTGCGCGCGTGCTCCAGCTGTGCCGTGATATGTGGGTTGGTAGAGCAGGTATGTACGGTTGCGGTCCCGATGCTTAAGGGGAGGATGCGAAACCCGCATGGACGAGGGAAGACTCCCCCAGATGGACGAAAGGGTGGGAGGGGGGGTGGGAGATGCGTAGTGGGGGATCCGGAACTTCGAGGACGTGGAATCGCGATAAGCCTCTCTCCGGGGGGGGGTGATTCCTTGCAGGTCCCTAGTTCAATAGTTATTAGCGGATCCGCACTTGACGCTTGCGTGTGTGTGGCTCACTGCTCACTGCTCAGCAGCTCATCTCGTCCGTCGTCACCAAACAATTACTTACTATATTGGTGTTTCCGTGACGGTCGATTGAGGTGATGGCGATGAGTGGCCGTCGACGGGGGAGGGGGGGTGGACAAGCAGATGATGTCGCGCATGCAGTTTCTCGAACAAACTGTCGGTCCGATCAATGAGGACGGACGACCACATACGACGTGTTCAGAACCGGGGTAGCTGTTGACGGTAGACGCGGTGGATGCCTGCAGATGGGCGTCGGCTGGGATCGAGTATAGGACGGACTCCTGCTGATGTTTCATGCGGAAGCTCTGCTGAGGGCATGGCTGGTGTAAGTATGTAGAGTACTTGATACGAGAGCGGGCTGATACTATGGAGTATGTACCGTGTGTACCGTACCTACTGGCCGGAGAGCGGGCTGATAGGCGATCACGAGATCGGTATTGGACGGACAGAATCACTGGGGGCAGATAATGTGCTGTTGTTGCACCACACACACGATACGGCCGGTGTAGAATGATGATTCTCTCGGTCATTTCGAATTCGTCGGACTCGTAGCGAGCGGCGGCACGATGCGATGTGAGCAGTGGGGAAGGGCAGGACGATCGCAAGGTGGGAAACGATGATGTCGACGAGCGAGTGAGCTCAGACACTCGGGAGAGATAGAGGGAGAAGAATTCGGCTTGCGAACGGCAATTCGCAAGCCTGCTTGCTTGCTTGCTGCCTGCAAGAAGAAGCTCGACGGGTGGCTGGGTGTGTTTTTTCCCTTCTTTTCTTTTCTTCCTTCTCCTATTTTGCTTTCCTGATATTGGCTGCTGGTAGCTGCTGCTGATGGGGTTCAACGGGCACCTGCCATAGTTATCTCGTTTCCCCCGGCCTCTCTCTCTCGAGTTGCCGATTGATTTGATCACCACCCTTAGCAACCAGCATCAGGATATCTATCTCCAGAGTCCAGAGTTTACCCCACGCTTTCTCGTTCAATAATAGCGATGCTAGCCAGCCACATCCCGGAAAAACTGCGTGGGGATTGCAACAAGTTTCCTGATACGTAACATGTGCCTTCCTGGCATGCTCCGCTGCGCGTGCCTGGTCGGTCCGCCGGTCGGTCTCTCTGCCTGCCGTTCGGTCATGTCATCTGCACCTCTAAGAAAGGTTCTCCGCAACGCGAGGGGAAATGGAGCCAAGTACACACCTACCTACATACATCCTTACTTACCTACTCATGTACATACGACCTTTGCTTCCCGCCTTCCTTCCTTCCTTCCTTCCTTCGTTTCCGCACGCGGGCCTGGACCGTGCAGCAGGTGTTGGCGGTACCCACGTACGTAACATAAGGGAGGAGTAGGTGCCTATGTATGTATGTACCTGCTCCTGGTTCTCCCGGTGCCGGTGGTATGTAGGTAAGTAAATACTTGGGTATGAATGTATGATATGTAGAGCACCAAGCCCCGGGGCCCACCTGGAAAGAAGGAGAAAAACAAAATCTCCTCGAGTCGCCGACGTTGCTCCCGGGAAAAATAATAAAACATCTCGTAATCCCCTTCGCTAGCTGGATCGCGGTCATACATACCTGCCGTACATATATCATACACACATAGAGTACGGTGGTGTGGCTGTGGCTTGGACGAACTTTTGCGAGTTGACCGAGAAGTATGATATGTAGGAACAAGCCGCTTTCCGCGAGTGGTGTTGGGTCGGAGAGAGGAGCGCACGTGTGGCCGTGTCGGAATGGGGAAGGTCGGCACGTGGCGGTTGTCGTTTGGCCCCCATCTTTCGTTAACGGGCATTTTGATGGGCATTGCTGACGGCCTTTTTGACAGCCATTAGTTATCGACGGCCATCGCTGTAGGATAGAGTAGAGTACCAACCAACTGCTATAGCTATACCGTATGTACTCCATACATACTTCGAGTACCAGGTAGAGTATACTATAAGTTGTAGATATAGACTCGAGTCTCGACATGCCGGACCGACGCCGCTGCTGTGGTTGACAGTCTGCTCGAGTCGCGATGGTTAGTTACGGTCCGCCTCCGCCCGCCCCAGTCCAGCCGAGGAGGGTTAGGGCGACGCTAGCTCGTGTCGGTCCTTTATCTCGTCCCTTCGCGTCCCTTCGCTGGCTATGATTGGCGAGCTGCACCCTTATCTTCTGCACACTTCCTGGCCTTCCTGTCCATCCTGCCCATCCTGCCCATCCTGCCCCTCCACCACCCCCCCCCCCCCATCCTTCCTTCCTTCCATCCCTCCCGCGTCGTGTAGAGTAGAGTAGTCTAGCGACTAGCTCGTAGGAAGTCTCCGGGAAATCCTTACATAACGCGAGTATTACGCATCAAGCATCAGCGGCTCTTTCTTGTTGCTCACGGTCGACACGAGAACAGCAACCCACCCTCTCCTGCAGAGTTACGCATCTATGATATCTGATAGGTATCATGCAAAACGTCCCCCCTTTAGCCCCGCCCCCTCCCAAGGCCCCAATTCTGTTCCAAGCTGCCGGCTCGATTTCTCTCGTCTTCCATCGGCCGTGGTAGCCTTCTCCGCTTGTCACCTTTCTTCCTGTTGGTTGTCCAAAGTATGTGTGTAGGTAGGTAGGTGCTATGGTAATAGATATCTGCCACTGACATCAATCTCACCTATGGATAGGTAGGCAAGTAGGTACTAGCCCAGAGCCACGGGATGTTTCCAGTGCTACTCTAGTTTCGTCCACTCAAGTCTGTAGTCGAGTAAACCGTTCAAATCGATCCCGAGTTTTTATCGTGCGCCAGTTGAGCTGCCCGGGGGGGTTTTATCGCGGGTAGTTAGTTGTGTGTAGGTAAGTAAGGACTTGGCGGGGGGTATGTACCTAGGTAGGATCTGGATAGCTAACTACTGTAGCGGGAGCCTGCGCGAGAGGGCGCTCACGCGGGCGTTCGCCGGGCTATGTATGTGTACATATGGAGAGTACATACATACATACACAGCAATCGACACTCCGCTAATGGCGGTTCCACCGACTATAGTAACAGTCTGGCACATGGTAAGGCCGAGCCATGGATCACCAGCACTATCACCATCACCATCAGCATCACCATCGCATAGGAAGGTAGGTAGGTAGGTACTCAGGTAGGTAGTGGTGGCGGTTGGCAATTGGCAGGCAGGTTTGTCTGCGGTGTGCGCAGAACCCCAACCCGGCGTGTGCACGGGCGCGGGTGCGGAAGTATACTCTACTGAGAGTATGATACACCCGTATGCACCATGAAACGGCGACCTGGACAGTTCCGATTTCGAAAATCCCATTACATAAAAGCTCCCACCCTGTCTGCTGCACGCAAAAACCAGCAAGCAATCAAGCAACACAGTCCAGTAGCATATGGGACCCTTTGGAGGGGGGGTTGGTGGGAAAGAACGAGAAAAAAAAGAAAAAAAGAAACGGAGGAACCGACTCACAGGGAATCACTGACAGTCTACTATTATACAGCGTCGTGTCGTGTCGTGTGGTCTTGCTGCTGCTACTGCTGCTGCTGACATATCATAGCATGTCCACGGGGAGACAGCAGGTTCCCATCATCATCCTCCTCCTCCTCGAGAGAGACTCGCATCTCTACTGTATGATACCAACTCACATCGATGGTGGGGGAAACCCCGTATCACCAATTGGAGCCGGAGGCAAATCATCCTCACATCGGATCGCACGCACCACTGGAAAAAAAATAGGCTCCTCAGCCCGGATGTCCGTATGTGTATGTGTATGTATAGTACATATCTCGCGCGACAGGGTCTCGCTCCATTTCCGTCCAAGTTCCAGTGCAGAAATCCAGTTTGATTGGGTTTTCGGGTAGGCAGGTAGGCAGGTAGGTAGGCAGTGGATCTCTCCAGCCCCATCAGCGCGACTACATAGGTGGGTCTCGCTGTCTCGCTGTCACGCTGTCACTTCCCCAACCGCATGAACTCTGATTAAGAAAAAATGCGCGCCTCGTGCGGTTGTCCACGGCCACAGCCGTTGGCAGAGGGTGGTGGTCGACCGCATGGGTGAGAGATCCTATGATACCAGAGATGGTGAAAGAGCCGTCTCACTGGCTGGATAGCTGGCTCGCTGGCTGGCTGCTCGCCCAAAGTGTTTCCTGATGATCCGCCTGGAGAATAGTTGTTTCGCCCGCGATGAACCAGCCAGCGCCGCCTGCGATGCACACGGATTCCAATTCTCGGGCTTCTCTCCACCCCACGCTTCAGCTTTGCCCCTCCTCCTTTCCCATGTGAGCATTGAATTCACCACCCGCCCTCTCCCCTTGTGTCGTGTTGAAGCTCGCGATGTGATATGAAGAGAGAGCGATTCGATTCGAGCACCTACGTACAAAAATTGCTGTTAGTGGGGAGTAGGTATGGGCGCGCCAATTTCATGATCGCCCACTTTGAAAAAGCGGTGCGAAGGTGCGAAGGCGCCCCTCTTATCCCATCCATACCGCCATGCCATGGAGCTTATCTTCAGTGGAAGATACCTCGGGATCTCGACGCCATGCCATGCCATGCCATGTACATCCAGGCACACCGTACTGTTCCAGTAGGTATCTTTCGTGGTTGCGTACACACGCTCATCCACCGGCAACCCGTATTCCCCGGTGGGGTATCGCAGCTCGCCGGTGAATATGTAGTCCTCCGGCTCAGCTAAACCTCGCACACCCACACCCACTCTCCCAGCGCCGCAATCAATTGTGACGATTGGCTTAATCCGTCGCTGAACGAGTGACAATATGAGATGCTGACGGTGTGGGCACACGGGAAATCCCTATTCCTATTCCTTGGTATCGTTCTCTCCTGATCTTGTGAGTACAGCACTCCCTAAATACGTACCTCCTGTTGGCTCCGGCGAATCCCCCCCCCCCCCCCCCCACCGTGCGAGGCAGTGGTACCGTACCCGCGGAGAGGAGGGACAGCGGAGTGATCCACACCTGAGCGTGCAGTGCACTGTGCCGTGGGCGATGATGGAAGTGTTTGAGGGATTGTGTTCCTAGCGGTGTAGTTGATGCTGGTGCGTAAGCTTTGGCGTGCCAGTATGAAGGATTGATTCGGCGTGTGTACGGTGTGAGAGAGAGATCTTCAGTTTACTTTGTATGCAGTCTATCCTGAATATGGCGAAAACGTGTGTGCGACGGTTTTGCGGCCGCCTGTGTGGGTGGTGAAAGACGAGTGATGTCTGTGAACATGGCCGCTACCACCCATCAGTGTATGCTTTTTCTGCGGAGAATCAAGGCGGTCGAGCAGAGGGACTGAGTAGTTAGAGCGGCAGCTAAGGGTAACCCGGCCAGCTACGCTGTTGCAGCTCGGGTGTGGTGCTGAGTGTATTTGCGTATCCGGCACCGCATGCGGCCAGCGATGGCGCGGATCCGTGGGGCGTTAATTGTGGGTCGGGCTGAATGGGATGTTGCCTTTGTAGTCGTAGCGATGGAACCTCATAGCATACCCGCAACGGTCGAGCCCTGCAGATGTCGGGGAAGCCCATGCGTACGTGTTAGCTTGTGCTTCTCGTTCAAGGTGATTGAATGCATGGTATTCACATCGTGTCAGTTGCGAGGGCTCTTTGCCAATGCCTCTCCAGGACGACGGGCGTGATGAGGAAAACAGCACACGCAGAGGAGAGAGCGGAGATGGGGGGATAACCATCTATTCAATAGGTGATGAGGAAGAAAGAAGAAGAAAACACGCGGGTGCCAGTTTAAGTCCCCCCTCCTCCTCAGTCAGTTGTTGACGTAGTCTTGGAAGGACGACGGTGAAATGAAAGATGATGAAGAAGTTGAGGTTGTATTCAACTTCGAAGAGCCATCTAATATGGCTCTCCTTCGCTGCCTACAAAGTTCGGTGTCACTCGATCCGGCTAGTCCGGCTGACACCATCATGCCGATCCACCGATTCGTCTATATAGCCTTTCCTCCTCCTATCTTATCAGATCCTCCATCTATCCTACACGTGCTGGTCGGTGGCTGAGTTGTCAAGGACTCATAGCCACCGACCGCCCGCTGAATATTGCGTGGGCTACAGGTCACAAGTCGTTGATAGATATCTGCCCACCGAGTTTCTGATCTTGTTGGCACGCATGGCCCCCCTCGAGTGATATCACAGCTGAATGGACTGGCATATCCAGCGTCACTGCGACACGAAACCAGGAAACCGCAACAGCAATCAGAAGCTGCCAACGGAGCAATCAAAGACATCCAAGTCATCCCCGTCTAGACATAGCCGACCATAAACTACTGTGCACCGCCGTCATGAAACCGTGAGACATACACTCAGTATCCCGCCCATCTATCGACGCTCATCCCCATCCTCCTCGACCACTGCTTGCTCCGTCTTCAGCTCCCGATCCAGTGTCAACTCTCTAACCCAAATAGTGGCGAACAGGCCCGCCAGCGCAAACCCCAACATCGAGATCCACACGATCTGCAGTGCGTTCGTATATGCCTGCACGAATTGTGTTTTTAAGGGCCCACTAGGCATCCTCTTGATGAACCCTACGATGCCCACCGCATCGGTCGTATAGCCGTGTGCACCGCTCGCAAGCTCCGGGAACTTCTTCAATTCGTTCTTCAGCGCGTTCTGGAAGATCACCCCGCCCGCGGCGATGCCCAGGCCTTGCCCGACCCACCGCATGAACGAGTACAGCCCGACGGCGGTGGCCATGTCTTTGTCCGAGGCGCCGGATTGGATGCAGTAGTTGGTACCGGGGAATACCATCCCAAGCCCGACGCCAGCAACAACGTTCATGGGGATCCAGTGGCGCATCGGGGTGCCCACGTCGATCATGTACATTATCCCCATCCCAGTAGCGGTGAGCGACCAGCCACCCCAGAGAGCCCATCGGTAACGGCCGGTCTTGGTGATCAGGACGCCTGTGACGACGGCGGCTGGCATGACGGTGAAAGTCTCGGGGAAGCAGGCAAGGCCGGCTTGCATGGGAGTGTAGCCTTTGACGAGCTCAAAGTAGATTGGGAGGTAATACAGTAGCGACCAAAGGATCAGCCCGGCTGTCGCCGCACTGAAGTAGCCAGCCGCCGCGTTGCGGTCCATGAACAAACGCATGTTGATGGTGGGATTTTCGGCGCCGTAGATTTCCCACAGGACGAAGATGGTCAGGCCGGCTAAGCCCGCTAGGAGTGGGAGCAGAGTTCGCCATGAGGACCAGGAGTACATCACACCTCCCCAAGACAGCGGGATGAGTAGCGATGTGGTCGAACTGACAAAAATGAAGGAGCCGAACCAATCCACTTTCATCAACTTCGCCAGCATGCCTTCCCGACGCAGCTTCAGCTTGACAAAAAGCGGTATCATGACAGCAAGCACGACGCAAAAGGGAATCTGTAGGTATTTGCTCCCCGTATCAGCACCTGCACATACACATACTCTCTTGCTCCTCGGGGAACCCCCACATTGATCCAAAAAATCCACCTCCACGAAACCTCACCCGAGAATCCACCACCCACTACCGGCCCCGCCACCGACCCGAGCGAGTTTGTTCCCGAGAGGAAAGCAAAGTACTTTCCACGCTGCCGCATCGGCACACAATCAGTGATGACGATCTCCGCGAGCGCTATTAGGCCACCACCGCCGACTCCCTGGATACACCGGCCGACCAGTATCACGGTGAAATTATTGGCGAGTGCTGCTATGATCGCGCCTAGGGATGTGCTCAGTTTTTATTCCTTCCAGCTTCAAACAGAGGAATGGAGTGCACACCTGCGGTGAACAACGTGAGTGCAAAGATAATCACCGGCTTGCGACCAAAGATCCCCGAAAGCGACGACTGTCCCGCCACCATCCGTCAGTTCAATGGGGCCGCACGACACCCTCAAGAAGTTCCCATACCAGAGTGGGCTGAAAAACCGTTGCACACAATAGATACGACGTGCCCGCCCAGAAAGCCGTAATAGCATCCGCATTCAGCTCTTCCGCCATAACCGGCAGCGCCACGGAAAGCGATGTCGCATCCAGGGCGATCAGCAACGTAACCTGTCACCCATCATCACCCCAATCAGTCTTGCATCTTTCCACTATCCCGTCCCCACCCCTAGCTCTAGGGCACTTACGGTACACATCGTAAGAACGATTAGCTTCACCCTCGTACTTGGCTTCCACTCGGTTGGCAGTGACGTCTGTGATGCCGACTTTTTCGTGATTGGCAGCTCGAGATTACTGTATCCGGAAGCGAGCGACGGTGGTCCTGTTGGTGACTCATCGCCCCACTCCCGCCATCGCTGCTGCGATGTGGGTGTGTCCGTCAGTTCGAAATCGTATCTGGGCTCGAAGGAAACTCGTTGGTGGGACATAGTGAGCGGCGTAATAGGTTTTTGACTGTGCGGGGCTTGCGGGGACGTGCGAGCCCACGGCGATGTGCTACCTTTATGTTACGTTCTGCCAGTTGTGTTTCCACACCGAAGCGGTCATCCCGAGGGTGAGGGTGCGAGATTCACCGCCTTGCGGCCTAAAAACATGTCAGTGTAAAGTCCATGGAGGCGAGTGTTCTGCTGCGGTGTGTCTATGTATGTACATTTCGACTGGGATCGTGGCCACCCCGTAGTTACGCCTTACCGTCTGCAGCCGCGGAATACTTTATACCTCCCGCATCGTCGTCGAAACAAGTTGCTAAAGCGGATCACCGTTGTTCTGCGAAGGATCCGAGCCCCGAAAAGACACTGTTCATCTAGTTGTTCGTTATTCATAGAACCCTCATATCATCCGTACCGTATCTCACGAAGGTTACCGTGGCTAGTAAACGCAGTTGGGAGTACATGATGTGTGGTAACTGGTCGAATCGAACCCTATAATACTATAGGCGCTACACGCCGTATATCGCCGCGGTACCCTTCTTTACGACACACCTGATCGACCACAAGAGACCCGGGAATAGGGTATCGAGATTCTCGTACCCATATATTAGACGGCAATATGACCAGCATTCTGGGTCAATCTACTCGGATCCTCCGCCGGTAATCGTACAATTCAGACAAACGTGTCGCAGGGATTTAAGACTTCAACTGGTGATCCTCGTTCGCTGACTCCATTCGGCTACGGTAGGAATTCCGTGCTGACGATGTTCATTGCTATTGGTGGAACGGGTGCTTCAGGCTACCTCCAGGAACTCTTTTCCGTTGTCCAGACGACACTGCCCGGAGGGTATCGAAAGGTAAGCACTTATATGATATCCCGCAAGGCGATAGAGTACCTAGTGCTTGCAGGGTTTGGGGCACACGTGAGCAGATATAATGTAGACACTGACGTAGTCCTCTCGAGTGGCGCTGCAGTGACATATAGTAGGAATACGGGAAATTTCATGCGTGTAAATGGATAAGGTCGGATGCGCCTCTTTTTCTCTGAATCCCTAGTTCTTACTCATCGAATTCATGTGATGTCACTCATGCGGCGAGCGAGCTCTCATGACTCGTGAGTCCCCATTCATTCTTGCTTTTCGCGTCGCGAAATTAATCGCACCTCAGTTACTTCCGTACAAACATGTCATCCTACGAGTCCCTATTCAATCTCGGCTCTTTGCGTTAAGTATTTAATTCTCAGTCCATCCCATCCTTCTCTCCTACCATCTCTCCCACCATCTCCTCTTCTCATCTCTCGAGTTTACCACCCACGACCGACAACATCCACTCTTCTGCAATTTTCGAATCGAAGTCGAACCAACCAGCCACTCACTACAGTAAGCCACCCGATCGATAATCCATCTTCTCTAATTGTGTTGACACCTCTGGAAAATCAAGAGAAAATGGCTCCAAGAACAAGAAGCGCCTCACGGCCAAGAAGAAGCTCAAGAATCGTGGCAAAGCCAACTGCCAATAAGACCGCCGAGCAGAAGAAGAAGCCGGCGCCCAAGAAGGCTGCCGCAAAGCCTCAGGGCATCAGCAAGCGCGCCCCGAAGAAGGCTACCCCCAAGAAGTCCGCGCGCGCCAGGAAGCCCGCCGCTAAGAAGTCCGCGCCCGCCACTGTCCTCGCGCCCGCCACTGTCCTCGCACCCGCCGCCGTCCCCACGCCCGCTACTTTCCTGCCACCCGCCGCTCTTCCCACGCCCGCCGCTGTCCCCGCTCCCCCGTCGCCTCCTCCGCCTCCTCCGTCTCCTCCGTCTCCTCCGTCTCCTCACCCGGCCCCAGCCTTCGTCTTCGCTCCCACCCCGGGCACCACCAGATATACTTACCATCTCCCCGCCGATGACTCGGTCATCCATGCACTCAATGAGAGCCTGGTGGCGTGCCCGGAGCCGTCGGGTAAGTTGGAACGCTACGCGTTCCGCAACGAGGTTTTCCGTCGGGGTGAGATGCCCGGTATAAAGATGCACATCGAGGTCCCGGACACCTTGGGCTTCCTCGAGTGGCCCGAGGAGCTCAGGTGTCGGGCCCCTGGCTGGGAGGGGTATGTCGGAGCGGAAAGGGCACGCAGCCTCGCTGCTTTGCGGGGTTACAAGAAAGAGACAGTTGAGGAGAGCGAGGAGAGCGAAGAGAGCGAGCAGGAGGAGGAGCTGTCCTCGGGTGAAGAGGAGGAGCTGTCGCCAGGAGAAGTGGAGGAGCTGCCGACGGGAGAGGAAGAATCAGTTTAGTAGTGGCAGCAACGTTGGCGGGGTCGTCTTCTTCTCCTGTTTTTTTTCTTTTCTTTTTTTCCCGATCATAATCTATAATAAACGATCAACCACTATCTTCTCTTTCTCCTTTCTTCGTCTCTCTACCCGCCGCTTTCCAGCCTGGAGAGGCATTGGCGAAAGAGCCCTCGCAAAAACGACGAGGCGGCTCTTCGCCCACTGGAGGTACTGGCCGATGCGGCAGTTTCCTTTCTTCAGCTGGTAGAATCTTCCATCTGACCTCAATGGTGATCTCGGTCTCCCTCCGGCGGCGTGTGGCGATGTGCTTCAACGGGTGCCTGGATGAGGCACTTCTGGTGGATAAAATGTGGTGTGGGAGGCTACCTATCTGTATTATTTTACTCTTCTCTTAGTGTGATATGAAAGCTTTTCCGATTCGAGAAACACCATCAATTCACGAGAGAAAATAGGTACGTATAAAGAAAGAGAAGAAGATGCTGCCACTGCTCTTTTCAACCACTGGAACCCTTACAGTTCGCGTGCTAGGGACGTTGTCGGGCTCTATATAAAGTTCTTCGGCATCGATATTTCAATCTCCCACAGATAACCCATTTGAATCCTAGCGCCCACAACTCAGTGAGGCCATTTGAATGGAGTAGGTATCTTAAAGTGCTTCAGTCGTGAACAGAGTCCAGGCATCCAACCAGCAGCATAAAGCATCACTCCGCAGCACCCACAATCCCAGCCCCCTCCCCAATCTGTCAAAAGAACACCTAATCCCTCTGGAGCCATTCCCGACAAAAAAAACAACCAACCATTATGTCTCACGCTTCTCAACTCTCCGATTCTCAGCTCTCCGGTTTCCAGCTCTCCGATTCCGAACCAATCAACAAAGATACCGGCCAGGTTCAGGGTATCAAAGCCGGCAACAGCAACAGCAACCCTAGTACCGCGCCACCAAGCGCCGCACAACGACCAGCCGGAATCCTCAAGCCACCAGGCTGCAGCAACTGTCAAACTCCTTCTCCATCTACCGTGAAGAAGAAGAAGAAGCACGTGAGATTCACCGAGAATCTCCCGGGAGCGGCTGGCCAGAAAATCGGCTTGGACGTCTAGGAGCGAGTCACGGCCTATGATGTACTTTTGATGTGTGTTACTGCGGTGCTGATGGAGATGGGTGTAGGGGTCGTTGCAGGGGTGTGTGGATTGATTTGAGGGAAGGAATGATGGGTGGGATGGATGGGATGGGTGCGGTTTAGTCGCGGACGTTGGATTCAATTGTGCTTGATAGATCTTGCTGTGGTTGTTTGTGGATGCGGAATGAAGCTGAACGCTTGATGTAGGTCCTACGATTTAGCGCATAGAATATTAAGTGGGTTTTGTAAAACTTGTCACGCCAACGGTAGGATATCAGTGCTGGAACAGCGAGGGCACGGCCGTTTGTGATAGTAGAGTAGTGCCTGCTGAGATTATTGTCCCGGTTCGATCGGATGAGGAAACTATCGATGTAGCGACGTCCGCGATGGTAATTCCAGTCGAAGGGGGGGAGGGGGGGTCGCGACGCAAGTTGGCTTGCTTACAACAGCATGGCGACCCCACTAAGCTAGCTGTGTTCGCAGGTAGTGACCGAGTGATGCTCCCTGAAGTAGTCTTTCCATCCAAAATACTAGTGCCTCCGAGGTTCCTTATAAAGGTTCTACTTCCGTCTCCTCTCTCTCTCCCTCACTTTCTTCTCCACATCTCCTTCAACCTACGATCAAATTCCTTGCACGCAATTTCGAATCTCCGACTTCATTTTCCTACGATCCAAGTTCTTACACTAGAATTCGAATTTGCGATTTCACTTTCCAAAAACTTGCCTCCTTCGTTGATCGAGATGGCGAACGGCTCAGCCGATTACCTCTAGCTCCTCGAGCTCCTCTTACTTCCGACTTCACATTGAACTCGCTACTCGCTACAGTAAGATACCCGATATATCATCCTTCTTCTCTAATTGTGTTGACATCTTTGGAAAATCAAGAGAAAATGGCGCCTAGAACCGGAAGCGCCACACGGCCAAGAAGCTCCAGAATCGCGGAAAAGGCAACCGCCAATAAGACCGCCGAGAAGAAGAAGCCGGCGCCCGAGAAGGTTGCCGCAAAGCCCAAGGGCATTAGCAAGCGCGCCCCGAAGAAGCGCGCCCCAAAAAGCCCGCCGCCACCTCCACTGGCCGCGGCCTACGCCTCAGACCCTGGCTTTACCGGGCACACCTACCATCCTCCCGTCGATGACTCGGTCATCGAGGCCCTCAAGGAGAGCCTCGAGGTGTGCCCGGAACCGTCCGGTCGGGTGCGACGCTACCCGTTCCGGAACGAGGTTTTCCGTCGGGGCGAGATGCCCCGGGGCATCAGAATGCACATCGAGGTGCCCGACACCTTGGACTTCGAGGCGCTCAGGTGTCGTACCCCTCGCTAGGGGGGGTTACATTAGAGAGCAGAGGGCACGCAGCATCGCCGCTTTGCGAAGCTACGATACCGCCCAAGTGACGGTGTGGCGGAACGGGAGGAGGGAGCGGGAGGAGGAAGAGCTGTTGGCGGGGTAGTCCTTTTTTTTCTTTCTCAATCGTCATCTACAGAATATACGATCAACCACTATCTCCTCTTTCTCCTTGTGTGTTCTTCTTCTCTCGACTCGCCGCTTTCCGGCTGGAGAGGCATTGGCGGAACAGCCCTCGCAAAACCTGGATGGCGTACTTCTAGTGAAGGAAATATGGCGTGCGAGGCTATCTGTATTCTTTTACTCTTCTCTCTGTGATATGAAAGCTGTTTCGATCTGACAAACACTGGCGTGAATTCAAAAATGAAAATACGTATAAACAAAAGAGAAGATGATGCTGCCACCGCTCGTTTCAACCACTGGAACCCTTAGAATGTGCTCACAGTTCACGTAGGTACTAAGGAGATCCTCGGGCTCCATATAAACAGACATCTCACCAGCACGATAAGCACCACTCCGCAGCTTCCATAATCACCTCCTGAATCCGTCAAAAAAACACCCAATCCCTCAGCGGCCATTCCCGACAAACAACAACCGACCATGTCTTACGCTGCCCGGCTCTCCGATTCTGAACGCATCAGTAGTCAGGTTCACGTTACCAAATGTCCGCTTTGCGCCGGCAACAGCAACAGCATCCCTAGTACCGCGTCACCAAGGGCTCCCAGACAACCAGCCGGAGTCCTCAAGCCACCAGGCTGCAGCGGCTGCAGGCCTCCTTCATCTACCGCCACGAAGAAGAAGCACGTGAGGTTTACGGAGGATCTCCCGGGGGCGGGCGGACAGAAGAGAAGCTTGGACGTTAAGGAGCGAGCCACGGCCCGTGATCTACTTTCCATGGCTGCTGTCGTGATGCTGGTTGTGGGGGTCGTTGCGGGGGTTCTAGGATTGATATGAGGGCGGAATGGTGAGTGGGATGGGTGCAGTATGGACACGGATGTTGGGTTCCCTTGTGCTTGATAGCTCTACAGGTTGCGAGATAACTATGGTGGTGCGGAATGGAGCTGAACTCTTGACGGATGTTTTGCGATGGCACCGCTGGTTGTAGTAGTAGAAGTGCCTGCTGAGAATATTTTTCCGGTTTGATCGGATGAGCAAACTATCGAAGCAGAAACGGCCAAAATTGTCATTCCAGTCCAGCGCGGGGCAGGTTACAGCACACGTTTGCTTGCCTACAACATCAAGGCGACCCCACTCAGCTAGTTGTGCGCGGGAAGTGACCGAGTGATGCTCTCCAAACTAGTCTACCATCAAAAAACACTAGTGCCTCGGAGGTTCCTTATAAAGGTTCCACTTCCGCCTCCTAGCTCCCTTCCTTTCTTCTCCACGTCTCCCTCAACCTACGAACCAAGTTCTTGCAATAGAATTCGAATTTTCCGAATTTACTTTCCAAAAACTTTCTTCGTACCTTGATCGAGATGGCGAACGGCTCTGCCAATTTTCTCCCTCCTCCTCCAGCTCCTTGAGCTTATCTTCTCCTTCTTTTCCTCCTCCTCCTAGTGCTTTGACCGGTGCTTCTGGAGCGAGCTCGACAGCTGCCAGCGGGCATGCAACGGCGATGGCTGGTCCGGGTGATGCTGCTCCAGTTACTCCCGGGTTGACCTTGCTCGCTGGTGCTGGTCAAGAGCCTGCTCCCGGCCCGACTGCTCCCAGAAAACGTGCGACGAGAAAAGCTGGCAAGGGTAAAGCCGTCCCAGCTTCTTCCGGTCTGAGCACGTCGGCTGGTGGGAGTCCTGCGGGTGTTGCACCTGGTTCAGCGAAACCAGTTGGTGGTAAGGAGCGCAAGGTTGCAACCCGTGCGTTGAAGTCCCAAGCTTCTTCTGCACCTACTTCCTCCTGCACCGCCCCAGTTGCTTCCGGCCCTGCCACGGCGCAGGCTGGCCATGCGACGGCTGCTTCTGGTCCGACTCCGGCCGCTCCAGTCGCTTCCGGTTCGACCGTGGCCGCTGTGTCGGGTGAGGCAACGGCTGCTCCTGTGGGTCAGGCGCCCAGTGCTGTGCGTCAGCCTGGAGTGGCAATGGTGAGCTCTGCTCCCATGGTTCTATCCTCGGCGCCTTCTCAACTGGGCCAGGCCAGTCAAGCTTCTCCCCCTGCTCCTGCAGCTCTTCCGGCCAAAGAAAAAGATACTGAAGAGATTCAGTACCTCAAGTATTTGGTCGCTTCTGCCAATTGGGCAAAGCATCAAGGAAATCTCGATGACCTCGAGACCATCTTTGCGGAGCTGTTGGAGATCAGGAAGGTGCACCTGCCCATGCGAAAGGACCTGCCGGGGGAAGTCCACGTGTGTGCAAGAGACGCTCAGAATGCGCTTCGCAGGTTAGGTGCTCGTGGAACGAAGGTGGCCCACCCCGCTGGAAATAGCGTCGTGAGTGTGGCACCTTGCGTTTCCACCGCCCAGACTGCTGCTGCTTCCACGTCCGCGTCTGCGACTACGATTGCGACAAAGGCCCATCCATTGGTTGCGCCTGCGTTTACATTGGCGCCAAGGACAACGACTGCGGTTCAGCAGCAGAACCAGCGGAGCGCTTCAAGTGCCCTCAGTGCACCCTCCGCTGCACACCCTCCGCTGCACACACGCCGGCAGCCCCTCCAGCGTCAAGCCTCAATCCTTCGGCGATTCCCGTGGGAACTGCAGAGATGCAGTATCTCCGGGACTTGGCCACTGAAGCCAGGAGATTGGCTAATGATGATGGATACAATGGGTTCGAGAGGATCGAAGGTATCCTTCAGATGTTGAAAAACATCAAGGAGGCGGATTTGCCGCGCCGTCCGGATTTTCCCGTGGGGGTTGTCCGGGCGGTGGATACTATTCTTGGGGTGGTATCCAGGTGCAGGTTTGAAGTGATCGCTTCTAGACCTGCGCAAGGTTCTGGACCTTCTGGTCCGTCGTGGACTTCGTCTCCGCTGTTGGCCGAAAAGCCACAGCTGGAGATAGAGTAGGAGCCGACACCTCCATGCCCCCCTGTCGGCCCTTGTGGTCCGACACTAGCACTGCCAATCGCGGCAGCGCTGCCAGTTGCTGGCCCCGTGGCAGCACCGGCAGTGCCGAAGGTAGCAGCTCTCCCGGTCGCTGGCCCCGTTGCGGCAGCGCCGGCTCCTCGCAAGATCTTGCTCGCGCAGGAACCTGCTCTGGTCACTGGCCCCGTTGTGGCAGCGCCAGCTCCGGCCCCACAGCTGTTGTTCCGACAAAAGCCTGTTCTTCTCCCAGCTGGACCATCGAGTCCACTGGTTCCGATCCCTACGGAGATTGGAAGACGACCGAACGCAGTCGTACCTCTTCGGAGGCACGTCTATGTTTCTGCCCGGCAGCCGCCTCTTCATCCCCGCCTGAACCAGACACCCGTCAGTGATGACAGCAGTGCTCTGGCTGCTGACGCGTTTTCGCCGAAGCAGAAGGTTAGGGTGGTGCGAGGGGTGCCGCGGCAGCGTGCACTGGAGGCACCTGGTCCTGCACCCGCGGTCGTGTCCCTACCCGCCATACGGGCCTGGCGAGAGCCTAGCCCCGTGGTCCCGGTGGTGGATGAGAGGATGAGGGTGGAGGAGGAGCGGAGAGCAACGCTGTACGATGCGGTGTTCGGGTTGGAGGTGTCGATGGTTCTGGCGACGGGCTATGGGTTGGTGGCGGGCCTCTGGGTGTGGTAGAGGAGGCCGGCGGCGGCGGCGTGGTTGTGGTTTCCTGAGCCCCTCTGCCCTGGGACACGAAAGTGTTCGCATGGAGCATGAAATTTGCCAGGTGGAAAAAATGCTCAAAGATTGGAACAGCGAGCGACCGAGATGCAGATATGTTCAGCTGTGCTTGGAGGATAGAGAACGCGTAATCAAGCAAATTTGAACTTCCGGGTGGAGAGTGTGCCTTAAACCATCATTAGAACCACCATAGTGAAATTGAAACCATTTATTAGCACCTAAAGAATAACCCTATCTAAGTATGTAGTCACAGCCGTAATCCGAGGTGTTGGTGGTGCGACTTGGTGGGTGGAGGACTGGCTATTTCTAAGGCGATTTTGGAACTCCAGTGCGTTACGATCCATGGGATAACGTGATAGAGTAGGCAGGTGGTAGTATGCCCATATGTACATACATGCTACTGGCCGGCGATCATGAACCAGAGCAGCATCAGCTACTTGATCCTTCAGTTAAACGTTTCATGGTTGTGGGCACCATATCAACGTAGGTATGAAAACCACAATGGCATACCACCGGGCATGGACGATAAGCGCGTTGCTCATACTTCTGCCACCGGCGCATTGTGGCTATAATCGCAATCAACATTCTTCCTGTACGGAAAAAACCCCGCGTGGCCTAGCGGTCACGCACCCTGCGGAGTTAGCATGGACAACGGTCCATCTATTAGGGTTTCCAAGCCACCCACCGGGGATGGTGAAGGTTTTTGGTTCGAGCGACGCCGTGGTTCGGGTTTTTTGTTTTGTTGCTTGCCACATAGATAAGTAGATCATGGCGATACAAGGCCACAGTTCGGCACAGTGTATCACTCGCCGCTGTTTTGTTTTTGTTTAATCATCATTGGATTCGACCTTAGTAGATTATGGCTGATTACATAACTATAGATGTAGAGTACCTATCCGTTTCCACCCGTCTGTTACCACCGACCGCTGGCCGCGAGCTCGATAACTACCACCTCCCTATTGCTCTCCGAATGAATGAAAGAAGGTATTCATTAGCCCAGTTCTCATCCCGTCCAACCTCCTGTGAGCTCAACTAAGATATCCAATTCCTCTTTCCTCCCTCCCGTGTTTCCAATGTCCTATGGGGGTATCGATTGTCGGGATGATAGCCAACAGTTGTTCAGGATCTGTGATCTACATATCATGTCACTCGCTTTTGGCTACTTTTGTGGTGTTGATATTACGCGCCTAATTACCTGTTCCGGTGTCATTGCGACTTTCCACTGTGCCTTTGAATACTGCCCTTATTTTCTTCGTGACTGCTTAGCATTGTCCATGACCTCTCATCAGAGTCAGCCTCTTAAGCCTTCAAGCCCCCAACCCAGTCCGGTGACGGCTGTCGGCGCATCCTCTGTCTAAAGCCCGGCTTCCTCGTTGTATGCACGAGCTTGTTTCCTTTGTAAGCAGTCTTAGGAGTGGCCTTGAAGTAAATTTGAACCTTCCGTGCGAACCGGACGTGTTAGGTTTGGCTACCAGCAAATTCGCATGATGACGAAAGAACTACCGTCGAGAGAGAAGGCGACCTCGTCATCCAGCAAACTAGGTACTCCATTTGTTGACAAAACACATTTACCAACACCACCTCCAACACCAACACCAGCACCCACAGTTCCAACTGTGACTTTTAAAAGCCCCCAGCGCCACCAGCACCACCGAGTATGTACAATAAGATTTGAAGTCCTCCCAGCTACGACCCGGGCTCACGCTTATCCAAATGATGCGCCTCCTTCTTAGCCCTGCGCTCCTTCCCGGCGCGGCCAGGGGGATCACCGCCCTTCCCGCTGCCGTCCCTCGTGGGCCCATGGCTGCCGCCGCCACTCATTGCGCCGTCCTTCAGCGAGCGCCCACATACCTCCGGCATAGGCGCGACTTTGTGTGCGCGGTTCGTGTTGCGCGGATCGGATTCCTGGGGTGGAAATGTCAATAAGAGAGGGAAGAGGGAGGTAGGGGGGGGGGGGCGGGGGAGGTAGGGGGAGGGGGGAGGTAGCGGGGGAAGGGTACGTACCACGGCGGGGTCGCGCGGCACGCCGGTGTTCATCGGCTTGTCGGGGTTGGTGTAGGTGGACGACATTGTTGTTGGTTGTTTGTTTGTTGGTGGTGGGCCAGAGACGCAGGCAACGGGGGGTATGAGGGGAATGCGGTTTATATCGTCCGAGGATTCCTGCCAGCTGGGCGCTGACATCAATGCTGCTCATACGCACTGTACGTAGCCCAGTATGTGCGGTTTCCGGCGTCGACTAGGCAGCGAAAGGCGGTCCGGTCCGTCTAGAGCTCGGACCGGATTGCGCAGCCCAGCGAGCGCGGATCGGTATCCATCTTCGCACCGAAAGCTCCAGTCGCCTGCTAAGGTCCGTACAAAGTATCCCCGGATTAGAAGGATTACCTCTCTGTAAGCCATTGATATCCATTGGTTGGACAGGACTGGAATAAACCATTCCCCACCTGTACAGCGTACATACATAGGTACAGATTACAGACCGAACATACTTGGCTATGGAGCTATGGTGAACCCTGGGTGACGGATCACGATGAACGCGGTTGATGCGGATGGGATGCGGTCATGGGGTGAGGTGCGTGCGTTGCACAGTTTCACAGTTGCACAGTTAAATAGTGCTCCCGTGCTCCCGCCATCCGCTCGGTATGCAGGTGATGGAGACGAGCGAGCTAACTACCGGGGGGTAGGTAATAGCGGTACCGGTACTAGTACTTTTCACAATCGATGCAATACTGCAACGTCAGAGACGAATCAATACTACCGGTATCCAACTCTGCACGCCAACAATCAGAATCCTGCGACCACCTCCCTCGAAACCTCCAGTGTCGGTCCCATTAGCCAGTTTGAGCTCCTACGAACACATGCGTCCCTCGGACTCGGTTCTGCGACATATATGAGAATGGCAGTGGTAATCTGGGGACGATCCGTGAGATTGAGAAAAATAGCCGATCGCTCTCTAGCACTCGTGTGGTCGGGACGAGTGATATCTCAATCTCATGACGTCATGCGTCCCGATACCTAGCTTTTATCGTTATGTACGACTCATGCACGAACCATTGAATCTCTGAAAGGGAGGACAGTCAAGCGATGAATCCTCGGGTTTTGTTGTCATGATTTTACCTAGGCTGCTGCCTGGGGGGAACTAAAAGAGATGGCTCGCCACGAAACACAAGCCCACCTGCTCTACCGGTTATAACTTATTTGAGCGACTCCAATTGCCGGACCACTTTGAAAAGTGAGAGTGAGAGAATTACTCGACCGATTGCGGTCTATACTGCGGAGATACTACTAATATACATTTGCGGCATGCTTTCCCACCCACCCTCCCCGTTTTCCCAACTCTCCTAACCGGTCGGCATCTACTTCTTAGTCTTCCGTTTCTTCGGCTTGAACTCATCGGAGTAAGTTTTGAAGAAGTCCGTCATTTCGGTCGGATGGGTTCCGGTGATATCATGGAAAGCGTGGGTTGAAATGTAGTTGGTCTTTCCGGCACGGACCAGAGCGTAGTACTCCAGCAGATATTCTTTCTCGGCATCGCTGATCTCGGCTTGGTCGTCTAGCAGGCTCTGTGCGTCCTCTCTGTGGCGGAGGGTTAGCAATCTTCAAACTGCGGTGGGGTGGCAGCTGTACTCCGAGATTTCCTCGAACTCCATCTTTGCGCCTAATCCTTGGCTGGCTGCCTCGGCGAGCTCTTTGCCAGCGACCATCATGGGTCCTGCACATGAGGCGGTTAGTATCATCGTCCGATTGCGGGGGATTTAGAGTGCAGTAGTATACCGGTGATGGTGATCAATTGCCCCCGCACTTTGTCTCCCAGCCCGTGCGGGCCCGACTCAGTGACTACATGTGCAGCCAACAAGGCGATATCGCCCAACGACACGGGGGCAAACTTGTGGGTAGGACCGATTGGCAGCGGGAGCTTCCCCTTATCCTTTGCCTGCTTGTTGTACAGCAGCAGGTTTTCGGCGTAGAATCCGGCACTAAACGTAGTGTCAGAATCAAGCCGCCGGAAAAGGAGAGAAAATAAAAAACCAACCGAATGATACAAGGGCTGTGTCCGGCTTCGGTGCTGGTGTCGCCCTTGGCGGCCATCAATTCGGTCTCGATATCGATGAACTCTCTCAGCCGCGGCTGGGCGTCGCGCTCGGCCATATCGCAGCCGGCGGAGCTGATCAGCACCACGTTCGGGATTCCGGCGTCCTTGGTCGCCTGCAACATCTCCTTGCTCGCCTCGAGCTTGTTATCGACGGACGGCGGGATGACGAGGATCGTGTCTGCGCCTGCACCTTCGAAGGCTTCGGTGGTTCCCTCTAGGTCCCCGGGAGTGCAGGGGATGATGGTGGCCCCCTTTTCCTCGAGGTCCTTGATGTGTTGGTGCTCGGGATTGCAAGTGGCTACCTGCAGCTTCGCGAGCTTGGATGAGAACTGGTCATCCGTCAGGAGCAGCTCGGCGATCAGGTGGCCGGTTTGGCCCTCGCCGGTAGTGACGATGAGATTTCTCGACGGAGCGGAGGAGGAGGAGGCGGATTTTTGTTTCTTTTCGTCCGACATGATGATGGTGGGGATGATGATGGACGAGATGAGAGGGAGAGGGGGAGGAATTGGAAGGAAAGGAATCCGATTATTGGGCTGGGGGGACGGAAGTGTGTTTTATGGGCGGGCCTCATGTCCGCGTCGTCATGACGTCTGTGGATGGTACACTGTCGTACATTGATGGTGCACTCGACGCGACCAGCCGACGGCCAGCCATTTGGGAACAGCCATCAGGTAATCGTGACGTTTGTTGGATGCATTGAGGTTTGTCTGCGGGTTTGCGGCTGGTCGGGAGGTGGAGGTGGCTTGCAGGAACGATGCATCTGGACGATGATCATCGGCCGTTAGGGTTTGGATGGCCTAACTTTCCAGGATGAATGCGGTAACTAAGCATGGGGGCCACATTGATCCGCACCGGGCCTGTTGGATCGCGATTTGCGACGGCAATGCAGGGTAACTAGAGTACACCGCTGCGGCCGGGCCAACAGTCAAGACCCAAGACTTCACGATCCCGTGAGGAATCCTCACTTAGGTACACACATACGGCAATCTACAGGAAAGAAGCGCGCATAACCAGCCTTCCCTCATCCATCTTCGTCTTCGTCTCCGCTCCTCGGCCAACAAAAAAAAAGAAACTCTCGAATTAAAAACACAGTACACTTCGACTGCGGATACATGGATAACTACGAGCCTCGACTCTCAAGGACATACATAACAAGTACACACGCTAACAATAACCACAGACAGACACCCCTGCAGAATAATGCTCAATGCTCATCTCAAACCTCAAAGTCGCACCAGATGCGATCTTTCTCCGTCAAGATGCCCTTCTCGTTGAACAGCACGCCCTCGGCCCGCAGCTTCTCCAGCTTCTTACTGCAGTTCATACCCGACGGCGCCTTGCTCCAGTCGCCCACGCCGCCGATATAGCCGTCGGACGCGATCACGCGGTGGCACGGCACATCGTCGAACGGATTCCGACCTGCATCTCGCTCAGCATCTCGCCTACGAGCAGTGGGGGGCCGGGGGCGGGGGAGAACCCACGTAGAGCTCCGCCGATCGCTCGCGGCGAGGAGTTGAGCAGGTCCGACATGTGCTTGTAGGTGCTCACCTTACCAGACGGAATCTGCTTGAGGAGGGCGTAGACTTTCTGTGCCGAATGGAATCGATTAGCGACCTTTCACTCGGCCCCTCCCCCGCCGCATCGATCTAGGTAATTCGAGTACTCTACCTCTTGATAGGGAGTGACTTTGATCTCTGAAGCCATGCTGTCCTTTTTTTCTCCTTGTTTTCTTCTTCTTTTCTCCTGTGCGTTTTCCCGGCGGTTTTCCTGGCGTTCGTCGTCGTTCTCCTTTTCTTTCTACGGGGGGACGTGTTTAGTTATGTACTAGCGCCCGGGGAAGACGCGATATAAACGCGTTTTTGAAGACTGATGCCAAGAGCGCCCTGATCCCCGATACGGCCAATCGGAGCGGCTTCCTCCGGCGTAATACGAGACATGACTCCCTCTTCATGCCATGACATATGATTTGATAGGTAGAGTATATATCATGAGAGTGGCTGTGCTGTGCCACCGGAGAGAGCGATGGGCCCGCTGGTCGCCGTAGTGGGAAATTCGTTCCGACTATCCCCTCTGTCTGGACTCTGGAATCAATTTGTGGGATCCGCACGGCGGGGGCTCCTACAGGCTGCGCTCATGTGCACGACTCTTCAGCTTCAAGTGTTCGCGACCGGGGGCGGGGGCGAGAAAGTGCCTCTGTGTATCTACCGCAAACCTGACGGGTTTCAATGTTTCATCTGTGGCCACTATGGCCTATGGGACTCGGGGATATCCATAAATTCCATCCATCCAGCCCGCCGTAACCGCGGGTGCTAACTAGCACTGTACTCTATACAAAACTCGGTATGTACGCAGATTCGTCGATATCATTGAAGCCTCGAAGCCATATATTCTCAGGTATCTTTGCGACTACCTAGTGACAGGCTTACAGCACACAGAAGATGACGGAGAAATATATAGTAGATTATACAGGTCCCGCCACTATAGTAGATAGTTATTCCAGACTGATTCCTACCACGATCGAAGCGATGACGCCGTCGGCGATCCTGCGTCCCAGGAGATCAGTCTTTGCGATGCCTGTGGATCGTACTGTCAGTCTAGCGCTCTCGGAAGAGGAGAGGGGAAGGGGAAGGCGGAGTGAAAGCGTATGTACATACCATTGTAGCCATTCATCTGCCGCTTAAAGATGCGATCCTCAGAGTTCAGCGTGAGACGCTTTCTATTGGAAGCGTCTGGTTCCTTCAAATTGGTTACATTAGCACGGTACGTAGGGTCATCTTTGGTAGCGAAAGTGGGAGTAGGAACGCAGCCGCACCTTCCTCTCAACCCGGGCGATAAAGTTCTGGTCATAAAAGACCTGTCCGATATGCGGCCGTTGGCCGCCGAAGTAGGTGTTTCCCTGACTGTTCCTCCCGTGTGCACGAGGATGTGCGTGTGGATCGCACGTCCCTGTGGAAGAGTCAGTCATACGGAGCGGGAGAAAGCCAATACCTATGGAGATGGGATGATACATACGCGGTAGTGCCCAGGCCAGATGGTCGTGAACTTTGCAACTCCGTTCTCGTCCGTGGGCTGCAGGCAGCGCAGCCAGGTTTCGCCCTGCGGGAGTGTTAGAGGAATCCCAGAGATGCTTTCGGATGTGCGCTGGACGTACTCTGGTCCGCTCGGCACGGAAACCAAAATACGATCCGGTCGCGTTCTGGGGAATCGGCATTCATGGCGTTAGTTATGTACCTTCGAGAAGGAGAAGGAGAACTCACGGCATGCCACATATCAACATATTCTCCCTCTAACGGCGTGCAGTCCGCCACGTTGATGAACTGCAGTTCGAGGAGCAGCTCTACACCAGGCTCCTCCTCTCGATTATCCTTACGGATGGGCCTGTGAGGATGCAAGTGTTACTATCCGATGAACGATCGAGCTTCAGATGTACCTATGTACATGCGGTTAAGATAATATGGGCCAGTCTTGCATCAGCAAACACCCCCGATCTCAGTGTATACGTAGCCTACTTACAGATCGTGACCTCCGGAGCCAAAACACAGCTGGCCTGCCTCTCCTCGAGGTCCAAGCCCGCGCCTCTCTTCGCCACACTCCGTCTCCGAACCCCGCGCCTCTCAGCATGCTCATTGATCCACGCCTTGCGCTTCGCAAACCGGCGGTCATGGAGCTCGCGGTTCCTCAGCAGCTTGTTTTGACACGCCTCGAACGAGCGAATGGCGTTATCGGTGTGGCGCTTTGCCGCCGCAAGCGCTTGGACAGACTCGTCGGCGGGATGCGCGACGGCAGCCGGGAGAAGTGCCGCCGCCGCGAAGAGAATGAGTGATGTGAGCTTCATTGTCATGGTGCTGGATCGAGGGATGCCGGAAGGAACGAACAATGGTTGTGACTGGTGGAAAGGATCGGAATTGCAGTGCGGAATGGAGATAGCGAATCTCAACGGTGATAACTACTGGGGATCCGATCAACTGGAATTGCCGATGCAGACAGGCCGGTTGGTGTAGTTTATATCCCCTCCAAGAATCCGCTTCACTTGGCCCCGTCGGCGCTCGACTGCCAACATCATGCCGTATTGAGCATTCTGTTGATATTACGCGTCCTATTTCCCGTTCCGGTATCACTGCTACATTCCACTGTCCTTTTGCATACCGCCCTCATCCTCCGTGGCTGCTTAGCAACGTCCATGGCTTCTCATCAGAATCGGCCTCGTCAGCTGAAAGCCTTCCAGCCCCCAGCCCCCAGCCCAGTCCGGCGACAGCTATCGCCGCAACCTCTGTCTGAGGCCCGGCTTCCTCGTCGCCAACACGAGCTCGTTTCCCTTGATAAGCAGTCTTCTTTCTCATCTTTCTCATATCAATATATTAATCAAGCCAAGTTCTTCTCTCAATCCCAACACTTTCCGAGGCCCGCGCGGCCCCCAAGGCTGTGGACAACGACGAAGATGAAGAGCACTATCACCCACCTTGGCGTTACACGCTGTTGGCGTACCTATGTGTGAAAATATTTCATGGAAATTTGCCCATCGGGCTCCCCTTGCCATCCTCTCCTCTCCCGGGTGACAGGACGCGTGAACTAGCCACGGCTAGCACTGCAGTCGATGATTGATTCCTGGAGAACCAAGTAGTCCGTCCCTGCGTCAGTCCGTTCGCACTGTGTTGAACTATCTGTCGGTCATAGGCCTAGATACAGAAGGTGAAGGACCCCGTGGCGGCGCGCCGACATGAAAAACCGCGCATATGTGGTAGGTATATTGTTATGTACTTCTCGCGATTTAAGCTTTTGCCTTTGGTGGTTTTCGACGGTGTCACATGAATCGATCACTACTTCCCCGCATTCCACAATCCTCATATGTAACGTACCGTAGCTACGATTACGGTTCCTCCCAGCTCATGTACGGCCTGGTCTCGTGACGACCTGGCGACGTCATGACAAAACCGCCTGACGTGATTGGCAGTGATGGATCGGTTCCGAGGTGTAATAGGCAGAGTGCTATAGATCTGTTGGTAGATGTAGAGATTTCGCCGGGCTCTTGGGATAGAGCACCTACACTTGCAATTAAATGTATCGAACTGGCCCACGGTAGGACTCCAGCTCTTTCCGCTGAGCCAGTGGGTCCCTATGTTGCGGTAGGTATCCGACTGTGGGTGGCGGACCGAGATGTTGAGGTATGTAGAGTAACCAGGGCAGGGAATATCAAGGAAGCAAAGCAAGCAAGCATGCGGAGCTAGCAGCAACCACGACGTTGAACGTTCACCGTACCCAAATTGGGGTTGCTGATTATATAAGCTAAACTTTGAAGTTGGCTAAGCCGGCTATGGAGGCACGGGATCGATATGACATGTGGAGACGAGATTGAAGGTGGTTACTACCTGCTGCATACTTGCGCACCTCTTCAGGCTATAGTTAGAGGGTTCCATGACGAATTATACGTGGTACCGGTATCTGTCAATCATCCGAGGCACTGTATTTACACCAACATAAATCTTGGGATTCAACTCTATCGTTTCGAAGGTGAATGAGATGTACCGAGATCGTGATATACACTGGCGGTATACCGTACGGTGTCGAAGCAGCGGTTGTGAGGTCAGTCACATACCATCACTCGAGGCGGACGAACAATTCTTGCTTTGCATCTCTGAGATGTGGACCCAGTATCAGGAGAACCCTATTGTCCGTCCAGCTTATTCTCTGGCTCATGAATATTGTTGGGAAATTGTGATGGTTTTGACGTCGGTGGATGACAAGGCTGCAAGCGGTTAGCCCGGATTTCCGCGAAGGACGGGCAGCCCTGGCAGCCCTGCACTGTGCAGCAGTGAGCACACTATTCTAAAATCGGCCCGGGATCTTCATCACCCCGCGCAATCACGACTCCCAGAGTCACCACGGCTCTTCCACCGGCCAACCTCTCCCAACGGCCCACCTCTCCCACCATGCCCGCCATCATCTCGCACGACACGGGCACCGACGCCGCCGAGTCCCTCGTCTACACCTCGCAGCCGCCGGTATACACCTACACCACCTCGCTCATCTCCTACGCACTCCCTCCATCGCAGTTCGTAACGCCCGAGACACCCCAGGTCGCGGTCGGCGCGTTCATCTTCACGCCGCCCGGCACATCCCCACCCAAGGTCCTCCTCCTGCGTCGCGCGGCAACAGATTCCTATCCCAACCTCTGGGAGGTCCCCGGTGGTGGCGCCGATCCGGAAGACACGACGCTTCTCGATGCTGTTGCGCGCGAGGCGCTGGAGGAGTCGGGACTCGTGGCCGCTACTATCGTAGAGTTTCTGGGGACCGTGGAGTTCGGGACTAGCAGAGGCAACTGGTGCATCAAATATAACTTCTTGGTGGATGTGGAGGAGGGCGAGGTGACGACGAATCCGGCGGAACACTCGGATGGGAGGTGGTTTGACCTCGAGGAGGTCAGGACCTTGGCTGTCACTACTGAGCTCATGCGGGAGAGTCTAGTGAAAGCTTTTGAAAGGGTGGAGGAGCTGAGGAGGAGCCGGGGGATTAGCGATCCAGTCAGTTGAGATATACAATGGCGTCGGTTATGTTTTGTTTGATCGTTGATTGCATGCGACCTGGCTAGATCATGCCAATATACCCTCACTTTGTTTCCGTGTCCGCTGTCCAACTCAACTTTCGTGAAGCGGCCCAATGTGGCTTCCTCTGCCCTCGGCCATGGCCTGTCCCGGCGATGTATACATTCACTCTCTCGTGTTGTCTGTCACCACTATGGGAGGAGCGATATGTAGGATAGATATGGGATCAGATAAGATAAGAGAAAGGGCTAGTCGGATCGGTGGATCTGAATGGTGGATAGCCGCACTAGCCGGATCGGGTGGCATCGAACGTTGTAGGCAGCGGAGGAGAGCCATATGAGCATTGAGATGGCTCTTCGAAGTTGAAGAGAACCTCAACCATTCCTTGCTACATAAAAAACCGACCACATCCCAGTCCCAATCCGCAATTCTCCCAGCCCCGCGAATAATCATCTCAAGACGAGAAGGAAAAAAGGAAGTCTACAGCCAGTGCTGAATGGAAGACGATGCCTGAAGCCTTGAAGTTCCTCAGAGTCAAGAGCTGGTAGAGAGCGGGGATGATGATCGATTGCAGGGACGGTGGAGGAAATCCAAGCATTGGAGGAGGAGGAAGTGTTGCATGCCGTCGTCCGGTTGGCGATGTCGGCTTCAGGGCCTGTATCCGAGTGATTTCAAAGATACCACTTTTAGTTTTTTACGTTTCTTTTGTGGATAGGTGCATCGGTATCGAATACACTTGTGAAAAGTAAAAGTATGATCGAAAGACTTGATTGTTCTCTCTCTCTTCCTGTGGTAGTAGGTCCTCTATATACGCGCGCTATCTAGATGGCCTCCAGGCTCGCCCGTTCGACGAACTGCTCCTACTATAGATCACCCCATCACAGCGCTCGGGGCACCGGATATGATTCGGACGCCTATGTAAGGTCTGGAGGACTAGGGTCCGGCGCTAGTAGTCCTCCGGCGCCAGTAGCCCTCCGGCGCCGGGCGTCCAAGGTGTCCTCCGGAGCTTTCTGACGTTTAGATAGATCTGCCAAAATGCGCCGATCCATCATCCGATCTCTAGCACTCTGCCAATGAGCTTTTAACCGGCTACTGCAGTGGACATTATCCCGACCTCAGTTTGGCCAATGTGGTTAGACGGATCCCTTATCGAAGACCCATGAAAGGTGAGCCGAGTGACGCGCGTCAGACACAGCTCGAGAACCGGGCTATATATTGTCGGTACCTCCTACCTACTGCAACGATTCTTCGAGCTTTCAACGGACTCGCCTTTCGTCTCTGCTGTCCGGTCCGCAATCATGCAGCTCCTCCGTCTCCGCCTGCTAATACTGGGGCTGATCCACCTGCACCCTCTCTCCAGCACCCACATCCCGCACTCCGCCCCGATCCAGCGTCCTCTATCCTCCATCTCCGCATCACCATCCCCCTTCAACCCCTCCTTCATCTTCAGCTCCGTGCACGGGCTTCTACGGCAGCTGCCGAACACGTTCTCGCCGAACGGCTTCTCGATCGCCGCGGGCACGGTGCCGGCATACACAAACCTGTACCACGCGCGCAAGGACGCGGGCGACATTCCCAAGGTAGAGTGGGTCGCTTTCGACGCAGAGATGTCCTACGGGATCATGGGCGGCCGCGGCGGCGAGACTTGGCTGCACACGTTTGTCACCACGCGCGACGTGCGTGTCCTTGTGTTCGACGGGATGAGCGCTGCGCTGAGAGAGAGCGGAACGCTGGATGCGCAGGCGGTTTTTTTGCATGGTGGGGTGAATGGGAGTGAGCTGAGAGATGGGAATGGCCCAGGGAGGTATGGCTCGCCGGTGAGGGATGAGTACGAAAGGGCGGAGGGGCTGTGTAAGTGGGCACGGGAATTGCCCGGGGCACGCATAGAGGGCTTCGTCAGGATGAATACCGGGTTCGAGATGATTTGGTGCGACTTTGAGGACAGCGATAGCTGGAAGCTCGTCTCGAAGTTGAATGTCACTGCGCCGGCTGGGCAGAGCCAGCACGGGGGTGCAGGTGTGGATATGGATATGGATATGTTTGCACCGGAAGAACTGCCCACTCCACCGCCCGGTGGTCCCGGATACGGACCTGGCCCACCAGACGGCCCACCCGACGGCCCCGATGGCCCCGGCAGTGGCGGCTTCAAAATGCCATGGGCCGGCGCTTCAGGCTGGGAATGGATCCGCTCAGCGACATGGCACTACGTTGTGCCCGAACTGCGCGTGATCCCAGACCTCTGCCGGTTCTTTACGTTCTACGACCCATCATTCGCCTCGTTCCCGCACGACCTGCGCACGCCAAAAGATTCCTCGCACCGGCTGGTGAACGTGACGCGCGATGACGCGGCCGCGTTCCGCTCCCGCATCGGTAAGAGTCTGCTCGCCACACACGAGCCGTGCTCGCAACTCGACTGGCGCCGCGTCGCGGGTGATGTCATGGATCGATACGGAGGCAGGATTAGGGAGCTGCAGATCGTCCTTGCCAGTGATGGTAATGCTACGGAGAGGGCGGCTGACGCCGCGAAACTCGCGTTCGCCGCGGTAATGCCGTTTGTGGCTGAGTCGCAGAGGGACGGCGCACAGGAGAGGTGCGCACTGGCTTACACTGAGGCCATACCCGCCGATGCCCTGTCGCCGCAGGAGGTGCTCCTCCGCGATGCTGTCGAGGCGGTGGTGGGAAGGATCTGCAGGACTTTCCTGGATGTTTATTTTGGATACCTGGAGGATGGTGGGCGCAAGAAGCAAACCGGGAAGTGGAGAAAGGATGTGGATGAGCTGGTAACGTGGCTGGATTGGGACATGTGGCGCAGGTGCGAGGGCGGCTGCGCTTGGGGCGAGCTGTGTGCCCTCGCGCTGTGGCCGGTGTTGGGGCTGATGGATGAGAGGGATTGGAAGCAGCCCAGGTGTGTTAATAGCTCGGTGGTAGAGAACGGAAGAGGTAGAAGGCCGCGGTATCCTGGCGGTGGTGGCGATGGTGGTGGTGGACACGACGGGCCGGGTGGTGGTAAGCGACCCAGGCGGGCGCTCAAAGAATACATAGAGGTGTAGAACTCATATCGCAGTTACATAGAATCTCAATATACCCGATACATACTGCCGACTTGCGTTCCATTATTCTCGAGTGATAGGTATGCTGCAGACAAGCTGCTTATAACCGAAACCAAAACACCATGCACACGACCCAACCGCCCATATGAACCCACCATATGCATCTATAGAAATCCCGATACGAAGGAAAGAGAAGGAGAGATAGAGAGTAAGAATGAAAAGATATCTCAGCTCGGTCAAAACCTTCCGCCACGACCATACTCGAATCTGACGCACTTTTCGGGGGCTTGCAACGCGTCGACTTCCTCGACGTGCTCTATGCCGTGTTAGTTAACTTTCTGCGAGTGATAGTGCGAGTCTTTCGGGTTACGTACCAGCCATTCCCTTGCTGCTGCTGCCAGCATAGACGCTTCTGATACTACTCTCGCCACTATCATACGGTCGTCCGAGGACATCCCCAAAGCTATGGCGCTTCGCCTCATCCATCTCCTTGACCTTCGCCTTCTTCTTCCCGTTCCCCCAGACGATAGAGCTAGCCGCGCTCTGAAACGACGCCACCGAGTTCCTGAACCCGCCCTTCCGCGTCCTCCACTTGTAAAAGAAGAAGCAGATGGCGGAGATGGCCACGAGCGCGAACGCCGTGACCGAGACGCCAACGCCGACCTGCAGCTTCCACGCAGCAGCACCGCCTTCTTCCTCGTCGTCCGAGTCCTCGCTGTCGGAGCCGGCGTGCGCCTCTTCTGCGTCTTCTTCGGAGGCGTGTTGGTCTACGGCCTCGGCTGTGGCGTCGTGCGGGTCCACCGCTAGCTCGGCCGTGTTGGAGGAGGTGGCGTGCGGGGTGATAATGCTGTCGGAGGTGTGCGTGTGCGACGGGATGAAGATTTCAGTCGGCAGGCGCGACGAGGAGGCAGCGCGTGTCTTGGTCGAGAGTGTAGTGCTGTTGGCCGAGGGCATCACCACGCTGGCGTGGATGTGGATTACAGTGTGGACGAGGGCATTCTCTGTCGTTCCCCACGACGGCGTGGTCGTGGGGAGTTTCTGGGCGAAGCCCGTAACGCCCGCGACGCCCGCGACGCCCAAACTGAGGGCTGGCACAGCCGGTGTTACCATGTTGGTAGAAGGAGGAGGAAGAAGAGAAGGAATCTGCGCTGCTGGCTCAGTGGTCGAAGTCGGGAGCGTCAAGCTAACAGGAAAGAGTGCGGGGAGTCCGTCGAGGGATACGAAAAGTTTATACTCCTCCTCCTCCTCCTGACCAGCGGAAGGGGTGTTGGTATTGCGTGCTACCAGATGCGGGCTCAACTTTGTGCCGCCCTGTAAATGTGGATCCTGTTTTTGGTGGTGGTGGTGGTACCGGTGGTAGTGGGCGGACGATTGCAGCTGCCCCGAGGTTGTGGCCGGCGCCCGGCTGGCCGTATATCCATGGCCACTCGAAATCGTGCTCCCTGCCATGTTTGCCCGTCCGTTCGTTCTTTCTTGAGATCTCGGGCCCGCGAGATCTAGAGATTCAGCTATGTACCTAGAACTGGCCGTTCGATCCGTAAAATTTCACCCTGAAGCTTTCGGGAGTCCTTTCCACGCGGAACGAAGAGATTCTTATGTTCATGCTCATGTAGATGGAGGTTCCTCCGCTCGAAGCTCTTGGCATCTTCTCCAAACTCGCTTCTCGATGATGTGGTCTGCTAAGCAGAGGAGATAATATTGTATTGGGGCGAGGACGCCATGGTAATCTACCCACGATGGTGATCCCTCCACGGTCGAACGTATGTACGTGTACATACATCCCATCCGGGTGGATCCAACCTGCACGGTCGACAGCTGACTGCTGTATGTATGTCTCTGATGCGTGCTGCGTATGGGGACTTGCCTCTGCATCTCCCCGACCGGTACCGTCGCTGATCACGAATCTGAATCACGGTGGAGTTGCCATGATCAGCATGAGGCCGAGAAACGGGGTTTCCTAGCGAAAGTGAAACATGACCGTATCCTGTAGGGCCCGGGGCACCTACCTGCGTATGTTTGTTTATGGTACTAGGTAGTGCATAGGGTCAGTAATAGACAGCTCGTGTCGAGTATACTGGGCGGCAGAGTTTATAGAGTACATAGTACATAGTACTACACTCGCCCCCCACCCTGCAGATTATTCTATAGTAGAGTAGCCCAATCTCAACTCGAAGGCGAATGATGAATCCGAGGAAACCCCACGCCCAGTCCCGAGAAAGCTTATCTACGGTGACCCCTGACGTCAAACAGATCTTCATATGCGGGACCTTTAAAACGCCTTTAAAGGGCCAGACATATAGTGGCCAAACAACAAGCCAGTACTTTACTCCTGTTACCATAGCCGTGGTGCAGCCATGTCACTTACAGGCTTGCAGGCAGACCTGCGGCAGGCAGTGACGCCAAAAACGACGTCGTTCGTGGAACCAGCCTCGGCACTATTCAATACTTGTTATTAACTGTTCTCGTGCGCCCCTTCACCCTCCACCTCCCGCACCGCATCGACGAGGACCTCCAGTGCTGGCTGTCAATCTGTCTGTCAAGACGAAACCCACCACCTCCGCCCTCCGTAGCGACCACAATGCGCACGTACGTAGCTTACGTATGCACGCACGGCCCGCCTCGTCCACTCGCCCCCTCGCCCCTCGAGACGGGGTCTGTTTTATGTTTTATCCTCTCCCGAGTCCGCCCTGCCGCTTGCGCTCGCCCGCCCACGCCCGCCCGCACGGCATTCGAAGATGTGGAGTACCTTAGGCTGTAGCGCTCTGGCCGACTCGCCGATCGGGATTCGCAGGGTTCGACCGTTCGAGAACATAAACACAACACGCCCACGCGCGGATCGGATCACCGGGAATATACTCTACCTAGTGCCTACGGATTGATTGATTGATTGATTGATTGCTTGATTGCTCTGTGGGTCTGTGAGTCCGGGATTCCGAGGGAGGGGCGCGATTGATCACTCGTCGCCGACTCACCGATGTCGACGGGATTCCACGGATCCGGTTGCGCACGAATCTAGAGGTGGTCCGTGGTCCGTGGTCTGTGGGAGGGAGGATAAGTGAAACGAGGAGACAAAGAAAACTGGCTTGAGCCTGGCGCCTGGAGCCTGGAGCCTGGAGCGGTCGATTACTGGCCAACCGACCAACCGGCCAAGTGTGGATGCTCTCACTGAGAGACCAAAGAACGGGTATGGTCAAATAAAACGTGATCAATTGAGCAAGAGGTCTACTATGTACCTATGATGATGATGGTGTCTGTTGTGTTGAACAACAAAAGGATTGACAATCAGAACAGAAAAGTTTAAAGCAGCAACAGGAAGAAAACATTTCAACGTTCAACGACCGCATCGGTCTGCATCGGGTCCCACCAGGTCTCAATAAGGTCTCAATAAGGTCTCCTCTCTCCAGCACTCATCATTGGAACTTGGAAGTGGTGAATCACCCAAACCAAACCGTGAGGGTAATCGTCACGGCTGGCACAAAGAGAACTTGTTGAAGAGATGACAGCGATCTGGAATCGTTTACTGTACCGTGTATCTAACTTGTAGGTATTGTACAAAGGTATGATAGGTACCAGTACTCAAGTTATACATAAAGAGAAGAGCATTCCGTCACATACCTAGCTGGACTCGGCGTAGGTATACCGTATCCGGCCGGCGGGGATAGGGTTTCTATCATAGCGCGTATGCGGCGGCCGGCGCTGCGCTGTGACGCCCGCGGCCAAATAATCTTTGATGCTTATCGAAGCGCTGACTCTCCGGTTTCCACGAATGCAATTAAGTGATATGCAAACCATGATGAGAATCATGAGATGAGATTGCAAGTCGCCGATACGGTTCGGTGCCGACTCCGAAATAAGCTCTCTCACTCTCATTGTATCATAAGTCCATTCCACCGTCCTCGCCCTCGGGCCCCATACACAAAGAAATCCGAAACAAAAAACTCCATCGACACCGACCTGACCTGACCTGACCTGCCCGCTCCATCGCCGCTCATACTCGCGTGGAAAATCATATCTCAACTCCAAAAACCAGATCCTGCTCCTAGGCACAAACAAAACAAAAGACAAAGAACAGGGAGAAAGCTAAGGTATGTAGGTATGTACAGGAATTACTCAAACATTCAGACATTAGGAGTTAGTTAGGTAGTCGTCAAGGTAGTTGGCGTCATGAATCATTATTCGCACTCGCACCCGCGAAAGAAGTTGGCAGTTACTTAGGAAGCTTAGAAGAAGCCATGGAGGCGACGCTCTTCCTCCCGTCCAAGTCGGTGCTGCCACGCCGCCCCCCGCCCCAGCAGCAGCACCCGACCGGATCACGGATCGCGGCGCCGATGTCGGCGAACCACTTCTTGCAGGCGGGGAGGGTGGTGACTACGTATATCAATCCGTTCCAGAAACCTTGTGCGGGGAGCACCATTGCGGCGGCAAAGTTGAGTCCAAACTGGGAGGCGTTCGGCTCCATCAGGTTGTAGAGGCGGTTGATGCTCGAGGGCAGCTGGGATTCGTTAGTATTCGGTGAGAGGGTGGGGTGAGGGTGGGTGAGGGTGAGGGTGAGGGTGAGGGTGAGGGGAAGAGGGGAAGAGGGGAAGAGTGAGGCGAACCCAGGTTATCAGCAGCGCGAGAAAGAATAGCATCGCGCAGCGACAATACGCCCACGCAGCGGTGTTTGCCTCGACAGCGCTGTTGCCGGACCTCGGTCGCGCGGTCGGCGTACAGCTCCTGCCTGGGCGTATGGCTTCGATATGGCACGTATACCCCGTGATGTGTGGCATGATATCCCTGGTGAGGCCCGGGAATGTCCCCGGCGGTGTGTTTTGTCGGGGGATTAGATCGCTGGCTCGGATGGTGGCTGACTCCACCGTGTCCACGGTTGTTACCTCGATCCGTCCGGGGGTGACTCGGGGGACGGCAGATTCCCGTAGCGAGGAGTGGGGGTCTTTGGCGAAGCGCCGGAGGTTCTTGCGTAGTTGCATGATTATGCGGCCGGCCAGAACGTAGATTATGAACGTTGCTGCCAGTACAACCCTACATACGAATCCCCTCGTCAGAGCATGGTCGGAGAAATGGAGTCCGGAGAGGAACATATGTACCATACTGGGCCGTAAAAAGCGGCGATTCTCAGAACCTGCCAGTCACGATCGATCCAGCACCACAAAGTGGCTTCACCGTAGATCGGACCTTTCTTCGAGCCGATGAAGAGGAAAGTGAGGCTGGGGACTAATGGGATGCCGTAGCAGAGGATGATGTATATTGGCTCCAGCACCCGTAATTGCTTCGTGGTCTTTTTGCGGAACACGGTGAGGTATACATTCCATGCCATAGCCAGACACTGTGCCATATAAATGAGCTATAAGACAACATGCGGAGGATGAGGAACGACGTACAAAGAGTGCATCCGCCGGTATAGCCCATTGAATTATCGCCGCCTGCGCTTGACACATGCGGGACTCCCTGCCCTGCCTGATTCCCTCGCGCGAGTATATAGTGGCGGCATTCGTGAGTATGTTTCCGAAGGAAGCGTAGAAGGCGAGTCGGTTTATCGGCCGGTGAAAGTTCTTGCTTGTGCAGAAGGTAAGGATGATGAAACTGGCACCGACGAGCGAGAAGGCGGATGAGATCCGCGATGTCCGCTCGAAGATGTCGAGATGGCTCTGCGGGAAAGGCATTCCGGATCTCGGACGCAGCGTGTATGGACTTGAAACCACCTGAAGCGCGCAACCGGTCAGCCCGGCATCATATAGAGCGAGAATCCGTGTTCCATTCAACATGGCGCCAATGAACTCACTTATTATTATTTTTCTGAAGTGGGACTATACGCGGTAGTAACGTGATACAATCTAATTCACGATGGCGATGATGGGCGAAGTGGGAATCCGGATCATTTCTCGATGCTGGAACTGCAGTGGACACCAGCAAGGGCCGGAACAAGAAATAATCGCACGGGCGCGACGCGCCGCTATATGTATGCATCATATCCGGGGTTGCTCCCAGCTCCAGCATCGCATCGTCCTTACGGGCGAGTGTTGAGATGGTGGTGGTGGTGTGCTTGTCAGTCATGTTGCTGATGCAGTCTGGTCTCACCAGAGGAGGCGAGGGTGGTGATGGTGGCTCACCGTGGGGTTGGAACTTGGAGGCTATCCTCTCTTGGCGACCCCCAAAGAAACGGCCAATTATATCACCGTGCAGGCGACAATGGCTTAGGCTCGCAGATCAGTCAGTCCATTGGACAACCTGGCGAAAAGGCGTAAGGCGACTGGTACCCGATTAAAAACAAGCATGATGGAAATCGGTACTATGGTCATGCAAGACTAAATTTAATCGTCATCCATGAACTCGTGAACTCATTATATAGTGGATAGGCTCTCACACTATGGCGGTCGAAAAGTGATCGAATAGGTAGGCTGCCAAACATCGATCGGATTGCGAAAGGCCAAAGTTCGAGGTATTGTGTAAGAGGAACTTGCCGGCGAAAGGCCAATGGGCAATTGTGCATAGCGACAAGAGAGCGAGAATGAGTCGGTCCATACGCCACAGAATAAGATCCCGACCGCCCTCGACAAAGCGGAAGTGCAGGAGCAGAACAGATTCGAGTCAACCCATGTTCTACTGTGAAATCCATCCACTTATTGACTTCACCTACTGTCATGCCATACCTGGGCATTGGCACCGAGACACACACGTACCTATAGGCGCCAGTTGACAACCCGGTTGGTCAGGGCAGCAGCCACAAAGTCAGCATAACCACTGGACTCCGCTGCCTACAACCATGCGAGGCCCGGCCCCTCCTGCGTGAAGTTGATCGAGGCGGGTGCCCGTCTAATCGTCTGTCCTTTGGACAAATGCACATCATTGACCTTTCAGCGACCACTTTCGACCGCTGTAAGTACACATTCAAGTGAGGGAAACAGGACGTGAGCACCATCCAACAGCATCAACATAGAAGCGAAAATTCTAAGATTTCAAAAGAGCGGTAGTTAACAATGATGTTACCAATTCTTACTATTCCCAGCATACCGTAGGCATGTGTGTGCCAAACTCGGCTAATCATCTAACAGCACTCCCTCCCTCCGGTATGTACCACGTTTCGCAATGAACACGCACCGCAACAGCTCCATGTATATCGAGGCCGTGATCCGTTGTGTCAGCAAGACCGCACGACGTTTTCCTCTCAACCGTGCGGGGTTCTTGATTTCACCGCGCATATATAGGCGACGCTAATTAACTAGTGGGCACGGGTAGAGCCGTCGGTTCAAGATTGGAGAAACCGGGCAGCACTTTCTTCAAGCCACAACGTCATGCACCGGCCGCGAGCCTACGGCCTCCCCATCGAGAGGTGGAATCAACATCTTTTCCTGCGTCGGCCTTCTGCGACCCCCTCGGACCTCCTCACCCTCGATTTACACAGACCTCGACTCCCCCAGTGGGGGTGCTCGCCGCTCGGAGCCCTTGGTAGGTATGCAAACATGAGTGCAGGCTGCAGCTTTCTATGGATCCTTTGTATTTGTGCCCCGCCGAACAGCACTGCCGCGCTGACCAAAGCGGCGACGGGGTACGGTATGTATGTATACTTGATTCAAATGCTGAAAGAAACCACCAATGCAGCCTTGCAAAAATGACATCGAAGACCAGTTCCGAAACTGCGGTAGATGCCTACTCCACTCGCCACCGTCTTCGGTTTCACCAGGAACGCCAAAATGATGGAACCGGAAGCGACGCTTGTAATAGTAGGTATGGTATGGTAACACCTCTAGACACAAGTTGCTTTCCGGATAAACAAACAGACGATGCGACTGAAAACAGCCGCCAGGTACATATCTACATACCGGCTGTTGGCTTCCGCGTTGTCGTGCTCTCTCTGTAGTGTGACGAGTTGGCAGCTGTATCGGAGGCAGTCAAACGCTGTGGCAGCTGGGCCACCGCCAAATGTGATCATGATTCACGACTGATCCAGAGAATGTCCAGCCGGTTATGCAGATTTGAACTTTTGAAGAGGCCCAGTCACCGCTCAGCAGATCTATTGAGCTGATTGACTGGCTAGAGTTCCATAGAACTCGCGAGATGTTCGTCAACAACCGTGTGGGAAAACGGGGTTCAGCAGCGAAAGCCCATCCTTGATAGCCACGGCCACGGCGGCCAATTGCATTGTACATAAACGCAACCCGTCACGACGAATAACGAACGATATCGATCCTCTTGAGATATGTGATGGAATTTCCTCCGTTCTCGCAGCGAGAAATCCGATCCCAACACCACAATCGCTTTTCACTTTTCACTTTTCGCTTATGCATCTGCATCCTCGACGCGGATTTCAGACAATTCACAGGTAAGCAGAGCAACTACCTACTCGGACGAGAAAACCCCTCGATTTAGATCGCAGAGAAACATGCTCTCTACCTAGCGTGCTGATAGGATGGTGGGGTGCGTTAAGCGAGAACAAGTGCAGTGGGGAGTGGGGCTGAGCCGCGTGCGGGGTGGTACGTAGCCTGGTATGTAGGCAAGCTTTGCTGGTGGGCCGGCCCAGGAACGACACGACACACGCGTGCAGGACATTCCCGGGCGAACCCTGAAACTTGTCCTGTCGTTGTCAAGCATGTAGGGGTTGCGGCCGAAAAAGAGGATGAGATGAGTTTAAGGTGTAGTTGGTCCTGAAAGGGTGTCTTTGGTGGGGGTGGCGTCATGGACAGGCACTCGGGAGTTGCCTTTTGGCCTAACAGATGGCTGGCCGCGATTGCTTCGCTGTTCTGTGATTGGAGAAGACGCAAAGTTACCTCGAACGCGATGATATCCAGCTTTTCGGTTCCATTTGCGGGCTAGATTTGTCGGATGAAGTAAAACGGATGAGGATAAAGCTTGTATCATCAGACGTCACCCGGACGAAGGAGGAGGGGGGTTTAAAAAAATTGCTTACTGTATAGCCAAAGGGACCTATATCGCGGTGGCTTATAATCATCTAATATACATTGACCGTAATTAAATGTATTCCGCGAGAGTGCGGGGGTAGGAGGAGAGAGGGGTAGAATTTACGGAAGCGGCAAGAGATCCCGCCTCATCGTATATCAGGCGGCGCTCTGGATTACTTTTGGTCCCGGTGAAGGTGATGAGGATGAGGATGTTTTTTAATGAACCGATTTTACCGACGCGACGCTGACCGCGAATAATAGGGTTGGGCTGACCCAGCTGTATATAAGAATACACATGCTTGGAAATAATTTGGCGATACTGAAGTGAGCTTTGGTTTCATATCGTCAACGTGGACACAGCGTGTATCCGGATGGTACGTAAATAGGAATAATTGGTTTCATACAAATACCGCGACCCTGATTTCTCCCCCTGCCAATCCTTTCAAAATTCAGTCTCTGCTCCCGTATTTGCCACATCACTTCGGCCAGAAAAAGGATCGGAAGATTAAGGATGTGAGATTTTCAAATCGTCCCTCCAGATTTGCGGCTCTCCGACGTTCTCAGGAACGAAGGCACCCAGAACCGGATCTTCGTTCGCGGCTTCGTTGGCGTCGTTAGAATGGATAGAGTCTGTCGGTTCCGAACATCGGGTTCCGAGGAAAATACCATCGGAGTCCGACGCGGCATAGTGCAGAACTGCTCTGTATCTGTCGATCCGGCAATGCACATTACATGTTCGGGCCGGAGGATATAGCAGAGGTTAACATTTGTGGTTGGGGGAAGAGTTACAAAATGAAGCTACAGCTGGCGAGGTGACGATTGGAATACGATAGAGTAGTGTCTCAGAGCAAAATCGATGAAATCTGGGCTTCCGGGACTTGCTTTGAGACGTCAGGTGTGTGATTTATGTGTCTTCCAGGTGCGAGCGAGTGGTACACTGTGCGGCAGCATTTATGTCATGGACTTGGAGACAGACTCATTCTGCATCCGCATGTTTCAATCCGGTGATGATACGTATGATATTGCGCGCTAGTTCGACCACTATTACAGTCCAGCTAAGCGTCTGGGCGGCTTCGAGGTTTTTTCTTTTTTTCTCTTTCGAAATGTGAGCCTGCTCCTGCATACTTCCCTAGCATGTATTGTACACGTCGGAATGTTGGATCGTCGTGATACGGCTGAGAGGTGGGTGCTGGCATGGACGTGCTACCATAGCATAATGTTTAAGCGCCCGTGTTTCCGCTGAACGCAAAGTAATACCTGTTCCGCACCGGGGCGCCAGCACGTAGCTATCCTCGACTCTGGCGATTGGTCAGTATGGTTATGGCCAAGATTCATTTTCCCCCTCCATCTATCAATAGCACGCATTAGAAAGTGTGGAATGATGGAATCCACACAGTGGATTCTTCATTCTCCTCTTTGCGGACGTACAAGGTAGGTATTGCGCATGCAGTGTCGTACTTCGCGTTGGCAAGGCGGCAAATGGTCGGACACCACCGAACAGCCGTATATGTATGATGGTGACAGCACATAATCTTCGTGAGGATCCACATATCTTTCCGAATCCTCAGGATACCTAGTTCTCGGCGTGTCGTATACCTCTCTTGCTTCCTTTCCCATCAGGGGATATTAGGGCCGTGTCATTCCACAGCGCACAAGCCTGGTCACTCCTGCGCACAACCAAGTCGCTCGGTCTCCTCCTCTTCTTCGATGGCGTTCACGATCGATACACTACGGCTCGAGATAGGGAAGCTCCACCAACAATCCGTTGATGGCCGGTCTTTCGTCGATCCGCACGACCTCAAGTCACTTCTATCGCGGCGGGCAATCGCGGAGGTTATACACCTTTGCGCGGTTCCGGACTGGCAACGATCGAGCATGGTCGACATCATTTTCGACAGGGGTCGCGTGCTCTTTGGCATCCTCGTCTGGAAGAAATGGCATCGCGGTCTCACGGGATTCATCGAGCACGATGCACTCGATGATGCGCTGCCGCTTGACGAAGCGAGGGCCATGTTGATTTCTGGGACCTTTGGTTGGGAGTTTGCACGGCACATTCAATGGGAGTTTCTGCCGAGGGTGTTGCTCCGAGAGATGAGCGATCACCATTATCATTTCCATAAGGACGAGATCCTGCCGTTTACGAACGAGGCTTTCTTGGGGAACGGCTTCTTCGGCACTGTACACAAGATGTCGGTAGTACCTTCATTGCAGACCATCTTTCCAAAACAGGTGTGTTGATCCACAGCGAGTCCATGGTGTACGATCCTAAGAGGTTCGGCTCAGACATCGCAAGTTTTCATGGTCAGAAAGACGCTCCAGCATGGAAAATATCTCGAGCGAGAAATGGAAACTCTGCGGATCCTCCATCGGCTACAGCACCCCAACGTAGTAAAGCTCTTAGGCACATACACGTACCAGGATCGCCACCACTTCCTATTCCCTCTATACGAAGTGGATTTAGAGACGTTTCTAGCCCTTCCACAGCGTCACGGAGGGTTCGAGAAAGATTACACCATCTATACAGCCCTGCAAGGACTTTCATCGGCACTGGAGAATATCCATTCAATTACTCTCAGTACCGGTGACCACGACACGGAGCTCAACCGAATCGGCTACCACCATGATATCGGGCCCGCAAATATCCTCGTCGACTCGAAGACGTTCTATCTCGCCGATTTTGGGTACGCAAAGACAAAGTTGGAGGAGGAAAACTCTCAGACAAAGTGGAAATCAGGCCTGGGAGATTATGTAGGGCCGGAATGCATGGATCCGAAGCAAGGGTTGATGTATCAACATGTAGGAAGGCCACTGGATATATGGTCGTATGGATGCATGTTGTCGGAGATCGCGGCGTACATACAGGACGGACCGGACGGCGTGAAAAGCTTCCGAGACCAGCGTTTCGGGGTCGGTTTCTTCCACAATGTGAAGGATCAATATTTCTTCCGAGGCGAGTTCTTGAGGCCGTCGGTTCTTCGTTGGTTCAACCAAACAAAAGCGAAATCAAACGATCCAGCGTTCCGGCTTTTGCTCGATGTGGCATTATCAATGCTTAGAATCGACCCCAAACAACGCCCCAAGGCTAAGCAGGTCAACCTGGAGCTGTCCTTCGTGAGCGCCATGGCCCTTTTTAACGCCGTACAAACTGTTTTCCAACACTACCTCCATGCATTGCAGGCGGCAAAAGACGCCTCTGGGAAGCCCGACACAATTCAGCTTGAGTATACGCGTTTCACTGCATGGGGGAATGCCCTACAGCTTACGGGAGCCGGTGGTGTTTCGCCCGATGATATGGCCGCTGTCGGCGGGATAGAGAGCTCCGTTCGACAGGTTCTGATCGGCTTACTCGGAGAATTTGATCACGCCCCCCAGAACGAAGAATCCATGCTGCCTTCCGCGGACATGACTGCCAACCGCAGACCATCCCACGAGCGGATTAGGGACCACATTGACAAGCTGGAGGATTCCCTTCAGAGCTGGTACCGAGAAAACCCAAGGCAAGCGGGGCTAGAAGATCTGTTGATTCCCAAAAGCTATGCGCCAATTGCGCTGGACGGTATTGGATTAGATTCCCCACCGGATGACTGTTCAAAACTCAGCACTAGGCTCACATCGAGTAAACTGGAAAACCTACGGCCAGTGACGGTTCAATATCGGTCTGAAATGTCTAGCTCAAAGGCTTTCGAGATGGAAGCCTTGCGGCTGACTTCGAGCGCGCTCGATATCGCAACACGGTTCGAAGAGGGTATCTCAATCGGTCAGTACAATGAAAAGAACGTCATAATCGAATGGGTCACTCCTACGGCGAAATGGAGCGCGATGACGACCTCGGAAAGATGTCAGCTGATGCAGCTGATGGCCGAAGATTTCCGTCAACTATCGGGACCAGGCGGGCTTCGAGTTCTTGAATGCATTGGTTTCGTGACACCGTCCTTGAATACAACTGGTCCTCGGGATTCTGGCTTTGTTTTTGCGTACCCTCGGCGTCCATCGGAGCAGGCGGAGCAGGCGGAAGCTGCCGAAGCACCCAAGAAGCTCCACCCGATCAGTCTTTACACAATATTGAAGCAAGGAGACAAATTGAAGTACCATATTTCGCTCGGAGCGAGGCTCCGGTTGGCACACATGCTAGTCAGCTATGTTCACGAGATGCACTTGGTTGGATGGTTACATGAGGATATGAACTCCAAGAATGTGGTCTTCTTTCAAGAGGAACTCAAGGGGGGTTGTTCTGATGTCTCGAGGCTATCTGAAGAGCTGGGGAATCCTTACCTGCTCAACTATCACCATTCGTGGTCTTCGCCTCGAGAAGGACAAACCGAGGGATCAGCCACCTCAGCAGTGGGAAGCGGGAGTTCGTGCATGCATGCTTCCCAGAACCCAGAGTATGTCTCCGCCCAACAACACTCCTGCGACTCGTACGACTATCATAGCGTCGGAACAATTCTTCTAGAAATTGGTGGTTGGTATCCGCTGGAAAAGTTTCTCGCAAACAGCCGTAGGTTGGAATCAAATCCCCCGGCGTTCCGAGACGAGCTGGTCAAAAAATATGCCCCAAGGTTGCGCCACCTTATGGGATCGACGTATGCGAATGCAACGCTTGCTTGCCTTTGCAGCAATTTTGGCAGCGGTAGCGGCTCGCGACAGAAGGTCCTTGAGGAGTTCTATGAAAACGTTGTTGGCCCGCTGCGAGAACTATCGACTTTCCCGGTATAAGTTGTTTGATCGAGTTGCTGGTCAGCGAAAAGCCGAGATAGAGTAAATTGAACGAGAAATTAAAGCTGGAGGGGTTAAACACTATCACGCTTGGACATCATGAGGGTCAGTGGGTTGCATAAGAGACAGTTGTGGGTATTGAGCATCAAATTGTCTCCAGGGCCGGTTCAATCCGATGGTGACGAAGTGATACCCCTCAAGCTAGGGAAATTTCGATTTCACTCGTACCCAAGATTTATTTACTGTGGTTAGTTTGACTATTATCAGCCAGTCCAGCTGGGTGGCTATTGGGAGTCTTGAAACGCGAGAACACGTTGCCAGCTGGCTGCCAGCTGGAGGTTGTGGCAAGTCGGTCGCACAGCCACACTGAAATTATAAATTGCAGCTGCGCCACCAGCAGTGTCCTCGTTTCTCATTTCATTCCGGGCCCGTAGGGTATGCGTCTTCTTTCGCGGCCTGAAAGCCTGTAGTCCTTGTTCTCCTCAGCCCGACTTATAAATCCGCCGTCCCGTCTTGGGCAATACCAAAGGAGGACTGGACTCTCTGGGTATTCACAGCCCTAGGGGAGGGAGGGATGCGAACATTCGACAGCGCAAGTTCGACTTCGCCGAATTCGCGCTCAGGGAACATAGTCTGGACCGGCCAGCGAATGGCCAACAAATCATGCGAGGATAGTATTTATATGACTCTAAACCACAATCTCCCTCCCGGATCCCTACCGAACGTCATACCAACGACCCGACAATCATACCAACGACCAGACCGTCGTAAACGGAGCGTCGATACTACATCCCGATCCCATTCGAATCCGAACCAGAAGAAAAAACGCGACATGCAAGAAGTGACATTCGTGAGCAGTCGCTATATGAATTTCCCCAAGCTCTATGCGCTCTTGGACAAACTGTTTCCCGGCCAGTGGACCGTGGAGGTGCGTAGGAGCTGTGCGCTGCTACCCCGCGCCGATCAAGAGTGGCGGCTAAATCATCACAGCACCGCTACGGTCAAGTCCGTATCAAGTCACCCAGAGCCCTCACCAAGGTCCGCCGTCGACACAAAATTCCACTGTCAAGAGCGAGCATCGCTAAGATCTTCTAGGACCAGCAACATTCCGTTCAGGACTTGGAAGATTGAATGTAGACCGTGTTAAAGACGATAATGTATACGACGGAAGAATCGGATTGGAGGGAAAGGCGGAAAAGTCGGATCGGAGGGTTTTTTATTGTATGTGTAGTACTGTTTGCGCAATACCTATGATATTTTGCGATTATTTGTGTCCATCAAGAACACGCGGAATCGCTGCCGGTTGGAGAACGTGGATAGTTCGGGCTCTTTTGTGATGTAATGTGCGCGCATCGCCGTCAAGGCAGCATAGGAAGTATCCATCCACCATAGCAACGGATCACCGCAACTCACTCGTTTAGCTTTGCTTGGTCTAGTAGTGTTCTCATTTGGCTCAGCGCTTAAACGCACCAGTTTTTGATGGTGCATAGGAGCAGTTCATGTCTTGGCACCCAGTGGCTGTGCCCCTCGGAGGCTGTACATGCTCCTACTCTACATCCGCCAATGGGTTGCCGCAGGACTAAGGAAGGGTCGCAGCCGCTGCTGCGCTGATTACTCTTTCATCGTCCACACAGCACAGCACATGAATCTTCGCCGGTGTCGTGTTGCAACCTCACATGAAAGATGAATACTGTATGTATTGAACCGATGCGCTCGCTTCCAGATTTTGAAGATGGCTAATGGTGACGCCAGGAGGCCCAGGTTCACGGATGGGAGAACTACCCTACGGCTACAGCATCGACAAGTGGAATGCTAGATGATTTTCACGAAGTCCGGGAGCTGATAGGGAACTACGGAGATCTATTTGTCCAGAAACCGTCGGCGATCCATCTGCAGGTCTACCGAGCAAAGGAGGTTTACAATGTTTCTTCCCTCGAAAGCTTAGAATCCTTTCTCAAAGGGGATGGAAGGGAAACCGAAGGAGAGACGAAATTCTTGTCAGAAGCCCCCCCTGTTTACTCGTGTTGTGATCGGACATTTTAATTGGGGCCCTCTTTTAGTTTCATTACACAGACGAATTCATGGACGCGTCTGCAGATATCACTGGAAATGTTCAAGATGCTCTGTCATGTCCACGGTGTCTTTCCGCGATACTTCCAGTCAGTTCTCAGATTAAGCCTCAAAACTTGCAAAACGTACGAGTATCTCGGCGGTGGATGTTTTCGGCACGTCTCCGTGGCACCCGATCAGCATCAATCGACAATCTTCGGTAAGTCCTCAAAGACCAGTCTATTCCTTCATTCCTTACTGAAGATTGCCATGCAGAAGTATGCTATAATCTCCGCAAGTTCGAGAGGCATGGCCGTGATGTACTAGACGATCCGTGGTCGTGTCGACAATGTGCCGTCTATCAAAAATATACCACTGGTGCCCATTCATCTGCGTGGATTTTCATCCAGCTCCCGAAGACGACTAGGGAGCTTCTCGGACGAATCCACGAAGCCGGCGAGGATTCACTTTATCGGGCGCCGGCCGCGCACCCTCTGCTTTTGCACCTTCTCCTGCTATGGTCTTGTGAGAAGACCTGGGAAGAATACATCAGATATCTGGGAAACGAAATAACTGCGATTGTATGTTTTTTAATTCCACTTTCGTCACTTGCCCTAATGCCAACTCTACAATAGAACGACAAGACATCTTTCCTCAACAACACCTACCGCGAGTCCGACGTGAAACTCACGCACTGCCAGAACATCTGCCGTGTCCAATGGGAGCTAGAGAATGCTCTTCTACTTCTCGAGGCGAATCTGGATGTTGCCAACACGCTGGTCAAACACTCCAAGAGCATGCACGAAAGTACGGACACGGGGGTTACACGGGATACTCATGCATCCTTTCTTTCAGAGATTGAGCAGTACCAACGCACGATAGAGTGTCATATGCGGAATATTCAGAAGCACCTACGATTCGCGACGGTTGTCAACCAGCTAGTATGAACGACTTCTCCTCCTGATCATCTGAGGTGTAGGCTTACAAGACACCCGTAGACGCTGAAAATCCTGGACTTCCAAAACGACGAGCTCCGCCAAGCGAACAGCAACTCTCTGAAATCCCTCGCCTCCCAAACCGTCTCCGAGAACAAAGCGATGGTGACGATCGCCGAAAAAACGAAGGCACATTCGCGGATGATGGCGGTAGCCACCTTGATCGCAACAATATACTTGCCCGCAAGCTTCGTAGCGGTCAGTTTCTGCTTCCAATATACCTACCCCACGTGGCTGGCTGATGAAATTCCGGAATAGTCATTCTTCGGTACCAATATGGTCCAGTACAACACCAAGGCCGATGGAGATGCTTCATCCATTACCGTAAGGAAGGATGTGTGGGTGTATGTTATGGTGTCGGTGGTGCTGATGGTTTGTACGACGATATCGGCATATTTTCTCACGAGACGTCTAAAGAAGCAGGATGAAGCAGATACGATTGGGCTCTGAATGACGGGAGTGGGATGGGTTCTCGATGTTGTGCTGTGCTTAATTGCTTGCTTTAATGTCTTTATGAATCGTTACTCGCTATCTATCGTAACTTCTTATTTATTTGATGGAGGAGCTGTCGGCGAGAGGCGGAAGTGAAGGGGGACTCCAGTCGGCGGTGTCGGCGGGGGAGAACGAATGTGGTTAGTAGTACGCATCAACTTTGGCGCGCAGGGCGGGTCGTCTTCTTCTTCTTCTTCTTCTTTCTCTCTCTCTCTCTCTCTCATCATCATCTACCGAATAGACGATCAACCTATACCTCCTCTTTCTTCTTTGTGTGCTCTTCTCTCGGCCTGCCGCCGGTTTGGAGGGGTGTTGGCAAAGGAGCCGTCTGCAAAAGGGCCGTCTGGAGGGGTATTGAGACTGGACGCACTACTTCCAGGCAGTCTGCCAAAACCTCTGGACTGGACTTGACTGGACTGACGTCGTCCCGACAGTCTGGACTGCAGTCCGGGCCGAACTATCTCGAGACTCAACTAGCTGGACGGAACGGATGGAACGGACCACGGTTGACCGCGGTTGACTGTCATCACTTCCACCAGAGGACAGTACTATCGGAACGGAGGTGCAAAACGACATTTCCAGTCCACTTCCAGAATGAAGCCGGATTCATCGATCAGGAGACTCAACTCGGAGTCCGAGACGGGCCATGATTCCACCTACGGCCAAGACACCAACTAGGATCACCGGAATTCACTCAGCACCGTCGGCGCGTCGGCGCTTCGGCACCTATTTGTCCGATCACGAAAACATACAGCATTGAAACAAATGCATACGGAAAAGGAAAAGGAAACAATAACCCCGAAAAAATACCCCCCATCTCACATATACATAACGTGGCCCATTCAATGTTCATATTCATTCCTCCCACACACACACAAAATCAAAAACATGTCCACCCATCCCACCACCCCATACCATCCCATCTTATGCGATCCAGGTGAATGATTCTGCAACCTCGAATTCTACTGATCCACTAGAAGATTGTCAGTCACGATGGACATTGTGATTTGGAGGGGGGTTGGAGCTTACCGGATGTCCACAGCGGACGCCGCTACAAGTCCTACGAACTGTCCCTCCTCTGCTATCCAGGCTGACAGGCTCGGGTCGTAATAGCCAACAGCATATTTGTCGATGGTCATCTCGACAGTTTTTGTCTCACCGGGCTCCAGCGCGACCTTCACGAACGCGGCCAACTCCTTCTCTGGTCGCGGAAGTCGGGACTTGACGTCGCGGATGTACAACTGGGCGATCTCTTTACCGGCGACCGTCCCGGTGTTCTTGACCGACACCAGGATGGTCAGTTTTCCGCTGTCGGAAAGCGTGCTGCCGCTGATGCTGGGACTGCCGTACTCGAACGTGGTGTACGAGATTCCGTGGCCGAATGCGAACTGCGGTGCAATGTTGAGGCGGTCGTAATGGCGGTACCCAATGAATACGCCTTCGCCGTAGAGGACGCGCTGGTCTTGGCCTGGCCAGTTGTGGTAGGCCGGGTTGTCCTCAAGTCGCTTGGGGAAGGTGACGGGGAGCTTTCCGCTGGGGTTGACGTTGCCGAGGAGGACGTCGGCGAGGGCGTTTCCGGCTTCCTGGCCTTGGTACCACGCCTGGATGATGGCGGGGACCTCGTTGACCCATGGCATGGTTATGGGGGTGCCGGACTGGTTGACGACGATGGTGCGGGGATTGGCCTTCGCGACGGCGGCGATGAGGCGGTCCTGGCTGCCGTCCTTGGGAAGGTCCATGGTCTGCCTATCGTAACCCTCCGACTCCCATTCTGCGTCCAGGCCGACCACGACGATGGCCACATCGGCGCTGGCGGCAACCGCGGCAGCCTCGGCGACGAAGTCTTTGTCCGGTCGTTCCACGTAGCCGATACGGCATCCGCCGTAGCCATGCGTGGGGCCGGTCTTGCTCGCGGGCCGGACTTCGTTGTTGCTCTCGATCAGGATCTCATAGACTCCTCCCGCCTCCATGGGCCAGAGCGCGAGCTCCTCCACCGAGCCGTCGAACATGGCTTCGCCCGCATCCGTCCAGTCCCAGTTGTCGATCAGGAGCTCGCCATTGATGTACATCTTCGCCGGACCGACGCTCGACAGGCCGAAAGTGTGCTTTCCGGTGGTCTCGGGGATGATCTGCGTCTTCACTCGGAAAGAATACTCGGGAAGAACTTCCTTCGGTGCGTTGTCCCACAGGTACAGATCCGTCTTGGGCCGGTTCTGGATGAACATGGGAGTGCCTTCGAGTTTGTCGCCCTTGTAGAACTCGAGGATCACTCCAGGCTTGCCCGATGGTGTTGTGCAGATGTTTGATGCCAGTGGGAGCCACTTATCCGTCTGGGCGCCGGGAGCGTAGACGATCTCCCTATCACCTGCCATCTCCTTGATGGAGTCGTACGGAGTCGTGAGGTAGTATGGCTTCAAACTCGCGCTTCCACCTCCACCGGCAATGGCCTGTTTCGCGTTCGGGCCGATGATGGCGATTTTCCGCACCTCGGGGCCGATCGGGAGAGTGTGGTTCTCGTTCTTCAGTAGCGTCAGGCCTTCGTGCCCCGCCTGTCGGATCAGATCCCGCGTCGCCTGGGTATCGATGGATTTCTCCTCCGATTCCGTCCATGGGAGGTCGAAACGCCCACACTTCTCTATCCAGGTGAGGACACGGGCTGCACACTCATCGATGTCTTGAATTGTGAGCTCTCCCTTCCTGATGGCATCCATCACCTTCTTGCCACGCACTTTTGATGGGCCAGGCATTTCTAGATCACAGCCGTACTTGATGGACTCCACGGTCGAGTTCGTTCCACCCCAATCGGACATAACCAGTCTAGGAAGCAAAAAAAATTCAGAACCCACACGAGAGGATATAACGAGAAGGAACCCTTACCCATCGTATTTCCACTCGCCACGCAGAACCTTCCGCAGTGTGAATTCATTCATATCCGCATGTTTGCCATTGACCAAGTTATAGGACGACATAACAGCCCACGGCTTCGCCTCTCTGATGGCGATCTCGAACGGCTTCAGGTACAGTTCTCTCAGCGGCCTCTCTTCGATGATGGAGTCGACGGTCATTCTCCACGTCTCCTGCTCGTTACCAACATAGTGCTTGATGGTGGCACCCACACCGCCCTCTTGCAGACCCTTGATGTACGCGGACGAGAGTTTTCCGGTGACAAGCGGATCCTCCGAGAAGGACTCGAAGTTGCGGCCTCCGAGAGGTGAGCGGTGCATGCACACGGTTGGGGCGAGCAATGCCTGTGCCTGGCGCGCCTTCGTTTCCTCGGCGAGAGTCCTGCCGATGGAGTGGAGGATTTCGGTATTCCAAGTGGCGGCGAGTGATATACCACAGGGAAGTAGCGCAGCCTGCGGTCCGTCAGCAACGCGAGTCTTCGCAGGAACTGCCGCCAAACATGGCATGGAATACAAACCGGAGTGCCGTCCGTGAAGAATTCGCCACGGGCTCCGTTGGGCCCGTCCGTCACCTTCAATGCGGGGATCCCATGTTCCTTGATCTCTTGGGTACGCCAGAAGTCTTGTGCTGCCAAAAGGGAGACCTAAAAAGCCAATCACGTCAGCACCCTCGCCTCATTCACCCTGCAACACTCGCGCCAGCAGCCAAAGCTAACGGAGTACATTTGCAAGTAATAGACGGCGAAAAACAAGACCTTCTGCTCCAGTGTCAATTTGGACATCAATTCTCTGACCCTCGGGCTTCGCTCAGGACCATCGTAGGTCTTCACGGTCGCCCTATTCGACTTCGGACTCGATTTCTTCGTCGCGGTCGACTGCCTGCGTTCCGGCCCTGAACACTTGCTGACGTGGGAACCCATCTTGACTGTGGTTCAACAGGCGGGGACTACTTGTCCCGGCCCGTTCAGTGGGGATGTTGGGTTTGGGTGTTTGGGAGTTTTTGTTTCGGCGAAGGAAGGCCTGTACTGTAGAGATCCCACTGACCAGAGCGAGGCGGCGGCGGAGGGCGGAATTATATATTGAATGTTAATCGCTATTTGTCGGCGTAGCAGCAGGTCAAACAATCCACCATTTAGTAGGTGGCGTGCACCGCCGGCTTTATAGGTCGAGCGCCGACGGACAGATATCCCAGAGCTTCCGACCGGACGTGCAAAAAGGCCCACCCCCCGTAGCTTTCCACATACATACCTTACCTCACCTTACCTTACTTTACCTACTAGCACATAGGGTGCGGGAGAAACGACAAGCCCTACACGGGCCCGGACCGAACGATGACAGCAACGCCACCAGGCTGGGAGCGAAACTAAACATGGGGCTTGCTTTCCTTGCCTTCCATCAATCAGTCAATCAATCACTCAATCAATCGGCATGCTCTAGTTACCCCCCACCCGTCGCGTAGTGGGTAGGTTTACTATCGAACCCCCGCCGAAGGCTAGGTAGATGGGCCGGCTGAGTGGAGTCGACCAACGTATGTACGTACGGTGGAGCCAGACGACTGACGGAACTGGGAGGATCCGCCGCGTCCTCGAATTGATCCGTGCGTTGGGCAATGATAGCTAAGCCAGTATGTGCGGTGCTTGATTGATAGATGAGTATCGCTATAACATGCGTCGGAAAAATTCCTCAGTGTGCAGCTGGGTTCCATCTTTTTTCTGCCCACTGGCGCAGGTGGTGGCCGCTGGGGAGCAGGAGAGAGTTTTTAGGGGAGGGGGCCTCGCGTCAACGGTTGCCAAGGGCCGGGGCACGTGTGGGGCGGACTGATTGTGTCTACAGTTGGGCCCAAGGACTGTGGGGTCCTGGCGGGAAATCCGCGTCGAAGGTCCGGCGTCAAATTTAAAAGGCTTGCGGAGTGGGTAAATCGAGCATGCGTCTGCCATCCCGCCGACGATCACCCCACCCAGGGCCGCGATCGGTAATGGCGGGCCGTCAGCCGCCGTCTCCAGAGGATCCCTCAAATTGACAATGCTCTAACCCTTGCAAGGCAAGCCCCATCCAGCCCCCCTGCCCCTGGCCCTGCCAGCACTAATCTGACCGTTACCAAACAAAAAAACAATCATCACGAAAGTAGTCGACGCGCACTGCACTGCACTGCACTGCACTCAGCACCCGTCCCTCGCGGTTGGCACGACCAGCCTGTGTTCTGCGAAGGAACATGCAATGCAAGGTGCGTTGAATCTCTCCAAATGAAGATACGCGCACCAGAACCCTGGCCGCCGCGAAGATTCGGAGATTTCAATTCATGGTTCTCCCGTTCAACCTGGCGAGAAAAAAAGCACATTGATCCATATTGCAAAAACCTATTCAACGACATTGACGGCTTGCTTGCGAGCAATCCTCCCCCCATATTTCATATAATCTGCCGTTCACCGTGTAGTTACATACGTAGGACCGGACTGACTGGCTGACTTGCAATTGGTGGATAGTAGGTAGGTACTAGGTACTTGGGTACATGCCTCGGTGGTAGCGGAGCTGAGGCGGAGCTGGGGCGGAGCTAGGGCGGACGGCAAGCACCGACATTTGTTTGGTTGCTGTATCTACATGCGCTGCAAGTCTTCTTGCGGTCCAGTAGAGACTGCCGAGCTGAAAACGGTAGTGCAGCATATCCCCCGCGTTCACGTAGGTAACTATCTGTGAGGGTCTCTGGCCGGCCAGAGTGCGGACTGAGATGACGGATGAGACTTCTTCCAAACTCTCTGAAGTGAGCCCCTCTCACAGAGTGTTTACCACGAGCACATGCAATTCATCTCGCGCGACCACCTCGCAATCAAACCCATGCGAGAAGGAGGACACAATCGTCCATGGCTCTTGGCCCTCAGGCTCCGGTATGTACATACAAATCCCAGGCCTCCCAGAAGAGAATCCCACTACCGTAGGCCTTACCTTCAACGAAGCCTCTAGTCGATGTGGGTCTTCCATAATCGTGGCTTGCTCTCCCCACCAAGGACTCACGATGTTGATGCTACTCCACAAACGGAACTACTTTGGAGCACCAAGCACAACGCTGGCATGTGTGGAAGGCAGCAGCATTCGGTCCGGCTTCACTTATATGCGAACCCGGTGCAGAAGGTATGTAGGTATGTACCCACAAATGAGGGAGTAGGACAGCAGCGAGGAGTTCTTCCAGTCCCCACGGGCAGACAAGAACGAAGCCATAGTTACATCTAGTCGGTCGGTCAGCCACTGCCACTGCCCCCTCACCCAGCCCCCCAAACCACCATAGGTATGTACGAACACTAACCAGACAGATATGTACAAACACACCTTTCGTTTCAATAGGCGTCCAGTCCCGCTCTTCCGGCCAGCCGGAAGAACCCCGATTCGGGCTCTCTGCGCGCGCGGGGGGGAGTCATCCCATATGTTTTAGGGCATACCTACCGTATGTTTTGCTGACCCCCGCGCTGGGCGCTGGCTACTGGCTGGCTGGATGTAGGTGCTTATGTATGAGGTATGTACATATAGGCAGCTTTACCTTTCCGCCTTCCATCCGTCGGGCAAGCGGACGAGAGCCCCACGTCGTCCATATGAAATATCTGACGGTTGATCGCTCCGCCTAGGCTTTATCCGCCTGTCTGTCGGTGGTCGAGGGGGTAGCACTGGCCGCTCGTGGCACGTGATGGACCCCCTCTCACCGATGTATGTACCTCCCACCGACGTATGTACCTCCTGCTCCTACTGCTGCTGCTGCTGCTGCACCTGCTCCTGTTGATGCTCGGAGAGAAGTGAGTGAGCATATACTCCAAACATGCACATGTAACTGTGCACTTACCTCCCGCTGGAGATCAGCAGTCAGCAGAGCAGATGCATGATAGCCAGCCAGCCATCCAGCCAGCCAGCCAGCCCCTCGAGCTCGGAATGATACACAGCGCTGGCGAGATCGCAGCAGCTGCGCAGAGACTAGATATCGACCAGATCACGAAGCTCGTATGCGGCATGATCGCATATAGCACCTTCCCGTCGGTGCTCTGGAAGTACTGTAAGTATCTATGTACATAGCATTTGATATTGAACTGCTCGTATGTATGAACGTACAAAGTTACCGTTCGCCCCTGGCCTTCCTGAATCGATGCATGGGGATAGCACTCGCTGGCTATAGGTGAGTACTGTAGTAGTACATAGGGTTTAGGGCAGGCAGACTAGATCTGTCCTATGGAAGCCGTGTTGGCTTTTTCCTTGGAACGAGATGTTTCGACTTTACCTATGATTCGCCCCAGCGGTCAGGTCAGCATGAACAACCTCGGCAAATGGGAGGGCTCCGGGAGCGCACAGACTTCAATGGCGGTCACGTTACCTCCTCGGATCCGCCCCAAACGGCAATGTTAAGCCAATCGCCAAAACCCGATTCCAAGCGCAGCCAGCCAGCCAGCTACGTAGTGATGTAGCCAAGCTCCAAGCCGAAGCTCTGAGAGCCGAACCCCCCTCTCTCCCAGATAGCGCACGCGACCTCGTACTCACTTCCTTCCTCCTTCGTTTGCGTCGCATCCGCAAGAGTCATCACAGCAGCAAGCACAAGCACTGGCATGGCAACCTTTGAGGAACGACTGCGTCAATGGCAACAGCCGCCGCCGCCAGCGAGCCCGAACCCCAGCCCGAGCTCGCTCCCGCTGCCACTCCCGACCGCGCCCGCACCCTCGCTTCGCTCCTCACCGTCGTCCATCACATCCGCCGACGACGACGCCTCGTCCGACCACACGATCTCGACGCACCTCGAGCCGATCCGCACTGTTCCGAGCCGGCCCCGAAGCCAATTCCAGTACGAGTTCTTCGACGATGACGAAGAAGCTGAGAACGGGGAAAAACTGCCGCCGACAGGGATCTTCGGCCCAGCTCGCGCGCAGCTGAATTGTTTCTGGAGAAACCACATCTCCGTCGTTGTTCCAGGGGCGGACGCACGTGACCATCTCGGTACGTATAATACATATTACAACTGTCATCAGGGGAGAGGGGTGTTTCAGACTTGACGGGAAGTTAAGGCTGGACCTGGACCCTTCTTCTGCTTCACATGTCCGCTTGCCCACCTGCCAAACTTCCCCACAATCTTTCCCTCGTGTTTTTTTTCTCCTTCATTCATTTACCGGCCATTCCTTGCCCGCTATGCATATTTTGGCGCTGAAGCGGAGAGTAATTTCTCTTTCTTTCTTTTCCTTTTCTTTTCTGCTCTGAAAACTATCAGGCGAAGGGAAGAAAAAAAAGAAAAAACAACTCCGGCTGCCAGATTCGAATTCCCCGTTATCGAATCCATGTCCCCAGTCCGCTTAATATACGGTACACATACTATGAGATCATTTATCGTGAGCCTGTCGGAGTCCCCACCCGTTCTCCCCACCCGCTGGCACCGCACCGCATCATGTCATTCGCGTGCGGCTGCTAGTTTGGTCTGGTCTGGTCTGGTCTGGTCTGGGGCGGTGAGATGGTTGATGGATGCTGATGGCTGCTGATGGCTGGTACCCCAAACGGCCCCGGGTTCCCGCGCTCCTCCTCCCCTCCACCTCCACGCCCAGCCTTATACATATGTGGGGCTTGGGCTTGGTGCGGCGAGGCATCGGAGATTCGGAGATGGAGATGGAGCGGGTGCATAAGCGATCCGCTGACCACTGGTTTGCTTACTGCTGGGGCCAGTCACCGGCTGTCACCCTAACTATACCCAATCGTCCTCATTATCCCTTGCTTCTCTCGCTTCTCTCCCCCCTCCTCCCCATTCTCCGAGACCCTCCCATCCCCCTCTTCGATCTCCGAGGCCCCCCTCCCCCCACCTCCACCTCCAACCTTCTTCCACCCAACCTTCACATAGATACTAATCCACCCAGCCCTGGAGCGAACCTACCTCTCCTACCACCGCACGTCCCTCGCTTTAGCGCTTCTCGCCGTAATAGTCGCACAACTCCAGATCCTGCAGCACTCGCCCAACCCCGACCCCGTGTTTGGCTTCTACGCTCTCGGAAAACCTCTGGCCGTCGGACTGATCGTGTGCGCGATCTCCATCAGCCTGCTTGGGTGGGTGCGGTGGTGGCATTGGCAGCGCACGCTACTGCGCGGGAAGGCGCTGGCGGGTGGGCCAGAGCTCGCAGCGGTGGGGGGGATTGGCGCGCTGGTCATTGTCGCGTTCCTCGGAATGGTAGCGGCGGTCGATATTAGGAAGAGTTATTTTACCAGGCATGATGATACGTGATGGAGGGGAAGGGAAAGAGGAATACGATAATGCTTGGATTAGAGGGAGGGGAAGGGAAAGAGGAATACGATAATGCTTGGATTAGAGGGAGGGGGAGGGGTGAAGGGGTTTAGAATTGGGCAGTGAAGGTATAATTAACGGCGGACGGATGGACGGACGAGACGGACGGACGAGAAGGATGGATAGATGCTAGATGCTAGAGTAGATATATGTTAGAATGATACCCACGATTTCACGATTTCACGATTTCACTGCCATTACCTATTGATGCCTCAAGCACCTACTAGTACTACTCTTGAGGCCCCTATCGTTAGTGGAGTTATGTTGGACGGGTAGGTGCTAGATGCTAGATGCTAGATGCTAGATTCTAGATGCTGGAATGGATGGTTGGATTGATACCCCCGATTTCACGGTTTCACAGTTCGCGATTTCACATTTCACGATGTCACAGCCATTATTGATATTGAAGCTTCAAGCATCTGCTACCTAGTATAACTCTTCGGACAACCATCATCAACACATCACTCCATACTGCCCACCAGCCACCATACCGCCCATTACCAGCCCAGCTTACCAAACCACCAGCCATCCACTTTCCCAGAGTTCCTCATCCCCCAGTCTCCTAGTCTTCCCAGTCTCACCCACCCCTTCTCTTCCCACCCTTCCCACATCCCTTCCCATATCCCATCCCTTCCCACGCACTATGCGGGCAGCGGAAGTCCCGACGGCCGACATCTACAGCATAGCACCGTGTCACACCTCCACATGTCACGTCGACAGTCACAGTCAAAATCTAGATTGCATACCTCATACATCCCAGGTCAACATCTAGATATCTAGAGTGCATACATCCCATACTCGCCCGGAGATTAGTGTTTTATGCATACATGCATACATGCATACAGCCCCCTCCACCCCGTATAATGCACATATTACATCCATCCCCATGTGATGGATAATAAGTACATAAAGTACCTAATATTGAAGTAAGTGTCGGTTTTGGTGCGGGAGTATGTGGTTGCACACTGCTGATCACTCGACCCACCCCCATCACACCCATTATTCACTACAAGACGACCCAGACAAGATTCAAATTTCACAGTGGCTTTCAGTCTGAGTCATGATAAACACAGCAATTTATTTCCCCAGCCCACCCTTTACGCGAATCAAACCAAAAAAACGAAGCATTTTCAATCTCGAGGAATAGAGTAACCCCCGTATCGCATCATATCGCATCGCATCGCTCGCATCGCATCGTATATACAAAGAGAAAACAAAAAACCCCGTCGTCCCTGCGCGCGGCCTACAAGCTAGCCTCCCAATCCATCAAGTCCTTGATACCCTCCTTGACAGCGACAGTCTGTTCATCGGACAGCTTACGCAGCGGCTGTCTCGGGTATCCGCCGTAGCCAAAGTAGCTCTGCAGGGCGCTCTTTGTTCCTGGGATGGCAGCCTTGGTGAGGATCCAGTCGCCCTTTGACAGGCGGATCTGCGCCTGCTTTGCCTCCTCGATCTTTCCCTGCGCGAACAGGTTGTAGACGAGGACGCACGCCTTGGGGGCGACGTTGGCGCCGCCGGCGATCACACCGCTGCCGCCGACGAGGAGGCCCTGCAGGAGGAAGTCGGCCATTCCAGCAAAGGCCATGTAGCCTGAGCCGGCTGAGGTCGCGGTCACGGCGTCCTTCTCCAGGGCGACTCGTGCGAGCTTGCCGGTGTTGCCGCAGGTGAATTTGGTGCCGACGATGTTGGGGTGGTTCGAGAGCTTCAAGAGGAGGTCCGAGTCCATGTCGATGCCGGCGACGGCGCCGGGGTAGTTGTAGAGAATGATGGGGATGGGCGAGGCGTCGGCCACGGCGGTGAAGTAGTCGTAGATGGCCTCTTCGGTCATGGCGTAGCGGTAGTAACTGGGAGGGATAAGGAGGGTGCTGTCACCTCCCGACTCGAAGGCCTCCTTGCACAGCTCGATGGTGCCGCGTACCGATTGCTCGCTGCAGCCGACCATGACCGAGACGTCCTTGAAGCCTGCGGCATCGAGAGCATCGCGAGTGACGCGAGTCACTTCCCGTTTCTCCGCTCGTGACAGATGTACTGCCTCACCGTTGGAACCCATGGTGACGAGACCGGCGAGACCAGCCTGGGCGAGGCGGACGGCATGTTTCTGGATGGAGGGAATGTCGAGGTCTTCTGTGACGGGGTCGAAGAAGGTCATGGTAGGGGCATAGATGCCGGGTCTGAGAGGAGCCATGTCTGAGAGTTTGTGTGGTGGTGGTAGAGGTAGTAGAGTTGGTGGAGGTTGCCTGAGGACTTCTGTATGTGGCGACGGTGGGACAATGAGCAGGAGCGATGTTCAGTGGGAAGCTGCTGATCCATTTTGACAGAGGGAGAGCGGGGTGGTTTTATGGCCAAGTCCGACGAAAGTAATAGCTCGCTGGTGGGGCAGTTCAGTGTGGGATTCTGGTCGTCACACCGACGCTCGTTCCGAACCATGACCGAAGTAAGTCCGGAATCCTGCACTCAATCCATACAGTACATTCAGGCTGAACTATCTCGCGCCGAACAGTGCAGATGCCCCCAGTCCAATGCATCGGATTTGGATGTGGTCAGGATCATCATTCGCCCAACGCCCTTCGACCCCCATTCATCTTTGTGCGCTTTGCGCTGGCCGGTACTTACTCCCCTCCAAGAAGTCCTATTGGTTTCCCCGGATTTTTGTTGCTTTTGATCGTCAAGCATAGTATCTTGCGTAAAGGCGAATCTCTCTGTGCTTCTCCAATACCACTGTCATTCGGACATATCTTTATGCGCGTCTGCAACCGGCGTATTCTTACGAAGGGGGCTAAGTGCTCTCGCCTCCGAGCAGTGCCCCTTCACCCCGCACCGTTCGGCAGGTACTGTCCCGAAACACTCGCACGGTTAAGTAGGCTGCCCGAGGTTGAAGATATTTTGAGCGGAGAGTGTTGGTCCGTGTTTGAAGTTCGCATGGTTAAAGGAACCGTCGCGCGCCCACTGGAACGCGAACCTATGCATCTCGGTGGGGCCTCCGCATCATCGTTAATCCGCGCTGATCGATGCGCGCGGATTATTTAGCGTCGCCCCCAACTTCCGAACCGAATCAAATTGAAGATCGCTTCCTGGAAGATCATCCGCCAGTCCTCCGATGATGTAGATAAATAAATCCCCACGCTCCGCGTTTGTATCTATTAGTGATAGTATTGATGCCCTCCAAAGCTTAAGGATTCATTTAGTGAATCGTGCTGCGTGCTGTTCGCCAGATGGGTTTTCTGAGATATGCAAGCGTAAGGATAATGTGGGGAGACGAAGCGCATGCTGCAGACAATATCGAAACTCATCGCCGAAGGGAGCACCAGATTGGATACCTCCTCATGCACAATCAAAACCATCGGCGAACTTCGACCTTTCGTGATGCCAACATATCTCGTAGTATAAATTACTCCACTGGCGAAATTACCTCCTCGGAGGGTCACGGTGTCCTCGCGAATCAAGTGTGAGGAATTGCCGGACTCGGACACACGAGTGATGGTGGAGGCATGCAAGTCTGCGACGGCGGCCAGCAGGCACATGTCTGGACTCGGCAATTCACTTGGTACATACCGCAGCTAAACACCACGATTAGCAATGCGTTCCCATGCAGCGTGGGGTACATGTCCAATCGACGGCTGCGGGGGTAATCCGCCGATGCAGTAGGTAGGCCTGGATCTAGGTGGAGATTCACCCCTCGATGAAATCGAAGCAATTCTATGACCAACATTACCCCCCAACTCATCGCCAGGCTAACAGCTCAGACTGAGACGGAGACAAGCAAAGTTTGTATGCACTCAGTCGCATGATGGAGACCTGTTGCGGTAATGTAATCCAGAGCGCGGGGTGCACCGGCGGACCAAAAATATCCACCACTCGATAGTGAAAATGAGACGTGGCCAAACTCCGAGAATTCGACAAGGAGGTCATGAGACGCAGGGCTCGAGGTAGCGTTGCGCTGCTCAGCAGAAGATTCATCAATCTGGGGAAGGCGGCCTCAGAGAGAGGATTGATAGGGAACACGGAGGATCCATCATCATCCGGGTAGCGGGACCACCTGGTGAGGTTTTTCTCGCAACCACCAAATCGCTCAGTGGAGAGCTCGGGGAATCCTTTCCCACGTATGTAGAAGACGTATGTAGCGGACGTGAGAGTGGCATTGTAGCGTAGGCTTGAGACGTCACTAACCAAAGCAATGCAGGTCGGAGTGGTGGTGGTGGTGGTGATACCATCGAGACACGAATCCGGAATGACGCTGCTGGCCTTCCAAATTCCACCTTCCTAGGAATTCCGGTCTTTCGAATCAGGTATGTAGCAATCTATCCATCTTCTGTCGCAGGTAGATGAGTGAGTAAACGAGAAGCCGCCACGCGGTTGGAGGTTTAATAGAGATTCAGCATATTATCTGGTCGTCGGAGTGACGCTGGCCGGGCGTCGGTGTCGGTGTCGGTGTCGACGGGCGGTCATGATTGTTCTTTCTCGATTGTTCTTTCTCGATTGTTCTTTCTCGATTGCAGCTGGCAGTTAATGAGCGTCCGGGGCTGATCTGTTGGATGTAGATCCGAGAAGACGAGAACGAGGGGGACGACGACGAGTGGGAAGCGTTTACGTACGTTGCGACAGAATCGAATCCACCTTGGCCTGGATGTGAATGTTGACGGAGAGGGCGACGACGAAAGTGAGGACAGCGAGGTGGTATGTATGTATAAATGAACGGGGAAGCAGGTGGAGAGTTCCGTGTCGACGAGACGGAGTCACGGTGGCTTTGTATGTAGCAGTCCGCGTAGAAGTCCGCAGTCCGCGGTGCGCTGTAGGAAGTAGCAAGCAAACGATCGATATCAGAATGTTTTTATATCTAGGCACGCATTGTTGAGAATCTGAGATCAGAGAGATCGGCTTCCAAAACTCCGATCTTGATCCCGACTGCAGGAGATGGGATGGGGTGGGGCGGCAGCAGCCGAGTGCATTGAATGGTCAGCGAACCCGTGATAGATCTGACCGACCGACTGTACGGGATCGTGACGATCGATTCGCTAAACCCTGGCCTAAAACAAGGGACCTTTGGAATGTACTCGGGTAGCGTTCGTTTCCATTCGTCGTATGTATCAAAGTACCGGTAAGTTTCTGCTCCTCCTTCTCGGCATCGAAAAGATTTTTCTTGCCAGTCTACCAAGCGTACGAGGTAGGTAGCAGCTGCCTATCTACCGGAGTTATTATTTGGAGTGTGTAATTCTCCCCGACAGCCAAGTGACCGGATCATTTCAAAATCCAGCCTGCCGATTCGTAGTGGGCTGCCTGATACCGGTACCAGGCAAAGTGATGGGGTTGTTGGTGATGTTTTTCAGGTTAACTACGTGACCATATTATCGTCGATACAAGTGGTAGATACATAAGCCATAGACCTGATCTACGATCTGTGTTTGTGGAAAGGAAGTGGGGGTGGTGTGGCGCTATTCAGAAGTGAGGTGGTATTAGGAGGTGATGCGCTAATCGGAGGGGAGCTGGTATTCGAGGTGAGGCGCTATTCAGAAGTGAGGCGCTATTCAGTGGTGAGACGCTATTCAGAGTTGAGGCGCTCTTCAAATATGAGGCGCTATTCGGAGGTGAGGTGGTGAGGTGGTGAACATTCAATGGAGTCACTCAGACGACATTGAGACTCGGCAGCTTGTCTTAACCCCCATCTCGTGGGGTTCACACACACAACGGCAGGCCAAAAAGCCAAGATGGCAGATTCTCAGTTGTGAATCCACATAGGTAACGGAATGCCTTGTTCGCACGTATATACATCTGATCTGTAACTATGGCCACTGCAGCTCCAAAACACAGTATCAACCGCTCCCACATGGCTACTATCAAATCCCAACCAAGAAGCAAGCCAGTAAGGCTTCCAAGCAAAAACTCCAAGAAAAAAAACCCCCCAAAAGAAAAACGCCATGTACCCACTGTCGAATCGCATCAAGCGTGCAAAGACTTAACGCTGGCCCACGCCTGCACGGCGCTCAGCGCCAACTGCAGAACCGCCACGATAGCCCCGAAGCAGCCGAGACACACCACGGCCCAGAAAGTATACCACTGGAGACTGTCCCTCTTATCTTTCCACAGCCCGCGTATGCCGTTGGGCTTGAGCAGCGTCTTTAGTACCAGCAGGCGGTCGCCAAACACGGGGAAGTCACTGCCGACGTTGTAGAGGAACCGCGGCTCGCAGTCGCCTTTGGGCAGTGTGAAGATGTCAAAGAACCCGTCGGTTGGGTTCGACGACTCGAGTTCCTGGAAGTAACATTGCGACCGCCGGTCGCCGCCGAAGAGAAGTCGGTACGTATCCGATATCTCGACCAGGGCTTGGTGCTGCTGCGTAAAGCCTGCTTTACTAGGTGGATTTTAGCGAACAGAAACACTGTAAACACATCGGAGGGATGGAGGGGCGTACATACTGCAGCGACGAGTTCTCCTTGGCGATCGCGTGCAGGTGGCAGTACGCCACGTTTGCGTAGAGCTGCACCACCTTCGCTTGCGAGTCGAGCTGCAAATGGTCCGTGATCTTGTCGGTCCATTTGAACCTGATGCCCTTCCAGTCGTGCAGCATACTCGCCGTGAGCTCGGAAGGCACGATGGTAGCGGGCATTCCACCGGTCACGGCGTAGTGAGATGTGTTGAGAGCTGGAAGATGAGGTCTCGTCAGGTCTGCGATTGTCGAGTCACAGAATGTCTGTGACGTCGGCAGGTCATTGCGGTCCTCGATTGACCGCGAGAAGTCAAGCATGGTCCACGCCTCGAGCGAAAACAGCAGCCACTCGTGCACGATCTTTTGGTGCCACGAAGAGAAATTGTCGACCTCGCACCCCAGCGCCACTGCGGTATTTGCCTTTTCGTCGTCACTCGTGCCGCCCGCTCCGAGGGCAGGATCGAAGCTGCCCTTTCGGATCATGCCGGCGAAGTGATCCATGTGGGCAAGCACGAAGGTCGTAACGGAGGCCTCGGAAGTCAGACTTCGAGTGACCATTCTCAAGTGGTCGGCGAAGTATGCCAATGGTTGTGGCCACATGGTCGGGTTGGGATTGGCAATAGCGGAGTGGTATAGGGCTGTGGTAAGCTTCTTCTCGACCTGCGCAATGTAGACTTTGCGCAGTCCAAGGTATTGGGGACTACACAGCTGTAACCCACACAGACTCTCGAGAATCTTTTTGTCTGGTCCTGGCTGTCGGTAAGGCTTCCGTTTCAGTAACACCTCCCGTCGCTCGAGCGAATGCAGTCGTTCCTCGCCAGTTGAGGAGCTCAATTCGAACTGTTCAGTTTCTGGGCCCGAGTCAAGCTCAGCCGTACCCGACAACCCTTGCGCCGCATATCCTTCCTCTTCGATATCCGCAGCTCGTTGACGTGGGCTACGACGGAAACTCCAACGGCTCGTGAGACTACTTGGCGTAGTGAGATGGGACTGGGGAGACGAATCGGTGCGGAAAGAGGAGTTTCTGGACGGTCCACTCGGAGAACCGGTGCCAGATGACGAAGACCTCGAGCTATTCCTAGATATGCCGAATGTAGATGATCTGGAACTGTTTCTGGAGAGGCCGAAAGTAGACGATCTCGAGCTATTTCTAGAGATGCCGAAAGCCGAAGATCTCGAGTTACCCCGCGAAAGAAGCCGTCGTAAACTAGAGCGATGCGACGGCGAGAGTTGTTCGTCGTCATAGACATCTTCCTCCTCGTATTGAGCTTCGAAAGGATTTTCGGGCCGAGTAGATTGCGGGTAGTTTCCGTTCGCATCGATCGAGATTTGTGGTATGGTCGGCAGTTGACTATAGCTCTGCCAGTGTTCAAGCGAGCTGTAGGGCGAATCTGGCTCCCGCTGGACGATTCCCACACTGATGACTTCAGCCGTTCCTACGAGGCTTTCGAAGATGACTTCTTTCTCATCCGAGTGGTCCGACAATGGTCGAAAGCCAGCCGCAGCTGGATTTCCTACATCACATCACCACATCAGTTTCAGATCTCGACGGGCTATCCCAGCCTCGCTCACGATACGTTCTGTCCGCGAACGCAACGCAAAAAGAAAGAAAAACACTCACCAGTAGTATCCTCCACAGCCTCTTCCTCCACTTCCTCGCGCAGCTCATCCAGCTCTGTGGGCCTCAGTCTCTGGAAAGCCGTGTGTGGATTAAATGGGTATGGGCCGTAATCCCCAGGATGGTCGCGCAGTTCCAGATACTGGCTCCCGCCATCGCCCTCCACAACGACCTGATCAAGTGCTGCTATTTCTGTTGCTGTTGTAATTTCCGACATCATCTCCGTCACGCTCGCGATCAAATATCATTCCTGAAGTTGCGAACAAGAAGAAGTGGGTGGGGGATTGGGTGGGTGGGCGGTGGGGATATGAGTGAGTCCATTCCTTCCCTTTTCATTGAACGATACGGAGGCTGAGCTTTCAGTGCCTATCGTACGGACAGACAGCTGCAGATATGTAGCTGCGTGCGACAGGGCGATGCACGCGGGGGTGCGGCGGCAGGGAAGCCTCACCTCACCCACGCACTGCAGGTGCGCATGCGCGCAAACAGGCAACCACACATAGTGCCGTTCGTTCGGCGTGCCAGACGATGAAGAAATGAAGAAGGACCTCGTGTAATATAGACCTTGTAATTCAAAGACGCTTCCAAGTTCCAACCAATAGTTAGCAAGCCAGTGTGCGCGCGTCTCCATACGTAGGCCTACGTTACCGAATCATCGGACCTACTCGCCGCTGGAACCCGCAGAAGATCATTGTAGGTACTCTAAAGTCTCCGGTTTCCCGGAGTCCAGATTCCTCAGCAACGGTAGAAGGTATGTAGTTACACAACGTCGACGACTACGACGACGACGATGGAAAAAAACCAGTCATAACCCCCATTCAAACGCCTTCAAGGTGGCTTTCCCACCGCTCGCAAGAAGGCTTCACCGACCAAAACTCCTCTACCAGTTAACTACCAGTTAGTACTTCAAAGTTCAAACTCCATTTTGCAGCAAACGACCCGCTAATGCCACAGTCCACCTGACGACTACCAGGCAGGTATATGAGGTAGGTGGTTATGCATACCAACCATCTTCAGACAGATCTTCACCAACCTTGAACCAACCTTGAACCAACCGACCGTTCCGTTCCGTCCGGCTCACCGCCCGTGAGCAGACTGCACCAGGACAGGGTGTCGACGACAGGCGGTCTCTTCGTCGCCGAGATCCGCATTCAGGATTCAGCCATTCAGCCATGGCCCATGTGACTGGATAACTATTGGCGCAGCCGCCGACGCCGCCGACGCCAGGATCGCAAGATGCGGTGTAACGCGAAGGGGGCTCAGCTTGCAGGCAGAGTGCGCACACCGCCTCACCAGGCAGCATTCGGGGGAAACTGATAACTAAGCGTAAGTGGAGCCCGTGCCCGAGCGGATAACCGTCCCATAACGGGTATATATCCGGAAGTAGTCGATGGTCATGCATGCACTCTCACTCGGGATGGTAAACCCCCGAAAAGAAAGAAGAAGAAAACGTAACGCGTCCGCTGTACGCGCAGTCACGGGTGACATACATTACTTCTTAGTCTACGTGCAATATCATATACGCCGACACACCGTTTTTAAGAGTTGCAGTGGTTGCGGGAACCACAAGCTGGTCAGAATGGCGAAAAGGCGTGCTTGTACCGTATTGTGTGCAGATATAGGTAGAGTGCGAGATAACTACCTAATGAGCTGACAGAGGACATGTTCTACTAGAGTATGTACTTTGGGGGACGGTATAGCTAGGTTGTGAGAGGATGGATTGAGAAGGAGTGTCGATTGTGTAGGCTGCCGAGTTGCGAGGGGATGTGGAAACGTGAGGGTATTGTGCAGGTTGTCGGAGAGGTATGCACTTAGGAGGGCCAGTGCCTCCGATAGGTAGTCCAGTCCGGACTGGACTATCGGGAGCACTGAGGAGGGCTTGCAGGATATCACGATATCACCAGTCTGCTTCACACGATATCGATATGGCAATCAGTGAAACAGACACACAACATGAACCGGCACTGGCACTGGCAATTCAACACTCAAGTACTTACCTACCTCTTACTTACCTCGTGAATAGGTAGATACCCGCTCCTCCTAATACCCCCGACTCCTCCGAACCTCATTAACCAGCGGCACTCCCCTCTCCATCCGTTCCAGATTGATCTCCATGACCTCAAGACACCTCTCCTTGTACTCACTGCCGACACCACTCACATGCGGAGTAACGACGACATTCTCGAGTGCCCAAAGCTCACTACTTTCCGGCAGGGGCTCCGGCTCCGTAACATCGAGACTCGCGCCGGCCAGACCGCCCTCCTCCTCCTCCAGCCCCCGTTTCAGCGCCGCGATAAGCGCATCATGATCAATAATCCCGCCTCGCGCAATATTGACAACGTAAGCGCCTTTCCCGCCCATCCCCGGCCGCGGCCTCTCCAAGATCTCGAACTCCTCAGCGCCCAAAAAGTGGCGTGTATCATCCGTCAGCGGCACGGCCACGAGCAGCACATCGATGCCCTGGCGCAGAAACTCGCGTCTACTCTCCTTATCCAGGCCAGAGAACCACCTATCAGGCACGCTCCCGTCCGCATCCCCCGTGCCAGGGACGATATACCCCGTATCCCTCCGCGCCTCCTCCGTCGTCCTCGGACTGGCCGTGAACGCGAGCACCCTCATCCCGAGGGCCTTACCTACGCGCCCCGCCTGGCGACCAATGGCGCCGTAGCCCAGGATCCCCAGCGTCTTCCCCACCAGATCGTGCACGGAGCCGAAGTATCCGCCGCTAGCGGCATGCGACCCCCATTTCCGCTCGCGCTGCCACGCGAGCAGCGTGCGCAGGTGGTGCGTGAGCCCCAGCAGCGTCATGAATACGTGCTCGGTGATCTGCGGTGCGTGGATGCCGCTCGACGTCGTGATCGGGATGGTAGAGGAAGTGTATAATGGGTGCGAAACTATGTGGTCGATTCCCGCCGAGAAGAGGTGCACGAGCTTTAGGTTGGGGGCTTGCGAGGGCAGTGGAAGCGTGCGGAGGGTGAGGATTATGGTCGCTTTCTCGTAGAGGTCTGGGGAGGTTAGGTCCGCAGGTGGGCCAGAGGATGCGGGGGTGGGAGGTAGTAGGTACCGAGTGGAACGTGCACATCCCGCCGCCAGTACTGCTCCACGCTCTTGATGTCCACATCCGGCTCCGGCTGGAAGTAGATCACGGTGCTCTTTGGATGGCGGGCACGGATGCGATCGAACAGCTCCTTCGGCTCTGGGAACGGAAGGATCGCGAGGATGGTTTCTTGGAGCTCTTGCACTGCCGGAGAACTGGACGAGGTGGGAAGTTGGTTTCGCATTTTGACTCGGTCGTTGAGCAATTGAGTTGGAGTGGGGGGAATGTGGGGACGCAGCTGTAGATAGAGTATCTATGGATAGTGGTGCAAGGTGCAAGCTACAAGCACTTTACTCGAAACGGACAAGGGTACCTCCGTATCGACATCTAGAGCAAGTAGCTGCGAACTCAATGGCACGAGTGAATTCCGATGAATGAGGGCATGCGCCGAATCCCGATCAATAGACCACGCTGCATAGATATTTCCACCACGAAAAGAAAGCATCATATTCTCCAAGGGTGGTATTCCAACACGCACGCAACCAAATCCATACAAGTACATCCAGCATCTTACCACCGCCAGAGCAGCACTGCATAGAACGCAACCGCGACGGCCGCCATACGTCCCATCTCCACAACAATCTCAGTCACCCACCAGAACCGCCCTAGCGCCTGCCTCGGCCGTGGCTTCCAGTATTTCCCCTGGCCGCCGTCTTCGCGCACCGACATGCCCTTCCACGTCTGCGCCATGGGCAGCACCTCGACCGCACCGCCCTCCCTGCGTGCCCTCCTGTCCCGCCGAGTCCACCAGACATTCAGACACACAATCATAACCGTGACAGCAAGACACTTCAGATAAGTCAGGAAGATCCCGATCTGATCAGGCAGCAGACACAGATGGCTGTGCAGGGTGTCCTGGTCGCCGTGGACCTCCGGGGGCGGTGGCGCCAGATGCTCCGTATTCCGCTCATCATCCGGGCCCAATCGCGCCGTGAGCTCAGCCGGGGTCTCGGGGACCCTAGCGGGGGCGTCGTCATCCAGGGGCAGCGGGGGTGCCTCCGTCGTCGTTGTTGTTGTTCCGGGGTTCCACATCGACACCATTTCGAACCCGGGGCGGCGCACGCCCATCGTCCAGCTGATGCTCTTGACGGTCCACTCGCGCACGAGGCCCTGCGGTCCATACATGTGCGTGACGTCGCAGGCGTCGTGGTCGTCGCCGGAGAAGACGTACTTCGCGTGCGTCTTCTTCAGCAGCGTGGAGGATAGCTCCTGCGTCAACACGTTCTGGTATTGGTATCCCTTCCAGATCGGGATGGCGGTGCCTTTCTCGCGTAGCGGGCCGCAGGGCGTTCCCTTCTCCCGGTACAACGGCACGTGTGTCAGCAACACTGTCGGCTGCTGCGAGGTCGGCGGTGTAGTCGGCGGCGGCGGCGTCGCAGCAACTGGATTCGACTCGACGACCTGCGGCCACTTGCCCCCACCCTCTGTCACCGTGTCGAGTCCATCCAAGAATTCATGCACCTCGGCATAGATCTCGGGATCCGCCTCATTGCTCAGCGACACGGCATCGACCATGACCCAGGTATGGTTCCCCGCCGTCCAGCGATCATTCCCTTCGCCAAAGAACGCCGAAAACCGTCCGCGGGCACTCAACTTAACCCCGCCACCAAACCCCAAATCATGATTCCCGGGCATTCCCCTCTTCATCCTAACGCCCGCAGGGGCTCCAAAGATCCCCTCGAAGCGCCTGAACTCCTCGATCCAATACTCCATACCATTTTTCCGCCAATCCCCGACCTCATGGGGATCATGTCCTATCCCCTTCTCCTTCTCTCCCAAGCGCGCACTAGTCCCCCACTCCCTCCCGCCATCAAACAGGTCGCCGAGAAAGTACGCCTCAGCGGGAACGAGCTCCTGATGCAGCAGCGACCACGCGCGGGCCAGGTACTTATCGCTGTAGAAGATCGTAGCGGCGAGCGAGGCGCCGCGGCGCGCGTACGTGTGTATATCGACGAGCTGGGGGTCAGCAACGAGGACTATGCGGTGCGGCGTCGCGCCGGCCGGCCACCGCTCCCACGAATCCCATTGGCACGCCGCGATCGAGGACGTCCAGATGTACCGCTCGTAGTAGACAACGAGAAGCAGCCAGATGATCGTGATCAGCGCGGTGAGCCCGCTCCATCCCGGGAGCGTGGAGCTACGCCGTCGGTGCCGCCGCCGGGAAGTGTAGTTGTGCCACAGCGATTGCAGGAAGTTGAAGGGTGTGCTGCGTTGGTGCGCTTGCGAGGTGGGGCGCGGACGGTGGTAGAGGTGCGGAGAGGTTGCGTCGTCGTCGATGGGCGGTGGCCGCGGCGAGGTGGCGTAGCGGATCATTGGTACCGTATCGTGTGCGCGCTGGGAGGCTGGGAATGTGTATGTACAGAAGATGATAACTAGGTTGACATTGTTATCGATTGTGTGATAATGGTGACGGAGAATGGGATGTCAGAGGTGTTGTGTGTGGTGTCGAGACACGACGTTCGTCACCTCTTTATGACTGCAGGGAGCAAGCTCCGGAGGTGTGCGACGTCAGCCTCCTGTCGCCTGCAGGGGAGGTCCTTAATCTCCGAGTATCACTCAATCTCACGATATCAGACGAGTAAGGAATTGCGGGTGCACTTTTGCAACATAACCGAAGTGTCCAAATCGTTTCCTCACCCTTCTGAACATATGAAGTGTCTAGAGTGGGTATATTAGTTTTTCTCTATGCTGTATAAGTATTATTTACAATCTCCTCCCCGCATTCCCTGAAGAAAACATCCTAATTGCTTGCAGCAAACAAAAGAATAGAAGAAAAGTATCCCAAACCCCAACCCGGCCCAGTCCGTAGCATGTTAAGCATCACGCGTAAGTTGAAGTAGACAGAACAATCAAGGAAAACCCCCCGGCACGCCTTATGTAACAAAGAAAGTCAAGGAAACCAAGCCCAAGAACCAGACGACCATAGAACTCTCCACCTACTAGTGCGAGTGTCCATGCGCGCCATTGCCAACGGCATTCTCGTCTACAGGTGCACAGCACTTTCCACTGCCACACTCGTCTCCACACTCGAGGAGACACGCGTCGGCGTCGGTGGCGGCAGTTCCGAGGGCTCCGTAAGTGCTCGTTCCGGCCTGAGATGCAATCGCAGCGAGACCGCCCTTCGGCGTGTACTCGGGCTGGATGGTGACGGAATGCACACCGACAGCGTGAAGGCAGGTTCTAACGGCCTTCGCAAGTCGCATGTACTTCAGTCCCTTGTCCGTCTCGGGGTCAAAGGCGATCTGGATGTGCAGGGACGCAATCATCTTGACGTCGCTGAGTTGCCAGATGTGAAGCTCGTGCACGCTCTCAATGCCAGGGATGGACCGAATGTCCTCCTTGACCTCGTCGAGCGCGATGCCCTTAGGAACACCCTGGAGCAGGATCTTAGAAGCGGATTTCACGAGCGGCAGTGCCGACGAAAAGATAATAATGGTGATGATGAGTGAGATGGTGGGATCCGCATAGTTGGTGAACGGCCTGGACCATTCGTGGTTGGGGCTGTACTTGACGAAGAGCGCGGTAAGGATGACGCCGACATTTCCGAGAGCATCGCCGAGAACGTGCAGGAAGACACCGCGCATGTTGAGATTCTGGTGAGAGTGTCCGCCCTTGCCTGCCTTCTTGGGCTTCGAGTGGTTGTGGTCGCGGTGCCAGGTACGAGAATCACCGCGGCGCCTGCCTCCAGCAGGTACGGTCTTTCCGCCGTCGGTCATCAGCGGCGTGTGCTCGTCTTGCTCATCGTTGTCCGAAACAGCCGATTCGGAAGCTTCCGAGGCAGCGGCGTTGAATACTTCCTGTCGGTTCATTGCAGGGTGGACATGGATGTCGGTGATCGGGCTAGCGAAATACGTCTGCTTGCCCCTCGAAGAGGAGGACATAATGGGACTCGCTTCAGCGACGCGACGAACGACATTGCCGGGTAGGACGCTCTCGATGTCGCCCTCGTCACGGCGCAGATCATCCTCCTCGTCGTATAGCGATGTGTCGTCTCCGTGAGCCTCGATATCATCGTGGCTATGCGAGTGTCCGTGTCCCTCCGCGGCTTCGCCACCATGCGAGTGGCCGTGATCGTGGAACAAAAATAGCCCAACAATATTGGACGCCAATCCGGCCGATCCGACAGCGAGGATGAGCCATGGGTTCTGAATCTCTTGAGGCTCAAAGAAGCGCTGGACAGCTTCGAGGAAAATAGAAAGACACAGCGCGAGCAGAAAAACACCGTTGATCAAGGCACCGAGGACTTCGGCGCGCTGCCAGCCGTACGTGTAGTCGTTGGAGCTCTTGGCCTTCGCAAGTTTAATAGCCCACAGAGCGACGATGAGGGAGAATACGTCATTCAACTACACAGCGGTCAGCCTAGTCCCGTCAAAAAGGAGGCCCCCCGCCAAAGGATTCTCGGAGCCCTCTGAATGTCTATGCCCCGTCCGTCGCAGTATGCAGCTTACCATATGGAACGAGTCCGCCACTAGGGCAAGCGAATGCACGGCATATCCGACGATGATTTCGAGGAAGAAGAAGATTGTATCGATCACGAGAAGCGTGATGATGCGCGACGAGCGGGAGAGCCCCATTTCAACGCGAGGTTCGAGTCAAACCTTCGCTTCGTGGGGTGTGCAGACAGCCGAAGGTGATGCGATAAGAACGGTCGCTCGTGAGTCAGGATCCAATGGGATTGGATGAGAAGTTCTAGTTGTTCGATCTGTGTCGTCAGAGTTTATATAGGAGGGCTACGGAAGCAATAATAAATGTGATATGTTGTTTGTTGTTTTCGGAAAGGCGAGGAACCTGTTCGTTTTGTCGCGCTGGGGTGGAACGTGCGGGAGCTGGAGGGGAGATGGTTGTTTCGCGAACGTAGAGCGACGGGCTGTGGTGGGCTGAAGAGGTGAGGGATGGGTTGCGAAGCTGGCGAGAGATGCATCGATGGAACTTTTACTAGCTCCTCAATCCTAGCTTCCTTGATTTCAAACTTCGACTAGCAGATAAGACAAACAAAGCCTCCACAGCCACTCAGCTGGCCACAGTTATGAACAAGAAGCCAACTGTTTTGGCCGCCTCCAACCTTATACAGCCCGTAAAGTCAAAAGTAAGGGCAACAATAAATACTCATGTCGTCAACATCACCAGGCATTCCGTACCCGATTGTCCAGTCGTTAAGCTTGAAGCTTTGTTTATGAGCAAAAAAGACGATTTGCTACAAAATACCTAAGTATGGTATGTAGATCAGCAACACGAGTATGTAAAACAACACCAACGCAGAGATTTTCTCCAGCACCCAGCGGTGGCCAGGATACATACAATCGATACGTGCCGATGTAGCACATCACGTTGCACGACCCGTAGGTATGTAGATCAGCGTCAGCGTCAGCTCCGAGTACTCCACATTGTCCTCTGTTAAAGTGTTTTATGTAAGGCAAGCCTTAACTGTGGAGAGCCCCACCAAACCCTGACCCCTACCATAGTACCATTGGCCTCTTCGATCCGAGGCCGAGATACCTACAAACCTGCCCTGAATCTTCGAAGCGAACGCATTGAAGAAAGTAGCTTGACTCGCCTATGTAAGTAACCTTCGAGTTCAATGCGGAATCAGAGCTAACTAGCTGTGCGGTTTAGACATGACGGGATATGTGGGTATCTGTGCACCGTGAGGATCGTCACCGCAGCGCAACGGACAGTTGTCAGTTGCCAGGTGGTTGTCAGTTGCCAGATGGGCGTCTGACTCCGCAGCGCTGAACGCAGTATCGTACCCGCCGATGCACCCCTTACTCGCACCGGCACCGGCACTTGCAACCTTGAACTCCACGGGACATACCGGTACGTACCTGGTTGCAATTTTCATCGGCAGCTCGTATCCCGTCTACCTGGTGTTCCCGTCCGTCTGGACAACCGACAAGATGTTTCACAGCACAGCACAGCAGCTCGGACGAATGGAACGCGTGGGGGATACCTATCTAGTCGTGATGGTTCGTGGCTCACCGGGAAGGTCATAGATTCTAGGTGGAGTATGTATGTAGGGCTCAGGAAGAACTTCATTCACAAGGTAGGTATCCACAAGTGTTCTCACCACATGCATACGAAGTGATTCGGCACGAGGAAGTTCATCTCCATTTCCACTACTGACCATGAAAACAGACCGCGCGGCCCAGAGAGCACTCTACTACTCCACATGGCCATTGCAATACCCAGTACATACATATGTGGGATTCACGAATATCCCCAGCCCTGCCTCCGCAAATCACCACTCGATGCAAGCCCATCAGAAGTTCAGAACCGTCACGTCGATATTGACTTTCGCAGAAACAGCTTGAGCCTGGAGATTGAGTAGATGTCGGTATACTGTCTCGCAGAATCACACCAGCCGTAACTACTTTGCTTTGTCTGGCAATTCGCGAGCAATGATGTGATGAGCACGAGAGTCTGGTGTGAAACAATTCAACAAGCACTGCGTCTTCGAAATACTGAGACAAAGGAAAGAAACATACCACCCATCGTACCACCCATCGCACTGCCTCACAATCACAAATCGTTTTCAAATCTCCCCGAATGCTCCCGCATGGCACGGATATCACTCGAGCCGCATAACTACCTAGTTCTTCGGCGTTATCAGTAGAGTACGGACGATCCTATGAACTACCAATGTTCTCCTCATCCTCGCCTCCTACCGTATCCTTCGTTTGCTCTTGGAGATATCCATAAAGAATAAAGGATGGTCCGGAAATGGAAGACAGTTAGTTCGAACTTCAGGAGGCGCTGAGTAGTAAGTACGGCATGGGGCACCGTGCCGTATTCCTCCGGCGTCAGTGGGGTGCTGTTAGTTCGAGTAGTTACCTATCTCTAGATCTCTCAGCTCGCAGTACCATAAGTTGAGTAGAAGAGCGAGGAGTACCTGTTAACACTGAAAAGACCTTCAAAACACCTATACTCAAGTGTTTCCCCCTGGTTTATCAGTCTGTATCTGATTGGGTCCAAGTATACCCAAGTCTTTGCCTACCTCAGTAAGAAGTATGTACTTTTCCACCATCCTTCGCGCTTGGACACGGCTCCCCGAGTGACACTATATGACCAGCCGTCCAGACAGGGTTGATATCTTGATGCAATTCCGGCTTCTGAGTTCGAACTAGGTAGGCTGGCCCCAGAAGTCGCTTGAGGCTTGACTCGTGAGACTTGAGTGGGGCACTGGGGCAAACTAATTTCCGCAACAAAAATAGCAGCTCCAGCTTCAACAGAGAACGCAACCACGCCGTGTGAGCGCGTCTCACGATATCTCGAACGGGAAATGTCAGAATGTAGAATCCCACGATACGATACGTTGACAAAAGGCTTAGGTACGGGGTTCACATCGACGCCTACATGCCGCCTTGAACCTGAGACTCAGTGCCCACATCCTTATGCAGGGCAATAGGCTGGCTTTAGTTCGGATCCCGAATCCGGTAACATAAAAACTACTGACACGGACAGTGACAGACTCAAAAGTACTGATCATTCCCAAGTTTCAGCCCTTCCCCAAAATTCCCGTCTATATGTAGATACAGCCAGCTGAGTAAGGTACGCAGGTACACATGCATCCCCACCAACCCTATCCGCTCCGCAACTACCGTAGTTACCGACTCTCCTCCGCCACACCAATATGTACCGCCCCAATGCCGCCCAAAGTTCAAACGATCCCGTTCCCCTTTTTAAAATCTCAACGTGCCAGCACTCTCTTAGGTACCTTTGGGCGCTACATCTCCAGAATCATGCAGGTACGCATCTCGAGGGGAGTACGCCGTATTATATACTACACATCACAGCTACTACTATATAGCCCGCAACAGATTACCTATGATTCTATGAAGCCATGTCTCTGCTGCTGCCACATGGCATATGGCCTCCAGCACTCTGTACCGGTCGGGTCGGAGTGTAAGCTAGGTAGATACGCCGCTTTGTGCAGACGAGCCGTGGAGAGTGAGTGATAGTGATGGTGATGGTGCTGCGGGAGCATGTATCCGATGGTCGGTCCATGGTCGATGAAGAGGATAGGTATGCCTGAGGATCCGGCCCTAGTACTAAGCAAAGGGCAGCCGTGCTGCCGTGAGCCTGTGAGGGGAGACAGCATCGGTGCCGCGGTGGATCGGCGATGCAATGGGATTACCTACGGTAGCTCGGATGACTGTAAAGAAAAGGATGGGAAGAAGCCGATGCCGAACTTCGAAGTTGTGGAGCGGATTTGCGATCTGGAGGTGATATCACTCGATCAGCTCATTTATACTTGGGGCGTATTGCGAGCGGAAGAGGAGAGCAAGCAGAGGCTATTGATACTGTCTTGTACCTTACGGTACTTCTCCAAGCGATTCTTACCTCTACCTACCCCGAGTGATAGCATTTGACCTCCTCCGGATAACAATGTAGTGTTCAATATGTCCGTCTGTTATACTCTACCTATTAGAACTATCAGCCTATCTATAGTAGGTACATAGAGGTAAAGGTGCCCGGGCCCTGTCTAATCGACTATCCATCCGTCGGTCCATACATAACAGCCACAGGTATTGAAACATTAGGAAGTGCTTAATTACTACATAGTTACCGGGGAACGACCGGTCCGTCCGACCCATCCCATCCAGATACCTACCTAACTACTCGGAGACCCCATTTCTCACCGGATCCGAGGAGAATAACGAAAAGCATACGAAGGATTCTATCACCGCCGCACTCCGGGCATTATACCCGACGACGAAGTCGTTAAGTATGTTGACGAGGGTCAGGACTAGTTGGGTATTAGAAGTATGGGGCTGGAGTGCCCAGATATGGATTCGGATTTGGATTTAGGTTCCAACTTCCGAAAGGTTGGGGAAGTGGGGAATACGGTACGGTACGCTAGGTCCATAGGTATAGTACTATATAGTAGGGGGATATATCCACTCGCTGTGGGGGGAGAAGGGGGGGTATGTACAGTCAGGCACCGCACATCACATCACTCGGTGAAAATCCGGACAACATGCCGAAGTCAGCTGCCCGATGAAGATGAAGAGCAGCGACAGCCTATGTACAGGAGAACCGACAGGAGAACCGACAGGAGAACCGGGTCGGTGTGTGTATGCGTACTTGTTATCGCCTAGTCTACTCTTGATATGTAGGCTACATACACGCGATCAATAAAGAAACACGAAAAAACGAAGGGGGAAAAAGAAAAAAGTGACCGCTAATATCGATATGCGAGCGAGCTTTCCTTAGCGATCTTACACAGCAGAAGAAGGAGACGAACGAACGAGCGAGCGAACGAGCGAACGAACGAAGCTTCCCCCCGCCACCCCTCTCGCAGTTAATGGTATATGCACTCCGCTCGTATACATATAGGTACATTCGCTCGCTGCATATGTAGAGTACGTGACGGTGAGACGGACATCATCCAAGCGAACTGCAGTCTGCTCGTTACATTACATTACATACATCCATAAGTTACGGTCCATACATCCGATCCGTTCGGCGAAAGCACTCGACGACCCGACCGCCGCCGCCGCCGACGACGACGACGACGAGATACATAGTGGTGCATGTGATTTAATAACGGCGGGAATTCAACACTCCACTCCCACTCCTGACCACTCCTGACCGGACCGATTCGCGGATACATTTTGTAGGTGTGTATTATATGATGCATGTATGTAAAACTACAGTGCATTACATAAGGGCCTCCTAAGGGCCTAAGGCCTTCATGTAAAGTGGGCAATCTCGTCTTCGTATCTGGGATATGGAGGTAGAGTATGGAGGTAGAGTATGGAGGTAGAGTATGGAGGTAGAGTATGGAGGTATGGAGATGGAGGTAGAGTATGGAGGTAGAGTATGGAGGTATGGAGATGGAGGTACGGCCTGGTACCTACGTGGAGGACATGTCTCTTTTACCCAACTCTCCCAACTCCCCATCACGGAAGGTCAGCCTCCTCCTCCCCCGCTCTTCCTTCCCACGCTCTTCCTTCCATCCACCCCTCTGTGTGGGATGGAGGATATAGTACATACATGAATTCGTTGTAACTTGTACCGTATCTGCCGGAGAGGGGGTAGAGTAGAGTAGAGGGGGTAGGGTACTCAGTGAAGCTAGAGCAAATATCTACTCCGTCTTGGCCGTCCTCAGCGTTGGCTTGGTCCTCAGCATTTGGTTTGGACTCTGAAGAATCTGCGCTAAAATAGTCCATGGCGGGGTTGGCCCACCACCAGGGGAATCCACCACCAGGGGAATCCACCACCGAGCTGCAAGCGTAAGATTTAGAGCGAGCAGAGGAGATGCTGCACCCTTGAGGGATGGGGGATGGGATGGGGGATGGGGGCATCTAGTTAGTTACTCATGTACGGTAGCAGCGCCGGCCAAAAACCAAACCAAACCAAACCAAACCAAACCAAACCACTACTATACATAACCAGCCATCTCATCCCGGGTTCTGTCGCGCAGCAGCAGCAGCAGAAAGAAAGGACACGCACACTCCACTCTCACTCTCGCATGTGGCCGGCCATCCGTGAGCGAGCAGGAATCCATAAAACACTGGTACGTAGAGTACATACAGGCACACATCCATACACACACAGACATACACACACAGACATACATACGCGATCACACCATTCCTTACGTACGTCATTGGCTAACGGCTGAAGAAGACGAAGAGAAAGAAGAAGAAGTAGACAAAGAAGAAGAAGAAGAAGTCTGCATACCACCGGCAACTCGGCTGCGCGCCATCTCCTCGCCTCCGCACCATCTATAACACCAATGCAACACCGGCATCCGCCAGGCTCACCGGTCACGACTCGCACATCACCCTTCCCCCAACAGCAGCAGGAAACATGGCGCCACAGCCCCAAGTAATAGCCCCGACGGCGACGACGACAGCGACGACCACGGCGACGGCGACCGTATACCTGCCGGCGATAACGTCGTACGTGCGCGCGGTGACCTCGAACGAGCCGCTGCCGGTCTCGGCCACCGTGGGCGTGTCGGTCGTCGGCGGCATGCTGCTCATCCTGGCGCTCGCCGGCATCGTCATCTGTATCAAGCAGAAGGCGAAGCGTCGACGCCACAAGGGGAAGCGCCGTGCAACCGAGAATGCCAACGACGGCCCAGAGAATATGACCTTGAAGTTGAAGCCCGTGGCGGATGATTGAGTGGGCCGGGTGGCAGGGGGGCGGGCGGGCGGACGGATGGACGGATGGACGGAGTAGGGGACGATGAATACCCACGGAAGTTGCGACGATGAACTACACGGCGACGATATCACGGCTACGGTACCCCTCCGATTCGATTATGCGTCACGAATTCATGCGCATGGACTATTCGGTCCTTATTTTACTACGAGAATAAAAGGGCGCACACGACCAGACACAGACACGTACTTATATGCAACATCTTCTTTCGCGCCCGCGCTCACTCGCTCCACGACAGTTACGTCCATACATACGGCCACCTACAACTTGCTCTCGCCGTCCCTGCTTTCCATTGCCAGGCCCATGCACGCAGCCACCTCGTCCAGATGATCGAAGCCCCAATACACATCCTCCTTCCCGTTGGCGTCGGTGACTACCCCATCCCGTCGGTTAGCATATCCAGCACCACCCCTCCCTCTCTTTGGAGCGCGCGCGGCGCAAGCGACTCACCCACGAACCAGGGCATTCCGAACGCGCCCTTCCTTACGGCCTCATCCGTATTCTCCGCCAGCTTTTTCTTCCCCTCAGTCCTAATCCTCTTCTCCACTTGTTCCCAGGCCTCCCTTCCCAGCACCTGTTCCACAACCTCTTTGACCACCTCCTCCCTCTCCACGCCCCTCCCTTGGACCCAAAACACATGAAACAACCTCTCCGCAACCTCCACCACTCTACCTTCGGGCACAGCGCACAGCACCCTCATAGCATACAACGTACTGACCGGAAAGTTCGCCGGCTTCCCCGCAGGCAGCAGCGGGATCCCGTACCGTCCCGCTTGCCGCACGAGGTCGTGGAAGATGTACGCTCCCTTCAGGGGAACCGTTAGCGGCGGTCGGTTGGACGTGGCCACCATTATCCCGCTCAGGAAGGAGGGGGTGTAGGTCGTGTACGCGTGTAAAGGGGAGTGCAAAAGGCGGTGGAACGCAAGGTAGGCGAAGGGGGAGATTATGTCGAAGTAGAAGGTTAGCTGGGGGGCGGGGGTGGGCATGGTGGGTAGGCTGCTAGGCGGGCGGGCTGGATGGGTTTGTTGTTGTCTTTCGTGAGATACCCTCTGTGATAGTATAGGTGGTAGGTAAAGCTTCGAGGGGAGAAGGGAGGGGGAATGCTGGATTTTATGTACATACATACGATAACCAAAACTTTATCACGCGTGACCTGCCACCTATGTACATACTTAACCTACATAAGTACACATTCCACTAAGAACCACTTGTCGATGTGCCATGTCATGTGAAAGAACCAACGATCCTCCTTAGTTAGTTGCCGAGGCACTCGGAGATGGACGGTGGACGGTGTGGTCGCGGATTGTACACATCGCAGTTACAGTCTGCACAGAATTACAGATATCCTCCCGTTGAAGATCGGACGTTCATATCGGCTGTCTGCAGAGTCGTCAGTGCCCGTACGGTTTTGAGTTTTGAGTTCGGGGACGGCGGCGGTGATGGTAGTGGGCCGAGTGATGGGAGACCGAGTGATGGGATGTGCCTCGTGCTTCGTGCCGCAGCGGCTTCACGCCGACTACCTACCGGTAGGTACTAGGGCCTAGACACCGACTGGCTACCGCCCATGTGTGTGCGTGTGTTCCTCCGCAGAGTCCCAGGGGCCAGCATGGGGTAGATACCGTACCGTAGCTATGTTACGCTGCCGGCTGGGGACCTGGGGTAGGGCGGGCCGCGGGAGACGGCATGGTGAGGAGTGAGGAGTGAGGAGTGCGTTTGTGAAAAAGCGGCGCCACTGTGAGTCTGGTGGGATGGATGGATGGATGGTTGCCGTTGACGCGCGGGGCCAGGGGAAACGGGTGGGCTCGGGGCTCAGGGCTGGGCTGGGCTCGGGACGCTGCGCATGCCAGGTAGGTATATTTCGTGCACCGCTAGCCCCTGGGGATTGGGGCGGCGGATGTGGGTTGGTTTTGCTATATATCGTATTGACTGAGTAGTGTGTACTACCGTAGGCCTGTGGCCCGGCCCGTGCTACATGGCTGCATAGGTATTCGGGATATGTGTGCTTAGAATCTTTGCTTGGAATCAGCGCTCAGATGTGGAGAGCGAAATCAGCATCTGTCTGCCGAGTCGGTGGGGATCCGTCACTGAGCGTCTCTAGCTGCGTTTCCGCTGGAAGCTGCCGATTCCGTGAGTGCTACCAAGTGATCGGAGTGTTATTTAAGTTAAGCTTCGACAACCGATGCGCGCGTGATGGAGCATCCAGGCCTAGCTACCTACTCCAAAAGTTACACCGAGTTGTTGTTTCCTCAGGCTGAAGCACGGGGTGGTGAATCTAGACTCTCGACTCTGCGGAGGAGGATCAGGAGGATCACGAGGACTATAATTTGGCATAGTATTTGGCATAGTATTTTGCGGAGGGAGGTAGTGGTACGTAGATAATGTGCCTGTGTACTGCGACCACGATTGCCAGCACGACTCGACTCGACGCGTCAAACGGGAGCACAGGTTCACAAGTTCCAAGTCACAACACGAGTATCATAGTACTATCTGCGGAGCGAGTCGAGTCGAGTCATAAACATTATCTGCATCTCCATCCATCACATCCGCGCCAAACCAACGAAAAAAGTTCACAAGCCAAAGAAACGCCATCATTCCAAAACCAGTCTTCTCTCCCCGCCCTACCGATCATAGTTCAGCACGTCGCCGAGGACCCACAGCTGCCCATTCGCGACATCATCCTTGACCTGGAGCACCTCTATGCCATCGGGCATGACCCTCTTCCTCCCGCTCGCGTCCTTTTCCCACCAGACCTCCACTCCCTCTAGGGTCCTAACCTTCACCCCCTCCTTCCACGGCGCCGTGCCCACGCAATGCGCCTCCACGAAGCGTCTTAGATTCCTCGTCGCGCGGTCCTCGCCCATGATCCCGGCGAAGAGGTCCGCGGCGGCACCAGCTGCACCGCTGTCGTCAGGCTCCTCCCATGGCTTCCGCGGCAGCCGAGAGATCGCGGTGTTGGACGGCGCGAGAACAGTCGTGTTCTCGTTGCGGTTCTGGAGTAGCTCAGAGATCGACTCGATGGACCGCGTGAAGCCCGAGAATATGCTGATCTGCTTGTCGAGTGGGAGGATGTCGCCGAGTAACGGGGGCCCGGAGGGCTTGTCGGACATTAGGGCCATGTTGTCGTTGTTGTTGGAGGAGGTGGCGAGGAGCTGTTGTGCTTGGGGTGGTTGCGGTTGGGGGTAAGAGTGGAAACCGCTGCTGAGCGTCGTGAAAGTGAGCAGGAGGAGCAGCGCGGGGTTCATGGTGTACAGTAAGTGGAGGTGTGTTGGCAGGTTGGCAGGGCACGTTGGCTATACTATGGGTTGTTTGGTGGTTGGTGGTTGGGTAAGGATGGGCGGGCGTCATCAAGCGAGCTTCGTTCCTTTTCCTTGCTCTATGGAAGCTAGCTGAGCTGTGCTGCGCTGCTGATAACGCTCAAGCAAGCCAAGCCTTAAGGTCAGCTGCCCCGGAAGCATCGATACTCACTCACCTTGACGAGAAAACCGAAACAGTTTCTGCGGTTTTATGGGCTCGAAATGTCAATAGAGGTAGCGTGCTACAGTTTTGCGTGGTAGACTGGATTCCGGCGCTTGATAGCCTCAACCTCCCCATAGACCAAGGCTGAACATCTGAAGAATCTCCAAGGAGTCAAGGACTAGATCCGAGCATGAGAGCTTGTACACTGTACAATAGCGCCTCTAGTTCTCCGAGATGACGTTAACGTTGTTTGCAGATGGAGCGGTGTATCAGACTCGCGCTGTTCCGGATGCTCCATAAGTCAAGTCACGATCTGTCTCGAGCTGTTTGACCGGTATCTCAACCGGGGATATAGACGACTCCGAAGCCACACCCCTGCTCACGGAAGCCAACATCTTGGATGGAAGTAAGAGCGTTCGGGAAAGCCGACTAGGAATTCGGAGCGGCGCATCTCCACGCATGTGCATCTGTTATCTAGTACATACCATCAACAAAGCTTCGAATATTCCTCCATCCTGCGGAATGCACGGCCTCCTCACATCACATCACTTGGCTGCGTTCGGCAACGCTGCAATCCTATGTTCTAAGGAGTGGGCACTGAGGGCTAAATGGAAGTGAAGGGGATGGTAATTTGTCTCAGCGGCGAGGGAATTTTCTGGTCGTTTCCGGGCCATTCCTGCTGCCTGAATGTGTGAATAGTTGGAACGTTCAGATACTTTGGCGGAATTTGCGGAGTCTTGATAACCCCATAGGTATCAGAAGAACGTGAGAGTTATCGTCGATGATGCGGCGGATACTTGACTGCGGGATAGGTGGATGTTGTCCATTAGCTTTTCTGTGCCGATGTGAGCGAATCTTTATCCTTCATCTTCACAGGCCAATCGAAGAAAGCTGTGTTCCGATATCGGCCAGCGGATAATCCCATAGTGCCTGGTGAATCTTCCATCCGCCTCACGAACCACTATGTATATATCATAACTAAACGCCCAGCATTTATATTCCAACGACTCTCCCAATTCACACATAGAACCTGCCTCAAACGTATCGCCCTTCATCCGCCCTTTCCTCCTTCCTCCTTCCCCCTGCCCTTCCCATTCACATTCACGAGCTTCCGCGCTCCCAAAAAAACACATGATACCGTGATTTCAATGTCCGAGGCTTTCCACGTGCTACCAAGCTTCCACTCGAGAGCTAGCTAACCAGCGACACGCCGACACCTCCTCCATTCAGTGCTCTATACCTATACACACCTCACACGGGAATGCCGATGACCCTTGCAACCTAGCCAGCCTTGGGATGTACTCTGGGTAGACCCCGCAGTTGCGACTGTGCAGTGGGGCTTGATTGGGGAGGGGGATAGGTACACAGACTTTCACATCTGAAATCGCAACGTCCCATAGGCAGGTAGGTGCAGTGTCACATTCCCGCAGGGCGGGCGGGGAATAGAGGAGTCGGTATGTAGAGTACCTATAAAGCTGCGCGGCGCTCCCACCGTTGCCAGCTTCAGTTTCAGCTCAGCTCCACATCACACCGCATCACACAGCACCAGCGAAACGAACCGCAGCGAAACGAAAGACGCACCAAACGAACGAACGAACGACCGCGACAGAACACCCACCACCACCACACACCACCACCTCCACAGCCACAGCCACAACAGCAACTACACAGCATGGCCGCCCCCGCCCCCATGACCACGCTCGACATCTCGGGCCGCTGGACCATGAACAAGACGCTATCCGACGACACGACGGACGTGTTGACGCACGTGCGTTTCTCCACCCCCCCTCCCCCGCCTCCCTCCCCCTCCCCGCACAGTTCATGCTAACCCGTCCCAGCAAGGAATCGGCTGGGTAACCCGCAACGCGATCTACTACGCGACGATCACGCTCGACATAAATCACTACAAGGACTCCACGGGGGTTGAGCACATCGACATCAAGCAGACGTTGACGGGCGGGGTTGGTGGGACCACGGAGCTGCGAACACTAGACTGGGTCGAGCGCGGGCACCGCGACCACCTATTCGGCTCCGTCGTGGGGCAGTCGCGGCGGGTGGCGGAGCTGTCGTCGATCGAAGACGAGTTCCTGGCTAAGGACTGGGATGCAGAGGGCGTAAAGGACGGCGTTGTGGAGAGCTACGTTGTTAATGAGGAGAAGGGGTGGAGCGCGAGGCAAGTCTGGGGGTTTGAAATGGTCAAGGGCGAGAAGAGGTACACGAGGCATCTCAGGTTCCAGCTGGATGATGTCGTGCTGCTGAAGAAGATGGTCTATGACTATGTGGGACCCGTGCCGGCTGCTGCTTAGGCGCGGCTGGGGAGTGTAATGATAGTACCTGCTTCTGGTTGATGGAGAGTTGAGAAGTGGTTTCTGTGTGTAGACTGGAATACATCCTATGATACCTACTGACGAGCTGTGTGAATGGCTGGTCGAGGATAGATACGTGAACTCAACCCTCGACCGCCACTCCGAGCGGGCCGAATGGCACCTCACCATCACAACCCATTCACTCCGCCCGATCACACTTAGTACCGTACTCCTAGCACGCAAGCTCGTGATTCCAGTCTCAAGATTCCAATCTCTCGAGCATACGCCAGGAAAAAAAACAGTAATAATAAGTATTTCAGTGGTACTGTTGGCAGCAGTAGCATAAGTGCAATAAACAGGAAGATCTCATCGAGGTCATACAACAACTAAGTAAATAAAAACGGAGACGCCAGATCCACCATGTAAAAAAGACTTGCAGTTGCACAAACAAATACCTACGGGGACAAACTCGGGGAAACGAAAACGGAAAGACGGAGGGAAGGAAGGAAGGAAGGAAGCTCTAACAGCACAGCACAGATGAGACAAGACAAGACAAGACAAGAAGACGGACGCATCTACCGTTTCAACGCGCAAAAAGATGGACGGAAAGAAATAAAGTGGAGACAACAACCCCATGTGGAAGAAAAACAATCCATCGTTGAGTCGAAAGTACATAACTTGTTTGGGTAGTGCTAGGTAGTCAGGTAAAGCAGTCCGGACTCAAGCATGGATGGATGGACATGGTGTAGAAGGAGAGAAGAAAAAAAGGTAAGACTGAATCGCTACGGATCAGGAACAAGCCACTCGATTATATGCCTGCAACTCGGAGAAAAGAACTAAACCGGCGAGATGAACACGCGAAACCTCTCCATCTCCCAAAGGTCGACACCGCCCGAAAAGACACCGTTGGTGCCATTCTTTTGAGGCGCCTGCGTGACGGCCGTGACCTCGATGGTGTTGACGACGCCAGGGCTGAGGCGGATGTTGTACACGGGCTCGTTCTTGGCCTGCTGGTTGACCTGCTGCAGGAGCTTGGTCATCTGCATGTTGTTGGACCAGTGAGCAACGCGGACAATGTACTGCTCGCGGCTGGTCAAGGTCGCGGCCAGCGTGGGTACGATCGTCACCGTGTCTAGGTCGGCGGACAGATGGATGTAGTACTGCGCAGTGACCTTGCGGTCATCTGGTTCGAGGTCAATGGAGTATGGCTCCACGGCAATGTTCATCGACGACATCGCTGCGATGTGGAGCTTGGATATCAACGCATCTGATTTGTCTACAAGAAATATGTCAGCCTTCGTTCTTCACAATTTCTCAAGTGGTATAAAAACCTTTCCCTTCGGATCGGACAGTTGGCTCCTTGTGCTGATAGGGGATCGCAATCTGGGGTGCAATTTGGGGCGCCGAAGTCGGTCCAGCAACCGACGCAGATCTCATTACAGGGCCATGGGGTGCGGGTGAATAGCTTGACGGCCTAGGAGTCGAGTTCATGCGCTGCATGGGAGGAGGAGGCATGTGGGCCGGGGGAGACATCGCTGACTGGGAGTGTGGTGTCGCTGACCTACGGCCCATGACCGAGCCAGGCGGGGGGCTACCCGAACCATTGCTTCTGATCGAGTTCATGCGAGCTCGTGGCGGCGGGGCAGGCACCGGAAGCGCATGCACGACTGAAGCAGGCAGGGACGCACGAGGAGGAGGGGGAGGTGGCTGGTGGTTGTGCACAATGCGCGGGGGCGAACTCGGAGGAGCCGGCTGAGGAATTGAGGCCTCGACTCTCTGTGGAACTGGCACTGGCTTCTGCACAACGGGAATGTTCTGTGGCGGCGGTCGAGGGACAACGGAATCACCATTGGCGACAGGCTGTTTGATAGGTTCTGGAATCGGTGTAGGCTTCGGTGCAGGCGGCGCAGGCTTCGGTACAGATGGCGCAATCTTCGGAGCAGGCGGAGTGACCACCTGTGCAGGCGGAGCGGCCACCGGAGCAGGTTCGGCCACCGGGGTAGGCGGAGGCGGAGGTTGCTGCTTGCCGACATTGAGTTTGATTTTCGGAAGTGGAGACTGCTCGGCTGGTGGGTTCACTTGCTGTCCCTTCGGTAGGCTCAATCGTAATTTAATGCCAGAAGGAGGAGGGGGAGGAGGGGTTGGCGGTGGTGGTGGTGGCGGTGATGGTTCAGTGAAATTGGCCTTCTCCTCAGCCAGCCGCTCCACAAAATATTCCTGGAGGTACTATTAGCATCTCATCAGGCAATCCAACCAAACGGAGGGCCAACCAACCTCCAGTTCGCGCGCGTCCTTAACAACATCACTCCCCACAGGGTTGTATTGTAGAGCATTCTTCTTGATGAGGAAGACATCCTCTTCAAACTCGGCCCACTGTGGGTATTTGCCATCTTTGACTCGCTTCTGGATCTGGCCGAGCGAGATCGGCCGCTTGATGAGACGGAAGTAGTCACCGTAAGTTTTCTTACTTGGTAGGTTCTTGAAGTACATTGAGACGACTCGACTGTATATATACGTTAGTTATGGGCAACTTGGAAAGTTGTGTTGCCGGTGACAGCGACCACGACCGGAGACACCGGTGCGGGAATCCCTCTCCTTGGTTCCCTCCAGTGCCAACCGGTCAGGATGCACATACCCATCTGCGCCCTTCAAATTCATCATGTCTTCCACCAGCTTGCTCATTACTTGCTTCGAAGCCTTTGTAGCAATGGTACGAGCCGGAGTCGCGGTCGGCTTCACAAGCGGCTTCGCGGCTGGCTTCGAAGTCGGCTTCAGAGTCTGCTGAGGCTGTTGGGGCTGTTCGGGCTGTGCCGCCGTAACTGCTCCTCCTCCCGTGGCGGCATCGGTTGGACCCTCGTAATTCTCCGTCACCTTTCGCAGTCGCAATGCGTCGCTATGAACTTGGCTCTTTGACTTGTTGTATTTGACAGCATTGTCGCACATGAGAAACAAGTCTCGTTTGACAGCACCGACATTTGCATACTCGCCGGCGTCGAGCTTGGTCTGAATGGAGCACCGAATGTAAGCACGCTTTCACACCACAGTAGCGGTCCGTCTCTGACCGTCGAGCCGCAAAATGGTAGTGATTACTGACCCGTATCTCCTCCAAGGAGATTGGACTGGCAATTTTCTCGTAGTAGTCCGGATATATGTCCTGTTCGAGACCCTATCAATACTGCGCCCAATTCTCCATCTTTTGTTGCCCGCCGATCGAACGTGAGGGGCCAGTCATCGTTCGTCGCTCGTCGCTCGCTGTGTACATACCTGGGGAGGCAAGACTTGGAAGTGCTGCCGTATGTCGCGGTTCCTGGGAAATCGACGCGGTTAGCGGCGCTCAGGGAGAGAGAGAGCTCGCAATTCAGAGTTCCAAAACGCAAAGCAAAGCACAGCACAGGATCGTTCCCACCTCTCCTGGTAATTCCACACCGCCTCAAAGAGAGCGCGAGGATCGCCCGCCGCTTCGCTCTATCGCACGAACACGCCAGACAGTCAGCTATCATTCGTTTCCGTTTCGTTTCGCGCCTGTCCCCGCTTATTCCTTTTCCCTTATTCGCGCTTCTTTTCTTTATACAGGTTGCGAGCTTGCTTGCTTGCTGCAGGCGGGACGCGACCAGTGCGGGTGTGCGTGCCTGGTTGAAGCTTTTGGGTCGTCGCGTTCATCGCCCCTACCAAGGAGCCGAACCAGGCACCATGGTATAGGTCTTCCTCTTCCTCTTCTCTTCGCTCGACAACACAACGCACACTCGCACCCGCCATCGCCGCCGCCCCCTCTGCTCGCTCCACTCCGTCAACCAAACACCACTCGCACGTACTCACCGACTGCTTCCTCCGCTTCCTCGCCCGATCGGCCTCGTCGACCGCCGGCGAACCCTGCGCGCCTCTCCGTCGATTCATGGCCCACCCGGCCGGCGCGGAATGGAGTGAAAAATGTACGTGGACTGGAGTCGAAGGGGGAGGGTAATTTCCGAGGGGCTTTAACGACGATGGACTTCGAGGGTCGAGAAGGATCAGAACACCACTGGAGCTATGCGGAATCCAATGCGATTTTCGAGAATTCTTCAGGTTGTCGGGGGATTCGATTCCACTCTCTTGGTCGCGCTCGGCTGGTGTTGCGGCTTTGCTCTGAGCGATGAGCCAAGCCCACGTTCTTTGCAGTTCACACCTAGTCCAATTCGGGGCTGCAACGCTAGCGGCGATCTGCTGCGGTTAAATACGCGTTATCTTATCATATCTTGCGATCTCATCTCATCTGATTTGCTGGTTCCAAATTCAGGTCTTGGAACCTATATGTATCATGACGGAGGCTGCCACACAAGGATGCATTCACCCTCCTGGACTCGAATGTCAATTTCTCACCCACCTGACTCGGCCGTTTTCGTTCGCCTGTTTGTCTACAGCCTTTATTCTCTATTCCCTCTCCTTCTATCATTTACGAGGGGCAGTGTTTGCGATGCGGACCGGTAGCTCTCTCCGAAACCCCTTCAGCCTACTTCAATATATATATAATTTATACGACCTCGGTGCATGGCTGCAACCAACTCCAGCCGACGCGAAGGTTTGCGTCCAAAGGCTGGATCTTGGCCTCGTGAGAAATCTAGCAATCTGGAACGAGACTCTCAGCCTGAGATGGGAGTGTAGCCCGCAGAATGATGCTGTCCGCGTAATGCCTCCATCCGGCCACTCTGACAGAGTGATGCACCAAGGAGGATGCTTGGAAGAAAGGCAGATAACCTAGCTCAAGGCGGAGGTGTTGGCTTAGCCGGCCAGTTATTCGCACTTTGAGGAGAACCCGTGACTATTCGCTGCTGAATAGGCGGAGGAACCGGCCACACAACTACCGGTATCGTCAATCCCACGCATGGCTGTACCTCAATAACCAGCAGTCTAACTAATAACTCCACAAACTTCGGGGGAATGCCAAAGAAATGTCTGGTGGTCCGGTGCATATAATACTGTACATAAAACCATCCTGTCACTTGCTTGGTGGTTTTGCCTGGGCACGGTGGCGATAGTTAAAGCTTGATCATTCATTCATATGTGTTTGAAGGACTCGTGGTGGAGATCACTGGAACGATCGAGATGAGGAGAAGTGATGTGTTCTGGTCTAAGAGCTACAGCTACAAGAGAGAGAAAGAAGACTGAACCTCGACCCGCTACCGCACCAAATGTTCTAAGCACCCACCACCGGCCCTCCGAACGGCTAGTGGACTACTCGGAGGAAGACACTCGTTCCCACAATATCTATCTTTATCAATCGAGTTCTTGAAAGTGCTTGATAGGCTGCATACAAAATAAACTGAATATCTCTCGGAAGTGCTCTTCAGTGGATCTTAGGCTGTAGACTAGATGTCAAATACCTATCTCAACAGAGGTTTTCTCGACGTTATTTTCGGAGCTCAACCAGAGCCCATATAAGTCCACAGAACCCCCTCCTCTACTCTACCCTAGTTGACACCCTTATGTTTTCTTCACCCTTCCCGACGCCGAGGTCGTTCGTAGTTTCGTGGCCTTCAGCCGCCAAGCCCCCGCCTGTGTGGCGGCATAAGAGGCGCCAAGCCAATACCGATCTTTTTGGCTTGTGCAGATCTCGGGTATTCCAAAACCCAAACACCAAATCAACGTCCTCCCAGCCCCAAATCGCTACATCAGGAACCAACTCCCACGCTCGTTCACGAGACCGGTCGGAACCCCTTCCAAAGCAGTGCGCAATTCATCCATCGCAGCGGTGCCCCCCAACCGAGCTCGCTTCAATCATCTTTCGCCGAGCTAACTTTTTCCCTCATGATAGTCACCCCCGATCATGGCGGATTCCGGGAGGAACCTGCAGTCCGGCACAGCTTCTTCTGCTGTGACGCTGGACGGCAATGGCGTTGCCATGGCGGCGACAAACTTTTTCGGCGACATGGAGTCCTTAGCAACTGCGGCGCATGCACAGGCTCAGCAGCAACCCGCGCCGTCGCCGGTAAACTATGGCCAGGCCGCCGCCACGCAACAGGGCATGGTGGATCCCATGTTCTACCTTAATGATCCGCAACAGCAACAGCAGCAACCGCAACAGCAGTTCTTTGCGCCACAGGGTTATGCGGCGCCCCCGCCACAGCAGGAGGCGATCTATCCGTCCGCGGACCAATTGAGGCATTCGTTGCAGCAGCAGTTGGGTGGCGGGGACTTTCAGCAGCTTATGGGGCAGATTGGGTATCAGGGCGCGTCTAGGGAGCAGGCTATGTTGGCTATGCAGCAACAGAGAATGATGGCAGCACAGTACCAGGTGTCGCAGCAGCAACAACCACAGCAGCAGCAATATCTCCAACAACAGCAACAACAACAACAGCAGCAGCAGCAGCAGCAGCAACAGCAGCAACAGCTTCGCCAAATCCAGCAGGGTCAATTACAGCAGCAGCAGCACCAACATCTACAGCACCTCGGACTACCGCAGCAACAGTCCGGCGTACCAGTACAGAGTTTCTCTGTGCAACATGCTCCGCTACCCGTACAACAGCCTACTCCTCCTGTGATGACAACGATATCCTCGGAGGTGTCTTCCCCGCAGACCGAGAGCACGGATTCAACGAAACCCAGCGCGCCCTCGATCCGCACAGTTCCAGACCGAACACTCACCAAAAACCGTGCGGATTTCCGTCCGAAGACGTCAATACCGCAGGATCTTACGGCGGAGGAGTATGCCAGCCAATGCATCCAGGCAGCGATCGCAAGCCGTCTGTCGCCGTACCACCTGCACAGGGGTGAATACGAGCTGCTGCGTCACTACATTAACCACGTACACATCACCATCTACCTCCACATCCGGAACGGGATTCTGCGTCTCTGGCAGCGGAACCCGCTGGTCAGTGTGACCCGGGAAGAAGCGGCAGGCTGTGCAAAGGATTATCGGTTCTTCGATGTTGCGGAGGTGGCGTACGACTGGTTGGTCAGGAATGGGTATATCAACTTTGGATGCATAGAAGTTCCGAATACAATTATCGGTCCTGTCAGCCCAATCAAGCGACAAAAGACTGTAGTCGTGATCGGGGCCGGAATGGCCGGCCTGGGTTGTGCCCGGCAACTCGAAGGGCTGTTCTCGCAACTGGGGGATAAGTTGCAACCGGACGAACATCCGCCAAGAGTTGTGGTTCTCGAAGGCAGAGGCCGGATCGGTGGGCGTGTTTACTCGCACCCGTTGAAGGACCAGTCGGGGTCGACGCTTCCACCCACAAAGCGTGTGACCGCTGATCTGGGCGCACAAGTAATCACTGGTTTCGAAAATGGAAATCCGCTGAATATTCTTGTGCGAGGGCAGTTGGCGCTGGAGTACCATAGTCTGAAGGACAATGAGGTGCTTTTTGACTCGGACGGGTCGATGGTCGATAAGGAGTGCGATAGACTTGTAGAGAAGCTGTTCAACCACATGCTCGATCGCGTGTCAGCCTACAAGCAGCGGCCAAAGTTATTGAAAACAATGGAGGGAGATCGCGAATTAATAGATAATGGGAAAGATCCAACCGGAGAAGGTGGCGAGTCTGTGGCCGCGGTAGAGGCAAAGGGGGTCGAGATTCCGTCAATTGAGATCGCACACCCCGCAACCGACGTGGAACCACTCACCGGCAAGCCTTCCAATGTAGCGACTGCCGAGCAGGTGCGAGAGCTTGGTTGGGAGCTGAAGCCCGAAATCACGGGCGAAGAGACGATTTCGTTGGAACCGCAGGGGTCGAATCTACAGTTCCCGACGCTTGGGAAAACGATGGATGCTGCGGTACAAAAGTACCAAGACTTCTTATCGCTTACCCCCCTCGATCTCAGATTGATGAACTGGCACTATGCAAACCTCGAGTATGCAAATGCCTCCACTGTTGATTCTTTGAGTTTGGGACACTGGGATCAAGATGACGGACAGGAGCCTGCTGGGCCGCACTCGGTCCTGCTCGGAGGGTACATGCAGGTTCCGAGAGGCTTGCTGTTGGCGCCAAAGTTATTAGATATCAAGCCCCGTCACATTGTCAAGAAGATTGTATCTGGGCTTGGTAAGGACGACCTCTCGAAGATCGAGTGCGAGAATGGGGTTGTCATTGAGGCGGATGCGATTGTGGTTACGCTGCCTTTGGGAGTATTGAAGGCCGAAAATGTTGAGTTTGAACCACCGCTGCCTGATTGGAAGACGGGGGCAATCAGGAGGATGGGCTACGGATTGCTCAATAAAGTGGTATTGGTCTTCGACGAGCCTTTCTGGGATGCAGACAACGATATGGTCGGTGTCTTACGGGACCCTGTGGGAGACCCCCTACAACAACAGAGCTACGAAGCTAATAGAGGTCTATATCCTCTCAACCCCCCGTGGAATTGCTTACTGAGACGGACCAGGTCGATTCTATATGTTTTGGAACGCAATGAAGCAGAGTGGCAAGCCGGTTTTGGGTACGAATGTCACATACCCGAATCTCTCCTCAGATTATCTAACGGGTGGCTGTAGTTTCTTTAATGGCAGGCGAAGCAGCAGTACAAACGGAATTTGATACGGACGAGAATATCATCGAAGAGGCCACTGCCGCCCTGCAAAAGATGTACCCAGACAAAGTCGTCCCACCCCCAACCGAGACAATCATCACACGCTGGCGGAAGGATCCATTTTCCCGTGGAAGCTACTCGTACGTGGGACAGGAAGCGACGGCAGAGGACTATGACCTGATGGCGAAGCCGGTCGGAAACAATCTCTACTTTGCCGGCGAAGCAACCTGCAAGTCGCACCCCGCTACTGTCCATGGCGCATACATCAGTGGCCTCCGCGCAGCAGCAGAAGTCGTCACCTCGATCCTTGGTCCGATCCAGCCTCCTTGCCATCCGCTCGTCCCCCCCAAGCCGAAGTTGGAGACGTCATACTCCGGCGCCACCTCGCGAAAACGAAAAGCTGAGGAATCCGCCATAGAGAAGTCCCGCGAGCTCAAAACCCAGCGGCTAGAGTCCCATGAGCAAGCCATGAACGACGCCCTCATCGCCACGCTCGGCGAGCGTCCCTCCAAGCCTGGCCGTTCCGGCGCTAACCCCTTCCTGCTCTACCAGAAGGACCACTGGTTCATCTGCAAAGGCAAATGCGACGAGGCTCGGCGGAAAGCTACTAATAACCCGGAAGCGAAGGCAACTAGGAATGAAGTTCGTGCAGCTCTGGGACAGATGTGGCGGGATGCCCCCGAGAATGAGAAGCGCCCGTATCTGGCCGAGACAGAGAAGAATAAGGAGAGTAATGCGGCTGGAATCGTGGACTTCAAAAAGAAAATTAAGGACTGGGATGTTGCCGCCGCAAAGTTCAAGAAGGAGTGGAAGGAGAAGAATGTCAGCGTCCCGAGTGAAGAGGAAAAGCAGGCGACGAGGCAGGCAGAGTTGGAGGTCTGTTCGCCCCCGGTGGTAGTCTGTGGCGAGGGGAAGTGGTTGCTGACGAGAAGACAGAAGCAGGAGATTAAGCGCAGCCGGAAGATGAACGGATACGCTGATTCGGAGGACGAAGATTACTGAGCTCCTCGCTACTATTGTTGATATAGTTTCCAGATCACAGATCCTTCTTCACTTCCTCGTCATTTCCTAGAGTCGGGTTTTACTTTGCTACCTACATCTTACTTAAAACTACGAAGTCCTTTGCTTTCACTTGTTCGGCTGTCATTCCCCGGTTTTACATACATCTTACTTCCCTTCTTCGTTGTAACCATACCTGCGCATTGTTTAAAAAAGGCGGGAGGGCTTTGCATGTTTCTTTGGTGCAGTTTAGGACGGTGGGCGACGAGATGAAAAGATTGAAACTGTACGATAAATTCCTACTTTACTCATAGTGTAAGTAATGCTTGGGTTGGCTTGGAGGAATAGAATCCAAAAACGGAAAAAAAAATATTCCGAGTTAAATGAAAGTTAACAGACATGGTGTCACTGTTTTAATTTATTTCTTGGTGAAGCCCCAGCCCTATCTTCGGAGTGTATGTAGAGTGTGTAGCTCCCGCGCAGTCAGCAGCTAGATAAAATTTGGAATCAGGATGGCCTTTCCGAAAATGCGATGGTGTCCACGTGGTCGAGCGAGTAGCTAGCCGGGTGTGCGTCTATCCACCGACCTCTACGCGTCCGGAAGTTCGCGTTTCAACAGCCAGCACGAGCGCTTAACCAACACTCCACGACCACGCCCACGACGAACGACACAAATACCGAATCCCCGCAGCTCAAGGCCGCAACAATGGCCACGCCCCTCACCGACAAAGGCACACAAGTGCGCGAGCGTACGTCCCCGAACCCATTCTCTCCGCCCGTCAACGGTGGATACTGACCCCCTGCACAGAGGCCGAAAAAGCCTGTCTCCACGAAAACTCCCTCGTCCCCCCCTCGATTCCGTACACCGTCATCGACCTCGTCGGCAAAGGGTCGTTCGGCAGCGTCTTCAAGGGAATCCACACCCCTACCAACGCCGTTGTTGCCATTAAATCCCTCGACTTGGACCAGCATGACGAAGAGATCCGAGACATCCAGAAGGAGATTGGATTGCTGACCCAACTCAAGGCCGGGGATGCGCCAAATATCACGGCTTTCCATAATTCCTACGTCCTAGGGACGAAGCTGTGGATCGTGATGGATTTTTGCTCGGGCGGGAGTATGAGGACGCTCATGAAGGCCGGACCGATTGAGGAGAGGTACATTGGTGTAGTGATCAGGGAGGCCCTAGTGGCATTGAGTTACCTCCATGCACAGGGGATTATTCATAGGGATATCAAAGGTATGTTGGTTATGAAGTGTGGGAATTGAGGGAGGGGGCTAATTGAAGACGGTAGCGGCGAATATTCTGGTCAATCAAGATGGACGGGTGCAATTGTGCGATTTCGGAGTGTCGGCACAGCTCGCAGGGAAGAACAATAAGCGCAATACCTTCGTCGGAACGCCTCAGTGGATGGCGCCCGAGGCGCTGGCGGGTGGGTTGTATGACTCTAAGGTGTGCTCCTATGCTGCTGGATGATGGTGAGGGTAGAATGCTGACATGGCGAAGATTGATATCTGGTCCTTCGGTATCACCATATACGAGCTCGCCAAACAGAACCCACCGCTGTACCAATACCACCCGGAGCGAGTGGTAGACATGATTCCACGGATGCCGCCGCCACGCCTCGAGGGCGGGAATTGGTCCAACGGACTCCGAGAGTTCGTCGCGATGTGTTTGAACGAGATACCGGACCAGCGACCACCAGCTGAGGAGCTCCAGCGATCGAAGTTCGTCAAAGCGAACAAGTCCCCGACGGCGATCATGCGCGAGCTGATCGTGAGGTACGAGCAGTGGGAGAGGGGTGGCGGTGTGAGAGCTTCTATGCTGTATGCGCCGGGTATGGGCGGAGGCATGGGGGATACTGTCACCTCGGATTCAACTGAATCGGCTTGGGATTTTGACACTGTCAAGAACAGGATCTCAGGTGTGCCCAAGGAGTTTGAGATGCTGCAGGTGGTGGCTACACAGACGTTCAGGAGTGGGCCACAACTTACCAGGCAGCCATCTATCCACACGGGGGCCAGACCACGGGGGGCAGAGAAGCTGTACCGGTTATTTGAGACACCTGGTGAAGAGCAGCCTTGGGATGAGGAGCCGCCGCAGGATACTTACCAAGCGAATGGGCCCGGGGGGTCAATGACACCCATCCAGACGCATAATGGGTCCAGCAGCAGTCTGGGGATGATCTCTATTCCCTCGTTCGATGACAACGGGATGATGGTGTCGAATAACAACAACAATAACAACAACAACATACGGGCAAGAACACCCAGTCCCATAGGGATGATATCCATGCCAACGGAAGAGGAAATGATGGATATGGCACGACAAAAGGCAGCAGCTGCGGCGGCTGCGGCTGCGGCCTCGCCACCAACTCCGTCAGTTGCCCCAATTGCTCCTACAATCACTCGGACACGACCGTACATGGCAGACTCAGTAGGCCCATCCACGCCCATCGATGCTCCCTCCACCCCTTCCACAATCACGCCCCACAATTTCAACCGCGACCCTTCCCCACGTCGCCAAATAGTCGCCACATCAGCCCCCTCCTCTCCGCCCCGCTTCGCCGGCCAGCTTCAAACCGCCTCCGCCAACACGGCCAACAAACCGCACCACCTCTCCTCAAAATCCGTGCCCACCTTCGCTGGCCGGCCCCCAGACATTGCCCCTCCGGTCCCAACCCTGGCAACCCCAAACCCCAAAGTCCGCTCCGCCGACTCCACGCCCATCCCGCACCTCAAAACCCGCTCGCAGGACATCACCGCGCGCACCCCCTCACCACGTGTCGCCGGAGGCGGAAAACTAGCGTCTCGACCTAGCCACCTCAACCTTGTCGCCTCCAACGGCAGCAACTTTGATCGGCTCCAGCCCATACGGCAGGCGCAGCCCGACTGGGGAAGTCTCGATTTTCCACTCATGAAGCCGTTGGATACGGCCATATTGTCAAGCCCGGGTGGAGGCGAGATGATGCGCGAGCTGGATAGAGTCCTCACGGGACTGGGGGATGCGTTGGAGGTTGTCGAGGTGGGTCTGAGGACGCTGCATAAAGATCGGAGGCAGAAAGTACCGGCGGATGTCGAGGAATGATGTGTGTTTGGATTTCGCGCGTGCTTTTGGGATTGTTTTAAGAGGCGAAGGGGAGTTTTGGTTTGAGTATTGATTGTTGCTATTATGAGTTTATATTTACTTGCTGTGCTGTAGACGGAATCGGTTCACCATACTCCAGCCAGAATTGATTCTGTAAGGCCATAGGATGGGAATCATTTCTATTCTACGGACCCAACCCTGCCGCCTCTTCGACCACCACATCCCCATGTGTCCCCTTCTTCCTCGTATCTGCCTCTAGAACATCCTCCAAGGTCATATCCCATGCAGCGCCGACATTTCCCGCCTGCGCCCAGAACTTTGAAAGATGTCTCGCGCCCGAATCACACAAGATAGTGACAATCCTATGACCCGGCCCCATCTTGATCGCCGTCCTCACGGCAGCCACACAATTAACCGCACTTGAGGAGCCGATAAAGATCCCCTCCTTCTCAACCAAGTATCTCGCCATCGCCATAGCCTCCTCGTCCGACACTCTAACAGCATCATCCACCATCTCCCTCCCAACCTCAAAATTATGCGTCACGCGGTTAATGCCAATCCCCTCGACGATAGTATCCACCTGGTGCCTCCTCCTCGTCCCCTCCCGTTCGCGCACATCAAACATAACCCCGTACTTGACACGGTTATACAGCCCGCTCCCGGGGGGATCAGCGAGGACGACCCTCAACCGTGGCAACCTCGGTTTCAAAAACTTCGCACACCCACTAATGGTGCCACCGGTTCCCGCGCCGGCCACAAACGCATCCAGCTTTCCCCCACACTGCCGCCAGATCTCGGGCGCGGTGGAGTCGTAATGTGCGCGCCAGTTCGCGTCGTTCTCGAACTGGTCGGCGAAGTACCCGCGCCCCTCCATCTCCCCCTCTGTGTGCGTCCGCGCGAGCGTGCGCGCCCGGTTGACGAACTGGTTGGGATCAACGATGGGGGCGGGGGGCACCCGCGTTACGGCCGCGCCGAGCTTGAGCAGCAGACTGGATTTCTCCGGGGATTGGTCGCTGGGCATCACGATGTGCGCGAGGTACCCGCGCGCACGGCAGAGTGTCGCGAGCGAGAGCCCGGTTGACCCAACGGTGCCCTCGTACACGGCGTCCCCTGAGTGCGGGGTCAGGAGGTGTGCGGCTTCGGCGGTTTTGAGGAGCGAGAGCGCCACCCGGTCTTTTATCGAGCCGCCGGGGGATAGGAACTATACGTCCATCCGCTGTCAGTTACCTACTGGCCGTCGGGGAATGCGGGAAACACAGACCTCAGCCTTGCCGAGGATCTCGCAGCCGGTGGCTTCACTAAGGGATTTTAGGTGGATTAGCGGGGTGTTGCCGATGCAGTCTTCGAGGCCGCGCGCGATTTGCTCGCGAGGAGGGGCTTCCTCATCGATGGTCAGGAAGGCGGGACGGAAGATGGAGCTGCGGCGGCGCCGACTAGGTGCGGGAGGAGGCGGGGAGAGGAAGGATTGTGTTGCCAATGTTGCAGCCACCCCTAATGCGACGCCGCAGCTGCAATAGAGGACGAGATTGCGGGTCGAGGTGTCCATTCGGTCGTGGCTGTGGTCAGGGTGAGGCTCATTGGCGTTTGGTGGGGTTCTTGAAGCTGCGGGTCCGCATTCATCACGGAAAAGCAATAATCCGACAAGCATAACAACGGCTCTCCCCGCTGGCCGACCATCCCCACACAAAACTCAATCAGAACTCGCTATGAACCGTCTCGCCATCGTACCACGCTCTCTGCTCCGAACAGGTCTTCGGAGGCTCGCCGTCACTCCCTCCAGGTATGTCTCCCAATTGACTTCTCCCATCGACCACAACGCTAACCTACCATCCAGGCCCCACCTCGTCCTGCCGCTCCTCACCCGCGCAGCCTTCAGCACTACTCCCATTCCGGCGGCCAAAAAGAAAGCCTCTCGCGAAGCGGCCGTCGCCTCCGCCGCAGAAGATGCGCCCACCGCGGAAGTTATCGACTTCGATGCGCAATTCGACAAACTCGAGAGCGACATCGCGCGCATCGCCGACCGGCTGAAAGACGACCTCAGCAAGCTGCGTGCTGGCCGTGCCGACCCAAGTATCCTCGAGGGGCTGGACGTAGTGGTCGATAAGGCCCAGGGAGATGCCGTCCCGCTGAGGGATGTGGCTCATGTGGTCACCAAGGGGAGGGGGCTGGCCGTGACGGTGTATGAAGCGGCGGTTTGTGCCCCGTCCACGAAATAACTGGGTCACTGGCTGATACTAGGCTTGCGCAGAATGTCAAACGCGTCGTCTCTGCCATCCAAATCGCGGATCTGAATCTGCAGCCAGTGGTGGATGCGAAAAACCCCCAGCTGGTGAATGTACCGCTTCCTCCGCCGACGAGGGACAGCAGGGATGCTATGGTTAAGCAGTCGAAGGATGTTGGACACAAGGCCCTAGATGCGCTGAAGAATGCGAGGCTGGCCACGCATAAGAAGATCCAGGCGACTAAGAAGACGGTCCGTCCGGATGACCTGAAGAAGGCGGATAAGAAGATGGAGGATATTGTCAAGAAGAGGAAGGCAGAGCTGGAGGCAGTTATTGCGGCGGCGCAGAAGGGGATTATGGAGGCTTAAGGGATGAGGGATGAATTGAGTGCTTGTGAAGGACATGTAGATATCAACGTCGAGATCTACTGTTCCCGCAACCCAGAGGAAATGCTGAGACTCCGGAATAGCAATTTTCCAATGCAAAAGACGGGCCAAAACAGGTGAAATTCCCACAAGAGGTTCACGCTGTACAAGAAATACCTTCCCCGATCACCCTCGTATTCTCTGGATTGTGGGGAATGTACAATACTCTATGTATAAAAGTCTGTATTGGGACATACAAAGCGAAGCATCGACGCCAAGCTTTGATCGCTTCGAGCTTCTTTTTCGCTGCCCCACATTTTTTCCAAGACTCCGTCCGAACTCTCACTCACCCCACCAAGCTCAACAAACGACAGCGTTTTCCTTTACCCACCATCAGCCTCCGCTCCCGCCCTTTACAGTAATTCTCCGCAAGATGGTCCGCAACATTGTCGTTCTCGGCGGATCCTCGCACCCCGAACTCGCCTACATGATCTGCCAGCAGCTCGGAATTCCCAATGGGCGCATCACGTTGAGCAAATTTGCAGTTGGCGAGACCCGCGTCGAGATCCAAGACTCGGTCCGCGGCAAAGACGTCTTTGTGATCCAGTCCGGGTGTGGCCGCGTAAACGACAACGTGGTGGAGCTGCTGATCACCATCTCGGCGTGCAAGACCGCGTCGGCCAAGCGGGTCACCGCCGTGCTGCCACACTTCCCGTACTCCCGCCAGAGCGACATTCCATACAACAAGACTGGGGCGCCCCTCGCAAAGCATGGAAACACCGGCGGCAGCAAGGATTTCACCTTCGAGAGTCGGCCGGTCACCCCGGGCCCCCCCCACCATGACCACCACGGGCCGGCGTTCTCGCACAGCGGTCTGGAGCGCGAGTTGAGCCGGCTCACCGTCGAGAGGAACTCGGACACCGGAGTCAATGGCATCGCGGGCACAAACGGACGCAACCCGTCGGCGTCGGTGCCGGGCACTCCCCTCCGCCGCACTAACACCGCCGAGTCCACGCCGGCCGGCGGAAACGGCTACAACAGAGCTCCCAATGGCTTCAATAACGACTATGCGCCCAACCGTGCTAACACGGGATACAAGCAGTGGGTTGCTCAGGCCGGAACCCTCGTCGCCGACCTCCTCACATGTGCTGGCGCCGACCACATCATCACCATGGACCTTCATGACCCCCAGTACCAGGGCTTCTTCGACATCCCCGTCGACAACCTGTACGGCCGTCCGCTGCTGCAGCGCTGGATCAAGTACAACATTCCCGACTACCAAAACGCCGTGATCGTCTCTCCGGACGCCGGTGGAGCCAAGCGCGCCACCGCCATCGCCGACGCCCTCGGAATGGAATTTGCGCTGATCCACAAGGCACGTCCCCTTCCCTCCGCCATACGTCCCCTCACTAACCCAGCTGTAGGAACGTCGTCCGACACGAATCACAGAGCGGCAAAACGCGACGATGATGTTGGTGGGGGAGATCCGCGGCAAAGTCGCGATCCTGGTAGACGACATGGCAGACACGTCAAACACGATCACGCGGGCGGCGAAGCTTCTGAAGACGAAAGGCGGGGCGACAAAAGTGTACGCGCTGGTGACGCACGGCGTGTTCTCCGGCGACGCTATCGAACGTATCAACGCCTCCGCCCTCGACAAGGTCATCTGCACCAACTCTGTCCCCCAGGAGGAGCACCGCAGACATTGTCCCAAGCTCCAGGTCCTCCCCGTCCATGAGGTCTTTGCTGAGGCCATTAGACGCGTGCATCATGGTGAGAGTATTAGTGTTTTGTTTAGACAGGAGTAGTTGGATGGCGCGCTAGTTAGCGGGATTTGTTAATAGGATTATGGGAGTTTGGTGCGGTTGGGTCTGGTCTGGGTTGGGGGGAAAAGCGGTTGTTTTCTTCTAGGTTCTAGGTATTGATTGATTGGTACGGATTTTCTGTTACGTTGGGTTGGATTGCTTGCTGTGTTGCTGTGTTGTGCTGTGATGTACATGACGATGTTTGCGTGGTGGGATCACTTGCTGTGGAATAGGAGACTTTCTGTTGTGTTTTACAGTACTTAACCATGAAAATGTCCAACCATATACCCACATCTTTCCTGCTTGTGTTCGTCTCAAACAATGAGAACCAGTCCGGCACCTACCGGCTGACTAACCACAACCCGATTAGCACCTCTACATATAGTATTGCCGCGGGGTTCGCGAAGCTGCCGAATGCCTGCCGCAGCCACGGCGGCGCACTCCGAGCGAGAGCCCGAGCTCTCGATCTCGAGACTCGAGGTGAAGCTCTGCGCCACGCCACCTACCCACCTATCTAGCCAATTACAACCTCCAGATACATACAGCTACACAATGGCATCAGCCACCCAAGCCAGCGCCGTTCTCCGGCGCTCCCTGCTCTACGGTACGTGAGCCGGTCTGTCGGTCGCCCTACAGCCCAGTTCCAACCAGCCCTCCAGCCCTCCAGCCCTCCACTGACCGGCCTCCGTCTCCGTCACAGTCCCCGGCTCCAGCACACGGATGCTGCAAAAGTCGCGCTCGCTGAAAGCCGACTGCATCGTACATCCCCCCGCTTCTCACCACCACCAGCAGCTCATGAACCACGCAGGCCTACGACCTTGAAGACAGCGTAACACTATCGCAGAAGCCGGTGGCGCGCCAGCAGATCCGCGAGGTACTCTCGCTGCCCCGCGCGCAGGGAATTCGCGAGCAGGCTGTAAGGATCAATGCCGTCGACACGGGGATGGCGTTGGCGGATTTAAATGAGATTGTGAGTAGCTACCTACGTGGGAGACGGTGGGGAGGATGGGAGAGAGGATGGGGGGAGGGGGAAGAGGGGGCTGATGGTAGGAGTAGTTGAAAGCACAGCATGTAGACGCCATTGTCGTGCCGAAGGTTAATAAGGCGTCCGACCTGTTTGTGGCCCGCCCCCTCTCCCGCCGCCGTCTCATGCTAACCCTCCTCCAGGACTTTTGTAGCCGACGTCCTCGCCGCGTCCGGCCACCCTAACGCCCGCAGCATCCGTTTAATCGCACTAATCGAGTCCGCGCGCGCCGTGATGGACATCCGCTCGATCTGCCTTTCCGTCCCGCAGCTATCCGGGCTAATCTTTGCCGCGGAGGACTTCTCACTGGACCTATCCCTGACGCGTACGCCCAGCCTGACAGAGTTCCTATTCGCGCGGCAAACGATCGTTGCAGCGGCGCGCGCATACGAGCTTGACGGCGGCGCGATCGACCTGGTGTGCACGGATTTCAGGGATACGGGGGAGGGGGGGGCGTTGGTGAGGGAGTGTAGAGATGGCAATGGCATCGGGTTCAAGGGCAAACAGTGTATTCACCCGTCCCAGACGGAGGTCGTCGAGAGGCTCTTTGCGCCACAGGAGGAGAGGGTCAGGGACGCGGTTAGGCTGCTGTGTGCGGAAAAACACGCGGAGAGGCAGGGGAGGGGAAGCTGGACACTTGATGGGAAGATGGTTGATCGGCCTGTTATTGAGGCGGCCAGAAAGGTGCTGGAGAAGGCGCAGTTGGCGGGGTTGGAGACGGAGAGGTTCTGGCGGGAGTTTAGAGATGTTACGCCGGAGTAGGTATGTACACAGGGGAAAGATATTTGGGCAATCGGAAGCCCGCACAGACAATCGTACACATCATACGCGATGTTTGGGGATTGAGGATTGGGGATTGACTGTGATGATTGATGATTGATCGACAGTGATGTGATGGTGGTTGATTGGTGCCCGGTGCCCACATGTTCGTTCACGTTTCGGCTCCGGCTCCGGCTCCGGCCCGGTGCCTAGAGTATCTAGCGCTGTTGCCAGCGGGCTGTTTTGTTTGCGTGGCAGTCCCTTCGTTCGACAAGGCCGTCCCTGCACTGTGCAGACACATACCGGGGACCAGATACCAGATATAAGTTACAGCCAGACGAGTGAAGCAAAGCCCCAGCCCAAGTATCCGCAGACTTCCTTTCGAACTCCCATCGTATGTAATCACAATCACGGGTAGGGATGCTTCGCCGCCGCCGCAGGAAATTAAACCCCAGCTCAACTACTCTAGAGCTTACCTAGAGTCCAAGCTCAAAGCTCAGAGCTTTCCCCACAACGCCCGCCTTGCCCCTTAAGGAGCAACGATCCGGGGCCGTGGAGAAGCGGCGCCGTGGAGAAGCGGGCCCCCTTAATGGTATCCACATTGGCGCAGTTGAGGATGACTAAGCTAGTTGTCTCCGGTCGTGTTCTCATAGCCTCCAAGGAAGTATGCAGAGTACATAGTAGTCCGCCACCGTCCAACCCGGGGTTGGATCATCTGCCGTAGAAATGGTGAAGGTTCCTGGAGCGAGGAGTGTGAAGAGAGAGGGATTGGCGGCTGCTGTTTTCGTCGTGATGATGGAACTTCGTTGGAAGAACATGATACGAAGCAGTGCTTTCATACCTAATGTCACATCAACTCCAGTATATGCTAGGAACAGTACATGAGCAAACATTCATAGTACATCACGAAAGCTAATCTGGAGTATGGATCTACGTACTCTGCTTTATGTACTATGTGTACAGACAAGAAGATCGATACTGTAGATTAGAGTACCGAGAGTAGCACCTGGAGGGGGCCATTGAGCTTGAAAGTTGACGAAGGAGGAAAAGTGATACGGAGTGATCGAGTGATACCCCACCATACGGAACTGCGCTATGTTCATGCAGCGACCCAGTCATCCCCCAGAGTTATTGAACGTTGGCATTGAGTCTGCGCGGGGTAGGAGCTTTACGTGTCGTTCAGAGGTCACGGTGCCTCAATTGATACGTGTGATGAATGGTGGTTGCATTCTCAATGTTTGGCCTGGCCAGATTGTCGTGCAGCTGCATGCAGCAAAGACAGCAGCAGAAGAAAAGAAAAAAGCCACGATTCGCCGCTGCGGGTCTTGATGAATCCTCAGCTACTCATAGCAACTACACCCATGATTATATTGCTCGCTGTTTCTCCGTCGCCGCGTCCCCCATGTCCACTTACACCCAATCCCACGGTGTCCCCCCCTTAATAGCCAGCCCAAATGAATTCGTGCGCATGGGCGCTGGCGTGAAAGCCGAAGTGGAAAAAAAACGTTATGTACGTGAGCCGGCGTGATTAGTCACCGCAACGACAATGGCATTCTATGGGCCTCCGTGGCAGGGGTCCGCTGCAACGGAGCAAGAACATCATTTCTACCAACTCGTCAGCTCGCCCATTATCCAACTTCTCGCCTCCGCTCTCTCTCTCCAACTCTCCCCAATAACTCTTCCAACCCACTTCTCCAGCCCTACCTTCGGAAAAAAAAAAGCCCCTCGCTAGGAATCCTCCAGTCCCCACAGAATCCCCCTTCGTCAAGCACACTCTCTCGACGACCCCCCCGCGCAGCTCTGCGTGCTGCCATTACTACCACTACGACTCGCCCCCAGTACCACACACCACAATGAATTCATCCCGACTCATCCTCAACTCCGCGGCGGCCAAACGGACATTCGTCACATCAACCGGTATGCTGAGCGCTGAGCGATGACTGGGCTCCCGAGCGTGCGTGTGTGGTGGCTTGAGCTTCGCTAACGGGGAGGAACGGACGCAATATAGCTCGGCGAGTAGTCGCACTCCCGCGTGCATCGGTCGGCTTAACGGCGGGCCGGCTGCGCGGCGATCATTACCGGGTGCCGCGGAGCACCAGCCCATCGCTATTCTTTGTTGCCAGGGACCTGTCGACGGAGACTTCGACTTCGACGCCGTCGCCTGGCGGTGCCGCCCCGCCGCCGCCCGGCTTCAAGCTCGAGGATGCGAAAAAACCCCTCGGCATGTCGGAAAAGCCCGTAAAGAGTGATAAGTCGCCGCTGCAGCAGGCGCAGGCGCAGCTTGCGGCCGCGAAGGAGGCCACCGCGGCGAAGGACTCTAAGTCGGCGGCGTCGGTCCAGATTGCTACCGCGGATGGGAAGGCGCTGGATGGCTCGGCGAAGTCGGCCGCTGAGGAGAAGAAATTGACGGTGTGGCAGAAGGTCAAGCATGGTGTGCAGCACTTTTGGGATGGTACTAAGCTGTTGGGTATGGAGATCAAGATCTCTTGGAATTTGGCGTTGAAGATGGCGGCGGGCTACGAGTTGAGTCGGAGAGAGCGGCGACAGGTATGTGGCTTTTCCTTCTTGCGATGATATTTCTGGGGGGTTGCTGACGTTGGCACAAACAGCTTGAGCGCACCGTCAAGGATCTCGGCCGTCTGGTTCCTTTCTCAGTGTTCATTATCGTTCCCGCTGGTGAACTGTTCCTTCCCATCGCTCTGAAGCTCTTCCCCAATCTGCTCCCCAGCACGTACGAGGACCAGAAACAGAAGGACGCCAAGTCAAGCAAGCTCCGGACCACCAGAAAGGATGTATCGGCATTCATTCGCACCACAATGAAGGAGGGCGGCATTCTGCCGATCGGTCCCAAGACCCGCCAGCGCGACGAGTTCACGCAGTTCTTCAAGAAGGTAAATTAAGCTTTCCGAGCTATTTTTGGCGACGTGCTCTGACACCTCGGCTATAGATCCGCAACAGCGGTGAGTCGCCCACCCGGGAAGAGCTCATCAAGGTCTGCAAGATCTTCAAGGACGACGTTACCCTAGACGGCCTCTCGCGCCCGCAGCTGGTCGGCATGTGCCGCTACATGAACCTCAACACATTCGGCACGGACGCCATCCTGCGCTACAACATCCGCCACCGCCTGCGCCAGCTCAAGCGCGACGACCGCGCCATCTCCTTCGAGGGCGTCGACTCGCTTACCGTCCCGGAGCTGCAGAACGCGTGCGCCTCGCGCGGCATCCGAACGCACGGCATTTCCCCCGCGCGTCTCAGGGACGACCTCAACACCTGGCTGGAGCTGCGCCTCAAGCACGGCCTCCCCAGCACGCTGATGGTGCTGTCGAGCGCGTTCATGTACTCGACGAACAAGGGCGCCTCCGACTCGGAGCTTGACTCGCACTACGACGCGCTCCTGGCCGTGCTCAGCAGCATCCCCGAAGAGCTCTACCACGAGATCGAACTCGAGATCCACAGTGCCGAGGGCGCCGCCACCAACAAGCAGCGCCTCGAGGTGTTCAAGGAGCAGCAGGAGCTGATCGAAGAGGAGAACGAGCAGCGCAGCGAGGGCACCGCGCCCGCCGCCCCCTACTATGACCGCGACATCGACGAGAAGGTCGCCGATATCCTGGCCGCTTCGCCCAACGATGCACCCGGAAAGGAGGAGGTCGCCAACGCTGTCAAAGAAGCTGAAGCTATTCTGAAGGAGGAGACCGAGAAGAAGGCGTAGCCGATCCATCCCTCTTCTCTCTCGCTCTCATTCATTGGCTTTTGTTTTACCTTTCTTTCGACTGTCGACTTCAGCTTTCCTAGGCTATTTTCGTTTTGGAATTTTTTCACGTTACGTTTGAAGCTTGTACATAAGCCCGGGTGGTCACCATGGTGGCTTCCTTCTCTTGGGGGGAGGGGGGGACGTGATGAATCAACCATTCACGCACGCCTAGCCCACATACTTACATACATTATAACACATGCCAAAAAACATTTGTTCTATTTTTCTATCTATCTTTCTTTTTCTTTCGCTTTGGTTGGGATTGGGTGGTGTAGTGGGGTTTATGGAGAACTGGAGAACTGGAGAACTGGACTGGGTTAGGAGTGGGTTGGGTTGGGAATCATAGATGAATTGCCATAGAGAAGTCGTGTTTTTTTACTATAGTCTGCGCATTGTTTCTTTTTCTATTGGCGAGCGGGGTGGGTGTATAAGTGTATAAGTGTATACTAGAGGGAGGTAAAGGGAGGGAGGGATAGAGGGCGGGAGGGGATGTGCTGGTGAACGAAGTGCGGGGAGGGGGAATCGATGTGTTGTTCATTCGTTCGCTCGGGCTGCTGGATTGCTTGGTTACTGGTCACTGGTTACTGGTTACTGGTGCCGTGACTCGTGATGTTGCTGCTTAAGGCGCGGAGATGGGGGGGAACACGTTGCTCCAGCGGAAGCTTGGAGCTTCAATGTCGAAATCGCAGGGTCGAGTGAGTCCACATGCCTTGCCTCCAACCTCGACGCGTGTCACTGCCACTCAACACGCTTCCTTCCAAGTTCCCATTACCCCCACCCCCTCTGATTAACCCCTCCCCGCCCTTCCCCACCCCAATCACCGCCCCCAAGCACCCGCCATCCTCACCGGTCCACCAGCACCATTACTGCTGCCCCAGGCACTGCCTATATCATCTTCCTCCTCGTCCTTGTCCCCGCCCTCCTCACCATCCACGAACTCGTCCCCGTCGGACTCATCCTCGTCCTCGTCAGACAAAGACTCACCATCAATCCGCCGCAACACCCTCGCAACAGCCGCACGCTTCGCTAGGAGCGAGGACTGCGAGAACGAAGACTGCGAGAGCTCGACCTGGCGCAGCGCTAGGAACTGGTGCGCGCGCGTTGTGTCGGGGTCTGTGTCCGCTGTGGAGGCGGGGGAGGTGGCGGCGGAGGGGGTGGCGGGAATAGAGGGGGTGGTGGTTGTGGCGGGGGAGGTGGTGCTGGAAGGGGGCAGGGACGTGGTGGGGGAGAGGATCGCGAGGGCGTCGGCGCTTGGCTGGGGGTGTGTTAGCTGCTGTTATGGAGCTGGGCTGGTGGGGCGCTAGGGGGACGGAAGGGGTAGGGGAGGGGGGCGGGGGGAAGGAGGGAGGCGGACAATGGTCTTCAGCAAGGTAAGGTCCGCGAGGAGTTCTGCGACACGCATCTTGAGCTGGTGGTTGGGGTGTTGGTGTTGGGGTGTACTGTGGTGGTAACTGGTGGTATGGTGGTATGTAGTGGTGGGTTGGAGGTATGCAGTGGTGGGTTGGAGGTAGGTGCAGAGGTGCGGAGTGGGTGCGGAGTGGGTGCGGAGGTGCGGAGTGAGTGAGTGAGTGCGATGTGATTGACGGGACGGTGATGTTCGTAGATGATTGTGACGTAGGTACCCAGGTACCGACCAGGTAGGTGTGAAGTATGCACCTTGTGGGTTGTGGATGCAGGTCACGACGCCGCACTCGCTCCGTGCGGCTGGTGGACATTGGAGACGTCCCCCCTCCCTCCCACCACGCGAAACATGTGTGGTTACGCTCACACTAAGATGGTCTGCAACATCTCATTCAATATCATGTCCATTCACTCTCACGTCTACTCACTCACCAGTGGTCTGCAATGTCCCATTCATTCTCACGTTCAGGTGCCCAGTACAAGTGTCTGCAACGTCTCATTCACTCTCACGTCCACTCATTTACTCTCACTCACCAATGGTTTGCAACGCCCCATTCACTCTCACGTTCACTCATCAGTGGTCTGCAATGTCTCATTCACTCGCACGTCCACTCGCCAGTGGTCTGCAATGTCTCATTCACTCTCACATCCACTCATCCAGTACAAGTATCTGCAACGTCTCGTTCACTATCACTCCCACGTCTACTCACCTAGCACGGTTGTCTGCAATTTCACATTCACTCTCCTATTCACCGACCAATCCGGAAATCTCAGGTCTCGACAGTGCGCCCCGTGCCCGCCCCGTGCCCGCGAGGACGGCTCCCGAGTCCCGAGGTCGCAGCGACGGTGACGAGTGATACACAGTGATTACTTCGTTTCGCCCATCCGGCTGGCTGGCGCTGCCGTGGAGTCCTCACGGCCGGGCATGTGTGGTCATCTGTTGTGTAGGTAGGTATACAAGAAGCCGTAGTATTCACCAGCGGGAGATCTACATACAAAAAAACTTCACCGAGAGCTACCTACCTACCGTACGGTGTGATTTGGACAAAGGGCAGGATTTCACTACCGGCGCAACCGGGCTGGATACGAATTGGTAACGCAGCCGTTCCCGCCCACAGAGTATGTAGCAGCGGCTCAGAAGCGTAGCGGCACGGCTCACGAGCATACGGTAGTCATAGTTACGGCATCTGAAATCCAGCACGAAACACGGTAGACACCCATATGTGCGTGTGTGTGTGTGTGTACTCGGATTCAACGATCCAACGCGGGACGGGAGAGGTGGGGGCAAGCAGGTAGGCTATCTGACTGACGGAGGGCGTCTCCGCGTCTAGGTACGGGGAATAGATACCGAGATTCGCCAAAAAGCAATGGTGTAGTGGCGATGGCGGCGCTGGACACAGACGACTTCGGTACTGCAATGCTATGTACCTGCCAGTACTCTACGTTGAAACCGCGACTACCTACCGTGCTGGAGGGGCAGCAGCGGACGGGTCGCGAGTGGGGCGGGTGGGAGCGGAACCGGGATGAGTCCAAGTTGAAGGCCAGACGGAGTGAGTGAGTGAGTGGGTGTGTGTGGGCGATTAGCCCGAACCGCCCGAGTCGAGCGGAAGGAGTTTCGGAATGTGGCGGTGGAGCACTACCCTTCTACCGGTACTCTAGAAGAAGAATCACGGGCTTGGAGCATCCGGCTGCTTTGGTCGAAAAACGTTTGGAACCACCTACTTCAAAGCGCAGCTGCGCGGGTCGGAAGCCCAATCACGGAGGGAAGATTACGGTACATAAGAGCAGAAGGCTGAAGGATGTTGATATTGACGTTGATACCGAATGACCGTGGTACCTAACCACGACCTAAACCTTTCCAAGCGTGGTATCTACTCTACTCTAGAGCAGAGCAGAGTAGGTACACGCAGCGCGGTACATAGCAAACGGAAAGAAGAAAAATTGCAGCATGGACTTGCATGGCTCCTGCTCGGCGGGGACGAACGAAGAAGTCCCGCTACTGCTGTACCCTATGCACACGTGTGTACGAGTACTTTACTGATACCAGCCGCTTGCAGGTGATGTCGCCGCATGATTGGTCCCGAAATTAAGGACCACGGGGGGAGGGGGGGTCTTATGTCTGCTGAATGTACTGTACTCGCACATAGGCAGCAGCCCTACGGCGGCATGATCCGCAGCGGCTCACTATTGCTCACTCGAGCGACGGTTAACGGACTGATATCCGCCAGCCGTAGCATCATAGGTTTTTACTATGGAACCCTGCGTCCGGCAGTTAATAACTTAACACCTGGCGCAGTACGCGTGACAGCGTGCTGGCAGAAGCAGAGGCTAGAGGCGAGAGGGAGGGAGAAGGGGGCGAAAGCGTCGGTGCTTGTGATCAGGACGGATGCCGTAGGGCCGAGGGCGGCGGCGGGTGATATTCCGTGATGGTGCTCCCCGAGGACGTGGCGCGCTTATGTGCTTTCTCCGTCTCTGTTGCCGATCGGATCGGCGTGGCTCTGTCACTCTGTGGCATTCAGCGCTTTTGGGGTGCACATCCACGGTCCACCCGCGCCCACGGTGCCGTAGGTATCCACCCGGCCGGTTCTGGCAGCAGGCAGACATGGCCCCAGCTTTGCTTTCGGAACCACGAGATTTCTCGCACCGTAGGTATGTAACCCACGTGCTCGATGGGTTCTCCATGACAGCGGAAGTATTCTACTAGTATTCTATTCTCCGAACGGCTCCGCGCGCTTGCAGCGGGTGGGATGGGATGAGATGTCGCGGTCCGCGGCCGTCCCGCCCTTCCTTCCGTTGTGTCGAGCGAGCGAGTGAGACTCCGTAGGTGTTCCGCCAGCCGCAGACGTGGATCACCACTACCCCTCCCCCCTCCCTTCCCTCCCCTCTCTCCCCTCCCCTCTCTACCCCGCGCCCATGCCTACCCGCACATCCAATCCAATCCAATCCAATCCAATCCAATCTAGGCTAGGCCAGGCCAACGGCAGAAAGGTATCTCTACGATCAGCGCTTCAGCGGTGGTGGAGGGGCGAGGGTGGAGCAGTGAAGATCTCGCGGGTATTTTTTTGTGAAGGTTTTGCTGTTGTGGGGGAGGTGGGAGGGAGATTTATTCGACTCCGCTTTGGACCGTTATGTGTGTACATGCGAGGATCTATCACCCGTGGGAAGGGATCGCGAGTCTTTCCTCCGGCCACGTTTTGTGGGGGGTTCGCGATGTCACACTTTAGGTAGGTAGGCAGGTGCCTATTCTGCTCTAACTACCTGGTGGAGCTTGGAATGGAAGGCTTGGAAGGGCAGGCTTGGAATGGAAGGCTTGGAATCACAGGCTTGAGCTTGCGGATCGAGTCTGAGCTGGTGACTCGTGAGTGAACGCGGAAGCTGGTTCGAACAAGTCCTACTGTTCTACCCCTATGTACCGGTATGCATGCATACTATGATACAAACGCCGCCGCCGTCGTCGTCGTAAGCAGCTCCTGTACACCCTACCGTATGCACCGACAGGATGTCAGAATCCACCCAACGAGAGAGGAGGAGGTGGAGCCCGTGCTCCACGCTCCATCATCCTGAAGACTCGACTCCAGGGCGAAACCACCGTCGAAAAACCATCCTCTAGGTACTCTAGCTTCCATCCGAAGGAAGGAAGGAAGAAAGAAAGGAAGGGCTAACCAGGCATCTACGGTATCGCATTCGCGGCCCCCCCGGGGCCCCAAGCACCAGCACCAAGCACCAAGCACCAAGCACCGTTGCGTAATGTCTCCCCTTCTGCCCATCTGCCCTTCTCCCCCAGTCTCCCGTTATGTATCGTATGTATCGTGTCGTATCGATAGCCCACGGTAGTTCCATAGCTACCATGTATCACAAAAGGAAAGCTGTGTATGTAGGTAGTTAGAGCACCTAGCTTGGATGGTAGGACGTTGGACGGACGTCATCCATGCACTTGCCCTCTGCTCGTGGAGTGCATATTTCTCCCTCCGAGAAAAAGCAAGAAGAGACGAATGAACAAGCGGACGGGGTGGGAACGGGGTGGGTACCCATCCACACATCCACACACCCATCCACCCACCCACCCATTCACCCATTCATCCATCATCCATCATCCATCGAATGTGCACCTGCAGGATTCCGCAGAGCACAGCGGGGGGGAGAGGGTGAGAGGGGGGGGGGAGGGTGAGAGGGAAGTGTGAGGTGGGGGCGTGCCGCGTAGAGGAGGAATCCTCGGCCTTCCACCGGCACTTTGTAACGAGCGAGATGATGTCGAGTGCCTACAGAGGTACATAAGCCAGAGAGGAGAGAGCACACAGCACGGGGGGAGTGGCCAAGAGCGTCACAACCTCCGGGATGGGGAAGGAACTTGGGGCTCGCTCGCACCATCCTTTAAGGTCAAGGTAAGGTAAGGTTGACGTTGGTTGGGGCGCGTTCCCTTTCCTTTCCAGTCCAGTCCGGTCCGCGGGTTGTACCGGTCTGTATGTAGTGTAGATACTCTAGATAGGTAAGTACGGTACGGTATGTGCTCTAGGACCCTGCTGATCGCACCGCGAAATTTCGCCACCGAGCAAGCAAGCAGAAAAACCGGTAAACGTACATATCATGGGCTATCACTCGCGCATCCGGAGACTCGCGCACACGGTAGCTACATAAATAGGTGGTCAAGGGGGATGCCGAAGATCGTTGCCGCATGGGGATGGGCTGCAGGTTCTGAAGAGATGAAGGGTGTGGGGGAACGGAAGCCTTGGATCGAGCTCAGGATCCGGTCTGCTCAACTGCTCAGGTCAGGTCCAGTGATGTCGTTACCTGCCAAGTCCTTCCTTCAGGTTTTCGAGAGTGGTGGCCTAGTAGCTGGGCGATTTCCAACATCCACCCATCCACCCACACACACACACACACACACACACACACACACTCTCTCTCTCTCTCTCTGTCTCTCTCTCTCTCTCTCTCTGTCTCTCTCTCTCTCTCTCTCTACACCCGGCTGGGAGCCTTCGTTCTCAGCGAATTTCTTCTTACCCCATCGGAATAACTAAAGCCACCCTTTTTTTGCTTTCTTTCTTTTTTCCGCGTGCAGGTGGATTTCAGGTATATTGCTCGATTAGAGTACGGTAGAGTAGAGTAGAGTAGTGCCATCCGAAATCCTCACCACGACGATTGTGATGATGCCGGTTCCGGTTGGTCCGTGTATATACATTAGGTACTTAGCTAGAGTAGGGTAGAGTGCCTTACCCCATATTCAGTACCCGGAAGAAGAAGCTTTTCATATGTATACCTTTTCATTTATGATTCGTCACACCACCCATACACCTGTCCGGGGGAAGAGGAGGGAGGGAGGGCGGGGAGGAGGATGGGTGGATGGGTGGAAGGGTATCGGGGGGATCGACACGAAACATCGTGGGAAAAAGGGAAGCGGAACCTTGCTACTCTGGGCACTCTACTCTATGTGAGTTACCCTCGCTCCATACGTATGTAACGAATGTAACGGAACGTTACGTCCTGTCTCCCTCAGGCTCCTCCTCCTTTGCCTGCCTGCTTCTTCTCTCGCCGGCCGGCCGCCATGCATGCCTGCAGGGCGACGATAAGCGCGGTGGACTTTGAATCGATCTCCCCCCCCTCCCTCTCTCCCTCCCTCCCTCCCTCCCTCCCTCCCTCCCTCCCTCCCTCCCAGAACACTTCCCCACGGATTTCGAACGACGTATGGTAGATTAACTACCGTAGACCTACCGCAGTCTGCAGACCGACCAACCCGCCCCGGAGCAATGAGTTACCTATGACACGACCGTGCCAGGAATTCGAGTAAAGCATTCGAACCGAACTGGGTCGGAACGAGAGAAGGCTCTGAAGATTCCTGCCGCAACGGGAATCCAGTAACCAGTTCGGCGTCAGTTCCGCCTTTACGTTGCAGCGGCCAGTGGACAGCAGACAGCAGCGCGCATCTTCCCTTCCCTTCCCGTCACGTCGCAGTGCAGTGCAGCGGCAGCAGCAGGAGCTTTCTTACGCACATCGAGAAAAATCTTGATTTATATATTGACCCGGATAAAAATACCAGGGCGCCGGAGGCCGGAGCGGAGAGCGGAAGCAAAGCAAAGCAAGTAAGCAAGCCTGCGAACCCAACCCTGTGACACCCGACACCGACACACCGACACACCGTCCGCTCGCTCGTTCGTTCGTTATTTCGTTATTTCTCCGGCAGCTGAGCCGAGTCGCCGGCCTACTCTACATACCTACGGTGGTACGGTGGTACGGTGGTACCTATGCGAAGTGCGACGTGCGCCGTGCGTGCGTGCGCATGTATGTTGTATGTATGTAAAAGCATCTCCATCGGAAGCAGCTGTAGAGTATGATATGTATGATATGTATAGTAGAGTACCGTATGTACGCTACGGTAAGGTATACACTCAGGGTCCGCAATTCGTTTGCCACACACCGCACACGTCAGGTACTCTAGAGTGGAGTGGAGTAGGTACATACGGCGCAGTGTCGTGGCGCTGTGCGGTCAAGACTGAAGTGAAGTGCACGATGAGCCCCGTCCCGTTGCTGTGGTCGGCGGTCGCTCGCTCCTTGGAAGTTGGAACATCTGTTCCGACAAACACAAACCCGCGGTCTCTTCTCCATCTTCGGTGCCCGGCCAACTTCCCTCTCGCCGTCATGACCATCTGTGCCGGAATGCGCTTGGTATACCTGGCACCTACTCCCCCCATATCCCAGCGGGATATGGGATATGGGATATGGGAGACTGGAAGTTCCAACTTCTCGAGCTTCAAAGTTCAAGGAATTTAAAATAAAGAGGTGAATGATGTGGTTTGTAGTCGGGCTATACCAGTAGGTTCCGTACATACACACATACATACGACATACCTACGCACAGCGCACGCTCCTGAGTCCTGATAGGATGGGAATTGCTTCCATACTTCCAGCACCGAACCGGGGGGTTGTAACTTGTAACTTGTGGTTGTGGTTGTCGAATACCTGCTGGTAGGTAAGTTTCTTTCTCTGGCGTCAGGACTCATTCCGTACCGAATGGTTCGACCGTTCGAGAGATCTAAATGTTACTTGTTTGAATGCCAAGAAGATGGAAAACGAAATGATCTTCTAGGTCGCTTTTTTCTTTTTGATATTGATTTATGTTGCGTAGTTCGAGAACAGAGTCGTTTGCAAATTGCCGCCGGCATGGAGTCCACCAGGCTGTCCCGGCTGTCCAGGCTGTTGTTCAGCCGCGACAAGCGGCCGGGCTGCCGGGCTGCCTGCGGGACGCCACCAATGTTGAATGTTCCGAGGTGTGGCTTGCGGATAGCCGCGCTACCCTACTCTACTCTCTCAACTGTCATGCTGGATAGTAGCCTGGTCGATATGTGAAAGTGCCGGTTGGGATCTTTTCGTCTGTCGTTGCTCGGTTATACCCAGATGAAATGGTAACAGTCTGGTAGTTAATAGGAGTTGCATTATCTATTCGACCACTCCACCAATCTCCTCGAGCTCTCGAGTCCGGTAACTGTTTATTCCTTCGAAGCGTGCCTCCTCGAGTAGGCAGATGGAGAATGGAAAGAGGCGAACCCTGCGACCCGACCCGACCGTTCTCGGCCGTGAAAATACCATTACATGCTCTACATACATGTAGAGTATCTGGAGTACCAGTATGTATCATGAATGTAAGGTAACCGAGAGTTAGTACAAGTAGGTAGGAGACAGCCAGGAGTCCATGACTTGTCATCATCATCATCATCGAGATGTCAGGGCCCATCAATAAGGCAGACTTTCCATTCCACTCCCTCACCAACACCACCGCCTTGAGAGCCTGAGTAGAGTATCTACCGTAGTGCTGCACGGCGAACCGGGGAGTTGGTTAGATAGCCCTCCTCCTCCCCCGGCCTCCCCCCTCCCCACCCCCTCACGTTTCGCGGAGTGACCGAGATCGTGGTCACCTCTTTGACGTAGATTCGATGATGGAGGGGGGGAGGGGTGGGGAGGGGGGGGGGGGGGGGGGCGTGCGGGAGGGAGGGAAGGGAGTGCACGGTCTCTTACCCTCATCCTCCTTCCCTCCTTCCCTCCTTCCCTCCTTCCCTCCTTCCCTCCTTCCCGTTTCCTCGCATCCTTCCCCCCGTCCTTTCCCCTCGTCTTTTTCCGACGACTGCTCCAACTACCCAGGTGCATAATCCAACAGAAATTGTAGGTGTGTAGTTCCCGTCGTGAAGACACAAGACACAAGACACAAGCCGAGTAAGGCGGTTCCAACTTCTCGCTCGCTCGCTCACCCCGGGTTCGCAATGGCAGCCTGACGGGACCCTTGCCCTTGGGATTGGGATTATGGTTAGGATTCAGATTCAGATTTGGCTTTGGCTTTGGCTTTGGATACGACACCGCCATCTACACGCCGCGGAGATTGCAGATTATTCCTAGATGTGGCCGCCGGATGCGCTTGTTGTGTGTCCCCCTCCCCGTTGCCCCGTTGTCGATTTTCCGTTCCAACGGGGTGAGAGGAGGGTGAAGGGGGGGCAGTTTGTTGGGTTTGGACTTTGCTTGCAGTGCTTGCAGGCAGCGCAGTGGACACTGGATGAGCTAACGGAGCTGGGCGCTGCCAAATGTCTCTCCTCCTCCGGAGCATGCTCCTGCATTCGCGATAGCCTCTCACTCCTCCTACCCCCCAACCCGACCCCCCAGCCCGACCCACCCCGGGCCCGCCACTCACCCCAGCCCGCCACGACCTCACCTAAGCGGAGATACGCGACGAAGGTTGCTTGCTTGCTTGTCGGCCTCCTAACCACCTGCCTTGTTGCTTGCTTGTATGTATGTAGCCTGCCTGCCTCGCCTGTGCTTTGACGGGGGGGCTTGACGGGGCTTGACGGGGCTTGACGGGGCTTGACGGGGCTTGACGGGGCTTTTTTGTTCATTAGCTAAGGGTGGATTTAAGGTGTGGCTTTTTTTTCTTACTCTTTCCTCTTTCCTCTTTCCTCTTTCTTTCTTTTTC